TGCTGCTGGTGTTATTATAATCTTGTCTATCACAGATGCCCCTCGGGCTTGATGTCACCATGCGAAATGCATCCAACAAAACATTCAAAACCTTCTCCGATGACTCGTTCACTCACTTTCGTAGCCTTGACTCTTGCTCCAGGTTGTTGAGAAATTCAGCCTCCCGGAATGTCTCGATCCCAATCATTGCTATGTGTTCAATTGCATATAATAATTTGTATACAACAGCACCCGGTCCTAACCCAGACACATATTTCCTAAATTGCTTCTTGTTTTTCGAGGTGATAAATGGATTCGCTTCAAACCCAAAGTAGTTCTTGTATTCTATCCAGGAGCAGGAATGTCCATTCACTGACACCGGCTCATGAAATCGGATGTCAGGTGTCGGGCTAAGTCGTAATTCCTTTTGCTCTCTCTCGGTCCGAAATTGATAGCCGAAATCTCTCATTCGGTCAATAAAAGACGTTTCTTGGATGAGCGCCCGCTCTCTCTTTTGCCGCATTCTTTCTTCCGCCTCGGCTCTACCATTGGGAGAGTTATCAGGCGGCAACAGCCGAAGGGCAGCTTCAATAAGCGCTGAGATGACCATAGTGTCTAACTGGGTATCGATGCGTCTCAGTAGCATATTGACGTCAGGCTTCATGAAACGGAGGCGGCATGCTATTTTGAAGACAGGTGTTACTGCAGCTCGAGGTACTCCAGCATATGTGACATTCAGATTATCGCCATTCGCTCCAATCCCCAATTCAGGTGGTTGATCGTTTCCTTCCTTGCAGTCTTTTACTGGCATCTGTGGTGGTGCAGCTTTGACTACAGGGCGATGGTTCTCCACGGAATGGTTCTTTGCGCTTCTGGTGTGCTGACGCTTTGAGTAAATGGATTGGAAGGATGTATTGCAAAGCTCACAACGATGCCCAACCTGAAGGTGCTTCTCCAAGGCTTGTTGAGAGCGAAATTGTTTGTTGCAGGGAACACAGTTCACCATATTGAATCTGAGAAAAACAATACGAGAGCAAAAAAATATTTCGAGTCATCCTCCATAGACTGAAGAATGGAGAACGAGGTAGAAGCTTGGCTATTTAATGAGCTCTTTTCTCATATTGACAGAGGTACTTTGTGTTATCTAGTGCGTGCGATATTTTGACACGTCATACACGTGTCAGCTGAGACTGAAATGGATATAGAAATGACTGTACATGACATTAAGAAGACGGTTTTGTCCACGTGTGTATCATCATGTCAACAACGTGAAAGCTCACGCAGGGCCTTTGCCATGAGAAATATCACCTTTTCTCTTTGGCTGATGCGAGTGGGAAAATCTCTGGCGTCTCCAGGCTGGCGAAGAGCCGAACATTGAACGTTTACTTCGTTCAAAGTCCTGGCAATGAACGTAACCGGGTGGCCGGAGTAACAGGGATCCACGTTAAGGGGTTGATGTCATACAAGGAAAACAGGGAGACACTTCTGCTAATCAGAATAGACAGGCATTCAGAAAGAAAACTATGCATCTAGACCATCTATAAAGGCAAAGGCAGCCTCTACTATCAGCGATGGACAATTTCGGTTCTACATTTTCCAAATAGCATTTTCATAGCCAAACGATCTATGATGTGCAATCTGCAAAACGACAAGACGGATGAGATTGATGAATGTTTTACTCAATATCTCGGGTTCGCTTATCAGAGAGGGTAACCTGTGTATACTTAGTTCTTTCGTATGTATGTATGTATGTCTTTGTGTGGGAAAGACAGCCAAATGGTCAATTTTCAGTCGCACGTGAAAAAGCCTGGGGATTATTTCGCATTGCCATTGTGCAAGCATTCAATCCAACATTCGGATCAGATCCCGACAGCTTGGAATCATGGCAATGTATCTGTCGCTCTCTAGGGGTACGACCTATCCCAGACAATCTTCATAATGCACGACAGGGATGATATGTCCACATTTGCCAAGTGACTCTATGTAGCGCTCATTCAGATAGACAGTCCGCACTTATGTCAATCTAGTTGATCTGCTAGAATCCATCCGGACCGGGGAGCCACCGGAGCGGTTTTACACAGAAGAGGATTTAAGAGTCTGTACAATCAGAAAGCATAAATTCTTCCCCGAGGAGGACTACGAGGGCAGGCTGCCTCGATTCCTTCTTATAGAGATACTGCATGATTACGAAGGCGACCGTAACAAACAATGGCATGAGAAATTTAATTGTTGAGCAAAGAGACGTGGCGCATAAAAATGACGGTACTTCGAATTGAGACAATTTTTTTCAATTTATGTCTCTGCTTGTGTTTGTTCATTTTGTCATCTTCCAAGTGAATAGTAACCGATCGTTATTATTTCAGAAGCCTAAAAAAACATTCAAAGGTACGGGTGAGGTTATAGTTGGGGTTGCTCCCGGATAAACAAAGAAGAGTTTTTTAGCCCAAAAAAAAAGCGATTTGCTCCTTTTTTTTCTGTATAATTCATATTTGCGAGTAATGACGTGTAAGATATCTCTGAATTGGCCTATAATACATAGGGTTTTCCCAGCAGAATCATCCTAGATTTCCTTACAAAACACTTCCTGTTATGAAGAAGCTCGAGAAGGCAACGGTCTTACACGTGTCAAAGGCCGGTAGAGCCTCAAGGTAATAGTACCAAGATGGGAATGTTTAGTGTCGCGAGTAGACGTATCTAGACATAAGATATAATCGCGGCGGCTCTCGCATAGCATGTTACCTTTCAGCATTACGAGAAAGGTAGTTAGCTTGAATCCTCAAGGCAAGAGTACTCACGATTCATCATTTCTGATTTTTTAAAGGCACACAATAGTATAGTTAAGCCTGAACAAGATGGCAGTTGGTTCCGTCGTCAGCTTCAGGTTCGGATCCAGACGAAAGCTGTTTGCGACATAGTAGCCAGCGCTCTTTTTATCTCGCGCGGCTCAGACTCCGCTCAAGGCCCCCAAATGAGTTTCCACCCTCGAAAGAGGAGGATCTGTGCTGATTGTTGCACATATATGATGAAAGATTCGCCATCTACTTTTCCTTCTTCAAAGAACACATGAATATACTTGAGTAGATATTGTTCACCCTGGGAGCTGGGTTCAGGGCTTATTTCGATAGCCGCCGCAGTACATATTCATGAAGCCTCCATTAATTAACAAGATTTGTCTGTATCTCTGATCTTGTCACTTCTCAAGACCGTGAGCGTGGCACTTGTTTTTCCAAAATGATGGGGCAATTTTATCAGATTGGAAAGTTGGATTATCCTCGATACCTAATCTCGGCACTAATGGGTCTTTTAGACTATGTTTAGATTTTAGCTCTTGAGGTAAGTTGATTAGAATTTTCCGACATGCCGACAACCTCTCCCCCCCCCCTTGCCTCGTAGGGAATCTCAGCACTCTTTTATAAAAACATCGCTTAACGTATGGTCAGAGTCTGCTCAACACAAGGTAGAGAGAGCTGTTCTTCGATTTATTTCTTTTCATGATAAGAAAACACTTGCACATTCAGTTGAGCGGGGCCGGATCCTTGTTAATATGTAGATGCTTCAACATTGAAGACAATCCCATGTGTCGTCCCGTGCGCCAAGCATGTAAAGTACCTATGTACTTGATTTCCTCTGCCACTTCTTGGCGTTCTCTTTCCGTATTAGTGCTCAGATCTTGCCGCTTTTTGCTCACTGAGTAGATCTGAGCACGCCCCTGAGCGTCCTGATCCGCTCACTGAGCATTACATAAGCGCTCTGACCTGCTCACTGAGCATGCTCTGATCGTCACCTAAGCGCTCCGATCCGCTCACTGAGCATCATCTGAGCGCCCTGATTCGCTCACTGAGTCTGAGCAGAACTTGGGGTGAGCAGCCTGAGTAAGCTACGTCAATAAAATGCAGCACGCTAGCTCCATCACGTGTACTCCTTCACTTTTAGATGGCACCCATCGTCCCATCAAAAAAAGGCTGGAATTTCAATATGATACTCAATCCTGGTAAAATGTCTGCAATTAATTGCGCCATAATGGAGCTTGCTATTTGGCCACCCAATCAGCATTATCGTTCTACGATCGATGCTCCTGGGAATACTTTGCCTTCTCGGTCCCGCCATTTCCTAACCAGGACTTGAAGCAGTACCGGAGCCAGGAGTATTGGTTCAGTCTACTTGGAGATCCCCAACATGTCCTGGCACAGAGGCTAGCAGAGATGATCGTCAAAATGTGGAGAAAGAGAACCGCTTCTCTGCCAATAAGCGCATGCACCCAGACTTCTATAAGCAATCGGATTTTCTTTATGAGGCTCCAGATATAGTGCTCCTGGTAGCTGGCCGCAGGCTCTGCAATAGCTTACGAAAATGTCCGGAAGCCAACTTGATAATTGCAGCTATCGTTTGAGCCATTTTCTTATTCGCCATATCACCATATTCCCAGGAACCCGGAACCTTTACCACCCTTTATGTATACAGGAATCTCAATCATGTGAGCCTTACGCCTAAGTCGGGAGAACCTTGACTCTAGAAGACGTCGCGCGAGGAAGTAAACGAAAGGAGCCTCCGTGTTCTAGAAAATCCTATGTGGGTCACTCATGGCGCACATCCTCCACTCCTCATGTATGTCGTGAGATATTCATAGCCCTTTGGAAAGAACTTTGTTCCTAGGAGCCTGCCATGCGCCCAGCCAGACCCTGTTACGCAAGAGATCCAGTTAGACGTCCTAGGAACTCAACCCATATCCACAACCCCTTAGGTTGCTGATAGACGTGCCAAAGGATATCAAAGATGCTGCTGTATAAATATAATACAAAGAATACCCATCTCTATCATTTACAATCTTCTGAAGTCTTCGATCAAAAATACTATATCTGAAGACAGAAACAGCAATTACTCCTCTTTGCTATGGTGAGTCTGCCTATGTTGACTAATTGTGACATTCATTTAACAAGTTCGCTACCTACAGTTACCCAAACGCATGATGCCCGACCTGACAAGTACTGGTGCAACCACAGCCCAAGTTGCTAAAGCTGCACATGGGTGGCGTGCATGCTCTATTAGAGAATATTCAAGCTAGTGAGCGCACTGGCGAACTCCTGAATAAAATTGGTCGTCAACTACTTTCCGTCAAAAAGCGATTGGAGAGTATTACATCAGAGGTAGAGGGTATATATTCTTGCGATATCAAACTCAGTTGCAAAGTCCACATTCATCTTCGGGCGGCAATTTCGAACACCCAGGATACATGTGAAAGGTTTTGGGGTACATTCAAGGAGTGGAAAGATCACTCGTCCTCGCTCTATTTGCACGAATCGGATTCTGGTAGCTCTGATATCTTCGAAGAAACGGAATTGCGGCTATTCAGCGAAAGCCTGCAGATGTTGGAATATACATTACTCATGGCAGAGGAAAACTCGGTGTTGTAAGTGAAAAATGAAGCCTTGATACTCGATCGGGGGGTCAATATCTTATTATTTCACCAGATTGGATGAATTATTTTCAGCAGCGATCGACATGAATCGGAAGCAACACGTGCTACAGGACCGACGATTGGCACTCAAACGCATCGCCCGTGAATCCGAAGCATACGAGATTGGGACGCAATACCATCGAAATGTCATTGGTGAGCTCTTGTCTGAGATCAGTCGCTTGCGCAATGGACAACCAGTCTATACCGAGGAAGAGGACCAGCTTCCTATTGATGCTATCAATGCAATGACCGGTGATTACCAATGCCTGCAACGCGATGAAGCCCTTCATGGGGGGGCGAATCCCCGATACCCATCCTTTGGCGAACATGAGACACCCTTACCCTCTCTCCGAGTTTCCTTCCGCCTTACATGTATATCAACCAGACAGCTGGTCATATCCATGGCAAGACAAACTCCAGCGACATTTCGGAAGTTATGGGTGTGAGATTCTCAGCAATCAAGTTGTATAATCGCATGCTTATGAATCGCAGCACGAAAATACTTCCAACCTTTTCCCCTTCACTGTCCCTTTTGTCAAAGATAAACAACGCTAGCATTGTCGGTATGATGGCCTCACACTAGGGCCCCCCAGCTCACCACGGCATTGCGAATTTGCTGAATTTGATACTCTAAACCTACTCACGGATTAGTCATCGTATACTGGTCTCAAAGCATGTCTTAGACGTTGGATTGAATAGACTGGATAGACTGAATGTTTGGCTGATAGCCCCTTGATCGGTAATATATTTCTATGTAGTTTTGAGTGGGAATTCCGTTACACGGTATGTACCGTATTGTACTGAGGGCAGATGCTTGACCGCACGGCCACAGTAAATTACGATGAGCCACAATTGCGGAAATTTACACCCGGTGAAGGTATGTTCGAAACACGTATGTTTCAGTCATGAACCGTTTCTCCGTATGTTTGGTTGGCCCGCTTGGATCACTATGGAGTTGGTCAAAACTTGTGTAATAGTAATGTGGAAATTTCAATTCATTCTGTGATGGCTATAAGCTTGTGGACAAGATAGGTTGTTCAATCATATGGTTGTGAGTAAAATAATGCTGTATTGTCTTGGTCTCCCCAACAGATCTGATGAATTGAAGAGACTTCGTCGGATAGACGTTCAGAGAGATAGGTAAATTCGATCGCTTACGCAGGTTCATTGATATTGAAAGTACCAAAAAAAAACATGACTGGGGCACGTAACTGATGAATTGAGGGAGAGTGATGAATTGAGGGAGAGTGATGAATTGAGGGAGAGTGATGAATTGAGGGAGAGTGATGAATTGAGGGAGAGTGATGAATTGAGGGAGACTAAGCGAAAAAGAAGCCAGATTTGTTTGTAGTTTTTGCATCCACCATTACATACGTAGGAATTGTCGTTGTCTGAAGTCCTGGTACCTGCCCCTTTGCCTAGAAAATCGCCTTCTCGCGGTGCTTGCCGAACTGACATGGCCATTTCGCCCAAAGCTGCATGTCATCGCACTTATACACCCCCATTATTCCTATCCCTTGGTAAATATAGGTCTAATAGCCAAATTTGTTCATTGAAATTACGCAACGAGGTTCCAGCCTCATACTCGATTCGGATAAAACGGTTAACGCATCTCTCCATGTTGCTCAGAGTGACGCTAGCCCCAAATGGGCAGCCTACGCTAACTTGAGGACGAGGAAGAATGAAGTACGCCAAAGAATGGGAAATTCGACCAAGATGGTCGATTGGTGAGGGATTATTGGAACTTAGAGTAGAGGTATGCGCATTGAAATGTAGTGGCGCATCACTGGAACCGCAGTACGAAGATATCCGCAGGACAAGGAATCTGGGATGAAAGAGGCAGTTGTAGCGCTGGAGATTCTTAAGAGTATAAATATGTGGGGTTTGCGCGCTGTGGTCTACGTTGTATATCATTCCAACTCATCTCCAAATCCAAATGAAACATGACTCTGACAAACTTCACAACAGATGCTCTTGATGGCTTGTGTACTCAAGAGCAGCTGGACCTCTTGGATTCTATCGATACGCTACGATCGCAAGGCATCAGCCACTACGTCTCTCTTCCGCAAATAATTGTATGTGGAGACCAATCTTCCGGAAAGAGCTCCGTTCTCGAGGCAATTTCCGGCGTTTCTTTTCCAGTGAAAAGCAGCCTGTGTACTAGATTCCCAACTGAATTGGTTCTTCGGAAGAACTCACAAGTGGGAGTTCGGGTTTCCATTGTTCCTCATCAATCGCGCAGCGACGCAGAGCAGCATTCCCTTGGCAGCTTTTGCGAACACCTCGATGGATTCGATGGCCTTGCGAACTTGATAGAGAATGCAAAGGCAGCAATGGGAATATCAACTCACGGAAAAGCATTTTCGAATGACCTTCTGCGGGTTGAGGTTTCGGGCCCTGACCGGCCACATCTCACAATTGTCGATCTTCCGGGTCTGATTCACTCAGAAACACGACAACAGTCGGCGGCCGATGTACAACTAGTCCAAGATGTGGTTCAGTCATACATGAGAGAATCACGAAGTGTCATCCTTGCTGTTGTCTCCGCCAAGAATGATTTTGCAAACCAGATCGTCCTTCGTTTAGCGCGGGACGCTGATCCATCCGGCGACCGGACATTGGGCGTCATCTCCAAGCCCGATACGCTGGTCCCAGGATCTGAGAGTGAGGCTTCGTTTGTATCGCTCGCTAAGAACCAAGACGTGGAGTTCCGTCTAGGATGGCATGTGTTGATGAATATGGATTCGGAGAAAGGCCAGTGGAGCTTATCCGACCGGAACATCCAGGAATGGAACTTTTTTTCCCAAGGCATTTGGGAAGACCTGCCTCGATCACTTGTGGGCGTGGACTCATTGCGAAATCGTCTGAGCAGTCTGCTTCTTGGTCAAATTGCAAGTGAACTTCCAAGCCTGATCAACGAGATAAATTCAAAGATCAATTCCTGTCGGTCGCAGCTCCAGAAGCTTGGCGACCCTCGCGCAACACTAGATGAACAACGGTCGTATCTTTTGCATATCAGTCAAGCATTCCAGTCTCTGGTCAAAGCAGCCGTGGACGGCACTTACAACGAGCCTTTTTTCGGAGATGCGAAGACAAGAAATGGGTACCAGAAGCGCTTCCGAGCAGTCATTCAAAATCTGAATCAGCAATTCATGGAAAAGATCTCCCGCCGTGGCCATTTCCGCCATGTGCTTGAAAGTGAAGATCAAAGATCGGTCTCCAAAACTCAAGTATGTCTCACAAGAAAGGAATATGTTCAGCATATTGAAACGCTTCTCAAAAAGACAAGGGGTCGAGAGTTACCTGGTACTTTTAATCCTTTGATCGTTAAGGATCTATTTCAAGAACAATGCGGCCCGTGGGAAGACATAACACACAGCCATATTACTGCGGCTTGGATGGCTGCAAGAGAGTTCCTTCAACATGCAGTTTCCTATGTGGCAGATGAGGCTACTTCAAAAGCCCTGTTCAAAAAGGTGATTCTGCCAGCTCTGGGAAATTTACGACATGCATTGGAGAAGGGAAGCGAAGAGCTCCTTATGCCGCATCAACGAGGCCATCCTATCACCTACAACCACTACTTCACTGAAACACTCCAAAAGACTCGCACTGATCGCCAAAAAGAAGCCTTCCGTAAAGCTCTTCAATCATATTTTGGTGTTGATACTCTTTCAGCCTCTGAACCTGTGCTGCACGCCATCGATCTTCAAGGGCTTTTCAATTCTCTTCTTCAGACTACTATACCAGACATGACACGGTTTGCGTCCGAGGAGGCACTTGACTGCATGCTCTCCTACTACAAGGTATGTCCTGCCAGCCGCCTAATTTTTCAATCCTCTGATTAATTTGTGTGATGCCGAAAATAGGTTGCACTCAAACGTTTTGTTGATGACATTGCCACTGAAGTAATCGAAGTCAAGCTTCTCAGTGCACTGCCTACGCTTTTTACACCTATAACTGCATTCGAGATGCCCAAAGACTTGGTCGGTCAAATAGCAGGTGAATCCGAGGAGAGCCAAAGCCTCCGGGAACAACTGAACAAGAAGTTGTGGATCCTCACGAAAGGTTCAGATACTTGCAAGCGTTTCGTTGGTATCAGAGGCCTTGGTAAGCGAACTCAGCTTACATTCATACTTGTACTGACCAAGTCCGTAGAGTTGAACAATGAATTGCAGGCTAGCTTACAACAAAATCGGGCCAGATTGTCCTCTAGCTCTTGTAGCTCGATTGAGCTACATGAGGAAGCTGATGCGATTGACTCTGAATCAGTCGACGAACAGTCCAGATCGCCCAGCCCGGATCTACCAGAGCAACCTGCCAAATACGGGTATGCTCTGGAGCATACCAAAGAACCAGAGAAGCAGCTAGCAGCTCCTATTCCCTCGAAGAGTGGCAAAAAGAAAACAAAGAAAAAAGCTGCCAACAAACTTCAATCTCCCGTGGAACCCCCTGGTGAGACTCCTACGGAATGAGAGTCGCTTGATGATGGAAATTGAGAGTGTGTTTAATTTTCCTCCACAGAAAACCACTCTGTTGTTGGAAATGTAGTTGAACAGTGGTGCATATAGGTCTTCGGATGTATGATCCGCATGAGAGAAAGGACCCTTCGGTTACTTAATGTGCTCATGTATGGGTTCTTTGAAAAATGTATTACATTCTTAGTTTGGGTAGCTCGCAGATCAAAACCGGCACCGACCCTACTCGGACCAGCGTTGTCCAGTCTAATGCGCAAGAATTGAACAATACGACGTAAAAGCGCAGGTATCAAAATTATGCGGAAATGGCATACTGACAAATAAATTGATCTGGGGCCCCACCTGCCCATAGGTATAGCCTACGTAGGAATTTGGTTGCTGCGAGACTTTCAGGTCTAACGTTCTTAACGTATCCGTACTGTACAGCAATGTTTGTTCTACAGTGCATGTACCTCCACTTCCTAGCTGTCTTACTGAGCCCCTGGATTTCAGTCCCGAAACTAGCCTGTGTCCGTGCTTTTCGTGGTCCCGGACTCACCTATGAATGTGGAGGAAAGCGGGTCTTGGACTATTAGACTTGGAAACGCACCCATGCCACCCACAGACGACCGCCACGGCTTATAGATTCTTTCGGTTTCTTTGTTCAGTTGTGCGAGAACATGCATACATCACACGTGACCATTCCCCTGACGCGAGTCATGACGCACACTTTTCTTTGTTTGAAGCACGGAATGGTTCCACCGGGCTCACCAGGCTAAGTTCTCGCGACGGCCGTTCTTTGTCTGCTCAATGCATGAGCCTGGTTCCGGCAGTCCTATCCACGAATTGGAAAAAGGGCCCCCAACGACCTAGTGCACGTTCAGGAGATGGGAGCTACTGGCGTCAGAAGAGCAGGACGACCGGTAATGCATAAATAACCTCTAAGTGCCTCCTGATATCCCACTCCGACCGACAAGTGTTTCCCAATCTTCTTAAACATTTTTAGAACTCTAAGCAACATTCAAATTTGTTGTTGCGTCCATTACGCCGCACACTTTCAGTGCCATGTCGAACTCGGCATCCACTGAAGCATCAGCACAGAGTTCCAATGGCTGCGAGCAGACAGGTGAGTAGATCATTAGCTCACAACGCACGTTGCGCATAGCTACGAAGCTAATCTGGGTGAGGACAGCCCAGGCGATGCTGCGCCGGTCTCTGACCACGACCAGAACTGTCATGGCAAAACTATTGCCATATTATTATATGTATCTTCTTGCGATCAGGTATATCGAAGAACAAAGTGAGTCTTTCTAGCGGGCATGAGTCTCAAAAATGGTCGCGGGGGCGTTCGTCTTTCAATTTCCAACGCGACTTTTATCTAGCAAATAAAGAAAATGGGTTTGTGAGCTGGCCATTTAATTCCGTGTCATCACCCACTTCCTCTCTATGGCCTCCTCTCCATGGACGCAAACGTGAATGATCTTTTCCGACGTATTTGAGTCTCATTTACCCTCCATGGCCAGAAAAATATCCCTACCGCCACTACGGCCGACCGGCAAAGGCAATACTTCCCAGCTACAGACACTACACCTAGAGGCTGCCGTGGCCGACAAGGTGACTCGTACATTTTGATTTCTCCCTTGACTTCACTAAGACGAAACCGTGACCCAATGGCAACTGGGATCTGCACCGCCACTTTTAAGCCCCAGCTGGGAATCAAGTATGGCATGGAGGTTACCACCATTAGTTTCATTTTCGCTAGCATCGCTGGCTTACTACCAGAAACAATAACAACGGCATATGACGCATCCGGAATACTCAGTTAAAGCCCAATTGGGTTGGTGCTAGTCCAACGTTCTTCAAGGCGTCCCTAAAGATGCAGAGCGATGCGTGATCGACAGCAGATAAATCTTGAACGAAGTCATCTAGGCGGTGAGGAGAATTCGCCATAAGTGGATCCGGTATGAACATCTGGGTCGTATTGGATTCAGTGGGAAAATCCGGTATTGATTGAGATAGCTGACGAGCTCTCACCGCACTGGCTCGGGCCATGAGACATTCCAGTGGTCGCATTATCAACCCTTCTCTCCGGCACATTGCTTCCTTCCACCGTTCATAAACTCGGTTTACAACCGTCCACGCGCGGTCAGACTAGGGCTCCGAAAGGAATAAATGAATGCGAATATACAGCATATTCATATTCGCACTGTAGGAATATGAATATATGAATTTTTATTCACGCGAATAAACGCATTATTCATATTCGCATTCATATTATTCATATTGTGAATTTTATCCGCATTAATACTTTGTCCGGTACAGCGGTTCTCGTATTACCGAAATACGTTAGGGGTTAATTTCAAAATTCCATCACTTCATCGACGGCGTTGAACCGTAGAATGTCATTTCCAAATATATGCTAGAATTCAAGATCCGCCTATCTACTAAGCTGCAGTGGATTGTTTTGAGGTACCATACTCATCCACAAGCGTCTGATCATGGAGACTTTAGGGCCAGTAGAAAAGAGCGGTTGAAATTATATATATCTATGACCCAGCTTCATATCATCTTGTTTGGTCTGTTTGACTATACCCATTAATTCCCGTAGTTTCATTGTGATCCATTTCAAATTTCGTCCATGCACTATGTACGATGAATGGCACGTAGAAACACGTTTGCCTCACAATATAGAGTCTCCAATGACCCTGGCTGCATTTTGTTTACATTCTGTTTACGCTCAATGTTACGAATAGCGCGCTGCAGAAATACAGAAGTGACCTATCGATTTTCCAGTTCATAAAGGGCATATAAAGCGCGAAAATGACCGAGATTGCCAACAATCATCCCACCCTCCAGTCCCCCTTTCAGCTCTGCCTGATTATTCAAGTAGCTCAAGGTATGTTATGCATTATTGTTGAGACCACTTTGATATACTGACCCAGAAAACACTAGCATGGCATCTACACCTGCTCCATTCGTGCGGAGGACGCGGGGTCTTCCACGCCGGGACTATAATGCTCTACACAATGGCCTGGTTTCATCACCTTCTGAGCAATCCGAGGAATCCATTTGTGAAATAGGACGCCCCTACTCTCCGGAACACTCTCCGTCTAGGGGCCCTGAGCAAACACCCCAATCTAAGCGGTCCTACTGTCTGCCTAGTTCTTCCCCCTCCCCGCTTGATCCCGCGTTTTCAGAGAGCACGAGCAATACGAGTAGCTTGCATCCGTATAAGAGACGAAAAACCAAGTCCTATTCTAGTTGGACCACTGAGCACTTTTGGACCACAGAGCTGGACAACACTTGGTGTCGACAGGGCGGCCCCTTGAAGAATGACCGATTGCTGGTTTGCAAGCACTGTAGCTGGTCCTCCAGGGATTCGGCGCGCTATGGTTCCACTTCGAATTTGTTGGTGCATCTCCAGACCAAGCATCGTATCAAATCCGGGAATCACCCTATATTGTTGCCCACGGCCGAAGGGAACCTCGACCCATTCTTGGAGTCGCCGGGGAAGAAGGCTGATGTTGAAAAGACGCTAGTCCAATGGGTCATTCAAACAAGGCAGCCTTTCACGGTAGTGGAGCATCCGGCGTTCAGGGCACTTATTGAAGCAACGGGGGTTAAGTTGCCTATCAGGACCGCTGACACTCTCTTCAATCGAATCAAGGACGAATTCCACTCAGATAGGGCTTGCGTGAAAGAAAAGCTTGCTATAAGCAGTCGAACACTCGCATTATCTCTTGACGTTTGGACTTCGGAGAATCAGATCGCGATAATGGGTATCATGGGTCATTGGATCTCCCCCGAGTTTGAAAAGCGAGAAGAACTTCTCGAGTTCACGGATATCAATGGACCACATTCTGGAGAAAATCTTGCGGAAATTGTGCTAAAGATGCTCGAGGAACTGGACATTGCGCCTAAACTCCTGACTATCACAGGAGACAATGCGGGCAACAATGGGACTCTCTGCGATAGTCTGCATGACGAGCTCTGCAAAAAGTACGACAACGATGATGACCGCTTTCGCATCAGGCCGCTAATGCGGTTCCGTGGACGACAGAGCTTTATCCCTTGCCTTGCCCACGTCCTCAATCTGATTTGCAAGGACGTGTTAGCTTCTTTGAGGGCCGGCTCGGCACGAGAGGCGAAGGCGATGCTGGACGACTTGGCCGTCAATACTAGCTCAGCATTTAGCTCCCTTCACAGCACGAAAGGAGCAATCATGAAAATCCGGCTTTTGACACTATGGATCGCCCGCAGCCCACAACGCCGCCAAGATTGGAAAGAAGTGTCACCAGGCAAGCAAGTCAGCTATGATGTTGACACCCGATGGAACTCAACCTATGTCATGATCCAAGACGCCCTCCGGCTACAGACTGAGCTGGGGCAATTTGTCCGGATACATCCAGAAGTCCAGGCCCTTCAGCTCACCGATGACGAATGGTCGACGCTTCAGCAAGTAGCCAAGATTCTCAAGCCGTTTTGGGACCACACAAACTCCGTATCAAAGACTCGCCCGACAATTGTGGAAAGTCTACCAATTTATTGGAGCTTGGACGACTTGTTGAACGACGTTCGGAATGCCGCGGGAGATTTTGAAGATGTGAACACTGAAATTCGAAATGCAGTGGAAAGAGGGATTCGGAAGATGAACAAGTTTGCCAGGAAAATGGACGACAACCTTCTTTACTACGTTGCTTCCGTGTTGGATCCGCGTATCAAGTCGTCCTTGATTGTATCGCAGATGAGTGACCAGGATGCAGGGCTCATCATTTCTCAAGTGCGCGAGTTTCTAAAGAAAGAATATCCCCCGGAGGCCTTTACCTTGCATGAATCTGAGAACTCACGTCCGCCGGGGATGTCGGAAACCATGTGGAAAACTCTGCGCAAAGTTCAGCCTGCCCAAGGAAAATTTTCATCTGATATCGATAAATATTTGGACTCACCACCGGTCAGCTGGTCCCACCATATGATCGGCGATGCGGACGAAGAATGGGTCCTGAAATGGTGGAGGGCCAACGAATTTAATTTCCCTCTAATGGCAAAAGCCGCTCGCGATTACCTATCGATCCCCTCAGCAGAGGTCGGTATTGAACGCGAATTCAGTAATGCCAGAGATATGTTGGGTCTCCGAAGACACTGCCTAAACGCAGAGACTATGCGATGGTTGATGCTACTGAGAGAACGGTATCAAGCATAAATTTCGGGTAATTCAAACTTCAAAGCCTCGTATTATTACGCTGCGTAAGAACAAAATGATGAACCCTATTGATGTATTGGGATGTAATGAAATGAATGGTAATGTATGGGATCTGCGTATTTGGGATAAATATGAATTATTCATTTATTCATGATTAATGCGAATATGAATAGAGGGGTTATTCATATTCATATTATTCAATTCATTTAATTCATATTCGCAGATATTCATGATTATTCACAAATTATCATATTCCTTTCGGAGCCCTAGGTCAGACAACGGCGAGGTCGGGCGCACGCAGAGTTCCGACAAAACATAGGCAAACGAATGCCACTGAAAATACCCCTCAAATAACCAGGACCATTTCGCGGTACTTCCATGAGTCTCAAGCAAGTAGACGGACTCAAGTACTTCAATAGCTGTGCAAAGGAGTTCGCGTCGGTCAGGCCATAAGTTTACATCAAACCCTTCAGCGGTAAGTAGCGAGAAATTAGACACCAGCCACAACCGTGCAAGTGCGACTCGTGCAATTGTCGCAGTCACCCACTGGATAGGGATGTCGAAGTCACAAAATTGTAGATATCGTTCGCGAAGAACTCGCCTAGTCTCTTCGATTGCAAGTTCGCGGCTTTTCAACAAGGCCATTTGACCATCAAGCCCGGGGCTAGTGATTTGCATCAATTTGCGAGAGGATATAAGAATCTCACAACGGAGCAAGAACAAAGTCATTTCCGTGAAGCCTTTCCGTTCTTGAGGAGACTCAACCGATAGGTCGTCATCGTTGATATTTAACGGCAGTCGCGTATCATAGTCTCCTTCCCGAATATTAGGGGCAGTGGCTTGGTTATCGGATGATTGAGAATCCAATAAAGAAATATACCACCAGAGTCGTCTCCGCATTTCTGTTTCAAACGGGCTTAGCCCAAAACGGCTACCATCACGATGTAGGCCAAGGCTTAGGCTGAGCCGAGTGACCACAGCTATCATGGTCCAAACAAACCGAGCATCGTTTGGCTGGCGAGCGCAGGCTAGGAAGAGGACGGCAGCTTGTAGTACAACCAGTTTGTGCGTGTAAAGAAATCCTGCCCGCGCTAGCGCCTGTTCGACAGCGAAGCGATATCGTTCCACCAAGGTGGCGTGGTCTTCTCCAAAATTGTGGAGACATTCCTGTGGTGTCATACTTGAAGCTGCTGCGAAGTAGACACAAAATACTAAGGCTTCAGAGCTCCTATCGAGCTCCTCCAAATTTGAGCATGCTGTTTGAATTAGGTTCCTCAGCGTTGGCTTATGAATGATCATAACAATTGGTGCTATGTTCGCTTCGAAGACATTTAAAAGTAGATGGCTGCCTGTCGGCGATGGGTGGTAATAGCGTAGTGAACAAGCCAAAGAATGGTGGCCAAATGGAAAAAAGCTTTGCATTTTCGAGTATGGTGTAGTCGAACCAGGTGGATAGGTATTTTCCTCGGATGATATTGCCGGCGATGAGGAGTCAAAAAGAGTTTGGAGTTCCTTGATCTTTATACACGATCGTAAAAGTGGTCAGTAATTTGATAGCTCCTGAATCTTGTTGAGAAGAAGGAAACGTGGAAAGGGCATGATTTACCTGATCTCCTAGATCGACCAGAACCTGATGGTCCAGATACCGACTTGACCCATTGCTTTGATCAACAACTAACCGTCCGATTTGATGTCCTAACGTGCTAGGCGTCGCCTTTGTCGATTTTAGCTCATCATGAATCTCGGTTCTCCGTTCAATGGACCCATTTGGATAGATGGAATGAGTCCCCGGATGCAATGAGCTTGTTGCTTGATTGTCCTCCGTACTCCCCTGACTGCCCCGACTAGTCTGGCTGTGTGCAGAGTCAAATCCAGTAACGCTTTCTGCGATGAGTTCCTCGACCTTTCGTTCCAAGAAGCCCAATCGTGAGCTCAACTTCGCCGTAGATGATGGATTTTGTATTCTCCGGGGCCTGCGTCCAGGCGATGGAAACGTGCATACGAATCCAAGCCTCACACAATTGCCACATGGGAAAGCCTTACTACATCGTACCTTTCTTCGACAACATTCGTGACAACTTCGACTGGGTGTAAATTGATCTCCTTCTTGTGAGAAGGGCTGGCAATTCATGGAATCGGCAGGTCCGTGGGCCATTTGGTAATGGACGTGATAATTACACTGGGGGTTGGAAGTGTTTCGCTCGTCGTCTCCATGTTTTGCGAAGCGACTTGACAGCGTTTATCAACCCATCATCAAGTCGCCATCAACCAATCATCAACCGACCATCAACCAATCATAAACCAGCTGTTAAAATGTGGCTCATCCTTGGCCCGTAAGTTCCAAATATTGTTCCCCGACCGGCAATTAAGCCTGGCCACCTGAAAAATGTTCCCAGAGCCCTCTACCACAGTGGTGATTACTATGGAAATAGGGAAAAAAGAACTCCACAAAATCCTAGGACCATGGTTAATTTTCACATGGAAACCCCAGAGAATATATGCTGGCCCAGTTAGCATCCATGAATGACCTGCGTCCACATTTATTCGCTAACCTAGTTCTATTCTGTGCGTTGGGCCTAGCCCCGGCATTGTGTCGATGGGGTGGGTGTGCAACAAATCCAGCAATGACAAACATACTTTACGAAGCCGGTCGGGAAGTGTGAGCGAGATCGAGGGCAACAGAGAGACTCAAATAGGGCAAGTGTATTGTCTCCAATCGCCAAAAAAGGAGGCCGAGCCTCAGGAGGAAGCTGCAATACGTTTTCCCCGTTCAGGATTATCCACGGCTTCCGCTGTATGGATATCAGCAGATTAGTCAGAGGTGAGTAAGATGTATGATTACCATATATGGACTGAATATCGAGGGATCTTGGATTAGTTCTTAAATATGAAGCATCCTGGAACAATTCGAGGTTAGTGACGTCTCCCTCAATTGTCAAGGTCTCGTGTAGGGCCATCTATCGCGGTGTCCTAGAACTGGACTGTCTTGTCAGATCCGGACGCCAGCAGTCGGCCGTCGGGTGAGAATGTCACCGGGCAAACCTAATGTGAATAGCCCTTGAAACTCTGTTGTAGGGTGCCTGTCGCGGTGTTATAGCACCGGACTGTCTTGTCGGAGCCGGACGCCAGCAGTCGGCCGTCGGGCGAGAATGTCACCGGGCAAACCTAATGTGAATAGCCCTTGAAACTCTGTTGTAGGGTGCCTGTCGCGGTGTTATAGCACCGGACTGTCTTGTCAGAGCCGGACACCAGCAGTCGGCCGTCGGGCGAGAATGTCACCGGGCAAACCTAATGTGAATAGCCCTTGAAACTCTGTTGTAGGGTGCCTGTCGCGGTGTTATAGCACCGGACTGTCTTGTCGGAGCCGGACGCCAGCAGTCGGCCATCGGGTGAGAGTGCCAGCCGACCAACTCAACCGAACATAATTTAGTGTTCGTAGGATCCACCTTTGCCAAGAACTCCACTATAACATCCTGGCGGGAGTTGTTCATCATAGTTTTCGAAGTCGAACTCGAATCCATGAATTATTCCTTTTAGTTCCCAAGGTATATAAGAAACATCCCAGCGGAGCATTCAAGTAGTTCCAATCCTGTTACACGTCTTGATTTCACTTTAGGTTCTATTGAGAACAATCATTGAGCTTTTTCCTTTCACGGTTTCAACGAAAATGCTCGTTTCCACTCTTGCTTTCGTGACTCTCTTACTAGGCACAGCAGAGGCAAAAAAACACCATGATTCGTCTTCACAATATGATTTTGTTATTGTTGGCGGAGGTACTAGTGGATTGGTTGTCGCCAACAGACTTTCGGAAATGCGAGATGTCACCGTGGCTGTCATCGAAGCTGGAGATTCGGTTCTGAACAATTTCAACGTCTCCGATGTTATGGGTTACAGTCTAGCCTTTGGAACGGAGATCGACTGGGCCTACCAGACCGAGAATCAGACATATGCTGGAGGATTGAAGCAGACTATGCGTGCCGGAAAGGCCATTGGTGGCACAAGCACGATCAATGGTGACCTATACCCCCATTTTTTGGTACATACGTTGGGCATCTACTGATTCCAGCCTGGTATAGGAATGTCCTACACTCGAGCCGAGAACGCGCAAATTGATTCTTGGGAACTAATTGGAAACAAGGGGTGGAATTGGAAGAGCCTCTTACCATACTACAGGAAGTCGGAAGGTTTTCAAGTGCCCACTCAGGACCAAACTGCTCATGGTGCCGATTACGATGCCAGGTATCATGGAGAAAATGGCCCCCTGAAGGTCGGTTGGCCTACAGCGATGACCAATAAAAGCGTCCTTCCTGTACTCAACAAAACTTTCGAGCAACTGGGTGTCTCTTACAACCGTGACATCAATGGAGGCAACATGGTCGGACTCACGGTTCATCCCGATACCATCGACAGAGAGGCCAACGTCCGCCATGATACTGCCAGAGGTTACTACTGGCCCTACGAAACCCGTTCGAACCTCAAAATTATCTCCAATATGCACGCGAACAAAATAATCTGGGCCAACGACTCTCTCGGCGAGGCCGTTGCAATTGGAGTTGAGGTTACCGGTATTGAGGGAGTGGAGGAGATATATGCTTGCAAGGAGGTTATCTTGTCAGCCGGATCTCTTAAATCACCAGTGCTCCTAGAGTTGTCCGGTGTTGGAAACCCAGACATCCTCCACAAGTATGACATTCCTGTCAAGGTCAACCTTCCTACTGTTGGTGAGAACTTGCAGGATCAGACGACCAATGGTCTCTCCTTTAAAGGGAAAGATTTCTGGACTGGTCTAGCAACGTTCTCTGCTTTGCCATCAGTCGACCAGCTATATGGCAACAATGTCTCCGCCGTCGCTTCTTTTGTCAAATCCAGCCTCGCTGATTACGCAAAATCTGTCTCCAAGGCGTCGAATGACGTCGTTAAAGAGTTTAATCTTCTGGATGCTTTTCAAGTCCAGTACGATTTGATCTTCAACTCACAGGTCCCATATGCAGAGATTGTCTTTCTTCCTAGTGGAGACTCATTTTCAACCGAATACTGGCCTCTTCTTCCTTTCTCAAGAGGTAGTATCCACGTCAAGTCCGCAAATGCCTCTCTTCCGGCGGCTATTAACCCGAACTACTTCATGTTTGGACAGGACGTCAGTGTCCAGGCTGATGTGGCTCAGTATATCCGTAAGGCGTTTGATACTACCCCACTGAGTGGTCTTGTGGGGGAAGAGGTTGCACCAGGACTGGACCTTCTTCCTAGAGATGCATCTGTCTCTACATGGGAAAGCTGGGTCAAATCGAACTGTAAGACTTTTTATTCACAGCACCAAAAAACTGCCAAAATACAGGCTAACTTCCTTCCAGATAGATCCAACTTCCATCCAGTTGGCACTGCTAGCATGCTTCCTCGTGAGAAGGGTGGAGTTGTTAGCCATGAGCTCAAAGTCTATGGTACCAAGAATGTCCGAGTGGTTGATGCTTCAGTTTTACCATTCCAGCTCTGCGGCCACTTGGTAAGCACTCTTTACGCTGTCGCTGAAAGGGCTTCGGATTTGATCAAGGAGGAATATATAGCTTAGAGGGCTTTGATTCAAACATATGAGGAGAAACGATTGAAGATTGTATATGTTGATAAATTTCCTGATATTCATACATCAAAATTGGTTGCAAAATATCTTGATTTCATTGCGCGTTGGAATCGAGGGGAGTTTCAATATAGTTATATTGCATAACGTTATAAACGACCTCTTTTTGTGGTGGACATCGTTGGTATGGCTTAGCGGTGATAAGGAAGCAACCATTTTTCTCCTCTCTTGTGTAATGCAAATTCTTTGATGTACGCTGCTGCTGAATTGGTTCGATGGAATAAAAGAAAGCAACCTCACACGAAAAAACATGAACTTTTGCTCCAATGTTGTAGGCTTTTCAACTTAAACCCTAGATCGGGAGAACTTATCGGTTTTTGATAAAGCCAGACATAAAAAAATAGTCGGAATAGCTGGTTATCTATAAATATCGTTTGGTTATTAAATCGAGAAATGCCAAGGCGAGGGCTGAGTCATAATAAAATTGCGAGCTTGTCACAGGAGAAAAAGGTGAAGGTGTATATTGAAATACGTAGTGATTTTGAGCCCATTAAACCTAATATTCTGGTCCTGATAGTTGGTCATAGAACATTTTACCTCTTTGAATTGTAGCCTGTGAAGCAATGTAGCGACTTGATGTTTACTTCTTCTTTTCTTCGACTTTTCCAGCCCGATGTTCTCGAGTCCAGGATCGACATTGAACTGGTAATAGCGTCTTCCACTGTATATACTGCACTTATCACAACTAAACAGCGAGCTAACCCTCGAATCAGATTGACTTCGCCTGGACTAAGGGTCTTTCGACGGCAGATGCCGCTGAGATTCGGACATGGTGAATGCGGGTACTAATAGGCAGATCGAGCAGACACAGTAGGGTGAAGATGCAGTCACTGTTGAATCGGTGACCTATACCGGCTAGTTGGATTCCTAGAACATGGTGATTGTCGTGATCAAGATGCAAAGCGGGGTCAAGCACGAGTTTAACACGAAAGGTAATACGAAAGAAGTTTGCCGCTCTGAAAAATTACGTTACCATCAGTCACATTGATCAGTGAAGACACAAATCGCCTTACCCAGTTGAATATCGAAGGAGCCTATTGTGTCAACAACTCATGGCATTTTGGCACTGTAGTCGTCCTACCAATGCCTGCAACGCGATGAAGCTCTTCATGGGGGCAAATCCCCGATACCCATCCTTTGGTGAACATGAGACACCCTTACCCTCTCTCCGAATTTCCTTCCGTCTTACATGTATATCAGCCAGACAGCTGGCCATATCCATGGCAAGACAAATTCCAGCGACATTTCGGAAGTTATGGGGGTGAGATTCTCAGCAATCAAGTTGTATAATCGCATGCTTATGTATCGCAGGATGAAAATATTTCCAACCTCCCCCCCCCCAAACTGTCCCTTTTGTGAAAGATAAATAACGCTAGCATTCTCGATATGATGGCCTCATACAAAGCCTTGTCGGCTCACCACGGCATGGTGAATTTGCTGAATTTGATACTCTAAGTCTAGTCGCGGAATAGTCATCCTATACTGATTTGAGCATGTCCTAGACGCTGGATTGAATAGCTGAATGTTTGGCTGATGGCCCCTTGATCGGTAATATGTTTATGTTTTTTGAGTGGAATTCCGTTACACGGTACATAAGGTAATGTACTAAGGCAGGTATTTGACCGCACAGCCACAACGTCGGAAATTCAAATAATGAATGTATGTTCGAAACACGTATGTTTGGTTTGACATGCTTTGATCACTATGGATTCCATTTGGTCAATACTTGTGTAATAGTACTGTACATGGAAGTTTTAATCTTGCTCCAATTCATTCTGTAATGGCTAGAAGCTCGTGGACAAGATGGGTTGTTCAATCATATGGTTGTGAGTAATAAATGGCTGTATTGTCTTGGTCTGCCCGACAGATTTCATGGATTGAAGGGACTTCGTAGGAAAGACGTTTAAAAGATGGGGAAATTTCAATCGCTTACGCAGATTCATTGATACTGAACGTACCAAAAATTATGACTGGGGCACGTAAATGCTGAACTGAGAGAGAGTGCTGAATTTGCATAGTTAACAAATGATGACATTCTTAACTAACTGGGTAAGGGGACTGCCCACTTTATATCTGGACTGTAATGACATGGGTGAGGACAATGACCGGTCGTTAGGAACAGGGGGTCATCAACTCCCTCAAATAATTGCACCAACTTCTTTCCCTCAGGCCAAAAAAGCCGAGGAACAATGGCGAAGTACTTTGGTTGATGCAACACTATAGTGATGGGATATATATAGTTGTAGTAGCCTGCATATCGCTTTCGACGAGGGTTCAGGGTAAATCAAGTCATACATACACACTTACATACATACAGTAAGTAGGACAGCACTCATGCGTTTCCACTCCTTTTTCTGATAAAAAGCCATGCGAGATAGCCAGCTATGGTATGATGAATTTCTGGTTGATACAAAACAGTGATTATCTCACAAAATTCTTGAAGCATTGTATTAATCTTCTTCACAACTTTTTGGGTGCCTCAGACTTGACTCCCAGCCCAGTGATGACTGAAGGCCGGGATTTCAAAGTCATCAACCACCGATGAAGGTTGGGAAAATCCTTCTCCAAATCAATCGCATCCTCTGCCACCCACGGAACAACCTCAAACCAAGAAACAAAGACAAGATCAGCGTAGCTGCACTTATTGTTGACCAGGTAGCTGCGTCCTTCAAGAACCCCGTTCAGTACAGCGGATACACGGCGGATCTCGTTGATGTATCTATCCACAGCCGTCTGGACCTGCTCCTTATGGTGGATTTTGAACCATACAGCCTGACCGAAATATGGGCCTTGGCCCGATGCCTGGAAATGGAGCCATTGTTTCGCTTGGTAAAAGTCCGGAGATCCCCGCGAGAAACTGATTTCCAATTTCTCGTCGTATTTCTCCACCAAGTATTCAATGATTGCGCCAGACTCCCATAGCGTCACTCCGGTGTTGGGATCAGAAATTGCAGGAACCCGCCCATTAGGATTGATCTTTTCATAGGCAGGCTGCTTCATCTCCGGAAACTCAAGAAGCTTGATCTCGTAGGGAATTCTGAGCTCTTCTAGAACCATAACCACCTTTTTGGGGTTAGGACCAGCATGGTGGCCGTAGAGAAGAATTGGCTTCATGGCTGAGAAAAAGGCGGACAAAGGATCGTTGGAATTGAAAGAAGTGGTGTCAGAAGTGATGAAGTGGAAACTAAGAGTTGAGAGGATATTCTTTCCAAGATTCCAAGTCACTTCAATGATTAAGTAGCATTTTCTCAACGTTCTGCCGCCACCCGTTCACCTCCTCGGTTCCCGGGGCCTTCGGCCGTTGATTACGCAAAAGAGCGAAATTGGCAAGCAAAACCCAGATGATGATAGTAAATCCGAGAAATAGACTTAAGCATTGGCCAATAGTAAACCGTGCATGGACGCTACTGTGGGATTAGGTAAGGTGGGCGTGCCAGGGTTTGTCATCCCTCGCTGCCAGGTGAGTCCCGAGCGCCGGAGCCGCTCGGTCTTTGCTAACTAATCCATCACAGCTACACTTTCCCACCCGAGGTTCTCTGATATAACTTATCCCTTGCCGAAGATCAGTCCAAATATCATTTTGTATAGATCATATCCCAAAAGGAACCAGAAGTCACGTCAACAACATCATGTCTACCAACAACATCGCTTTCACTGCTCCACTCAATCCCATTGGAGCTAGCCCGATCCTCAAAGAAGATCACATTTGGGCTGGTTTACTCCTCAAAATTCGATCCGCCGAAACATTTGTTCCTAAGGCTATCCAGTCCACCACTGTGGTCTCCGAGTCCACCGACCCATCGACGGGAAATCCAGTCACAGTTCGTGATGTCATTTTCTGTGAAGATCAGCGCAAAGTCAGAGAAACCGTCACCGCATACAAGCCTTCTCGAGTGGTTTTCGTTCAGCCGGATGGGAGCACAATTACCAATCTTGTCAGTGAGGGCGCAGACGGAGAGCTGTACATGACCTACACTTTCGAATGGAGACATCCTGGGGCCTCTCCGACTGAGCTCGCTGCCTTTTTGGAGAAAGAGAAGAAGATGAGCAAAATGGCTGTTGATGGAACAATCACGGTTTTGCGGCAGCTGGTCAAGGATGGAAAAATCTAAACATCGCAAATTCCTTGTATTTTTATGCCGCAATGCCTGTCAGTAATAATTCAATGATATCATGGTTCGAAAAGATAAACTAGTGCGAAGGAATTATGGCATGAATGATGTCATGACGGCTTGTAGCTATGTAGATAGTCTATGGTCCCCACCGAGAGGTTTTGATCGGGTCAAGGAGTATAACAGTATATAGTCGCTAATCAGGTTGAAATATACATGTGAGCGAGTGTTTCGGGTTGTAGTGTTTCCTCCGTTTATTGCTTGCAATTATACGCTTGTTGCTGTTCCCATCACTCCCACCAACTTTGAACTTAGTCTTATAACTTCAAGGATCGAATTCGAAAAGTGTAATATCAAAAGATAATGGTGTAACATAAGTATTTGACCTCAAGTACTTCGGCTTGGAACCCTTTTTTTAAACCAATTAAATAGCTAGTAAGCCACCTATCATATTTCATGACAACAGCCACCCTATGAGGCATAGTCTCTGATAGATACTTAAAGATGTAAATATTTAGGCCTTCCAAAGCTTCCTTCGCAGCTTCTAGAAATAGATCTAGTGTACATGCGCTATTTAGTAGGTGCATAAGTTCAGGATGACGCTTTAAAATTCCGACATACCAATAAAGTAGGCGGTATAAAAAGCGGTCAGTCCAAAAAAAGGATAGTAAGTTTTTCCATGCTTTAAGCAGTTCTTACAGTGGTGTATCATAAGTATTTGACCTCCGATACTTCGGGCCCCATTTTGGTCTGACCGCCATTTCAGACCGCCTACTATATTAGACCATAAAACCTCGCGCGTCTCAACACGCTAGTATGTACGCTATGTCAACGCGTTTTGATATAATTTTCGCAATTTTTTTCTACATAATTATGCCTCCTATACGCGGAAAAAGGGGCCCAGAGCTTGACTGCCTAACGAGAGCTAAGATCTGTGAATTACATACTACCAATGGCTGGGGTGCAACAACAATCAAAAAGAGGCGATTTCCAGACATTCCACGCTCAACCATTCAATATACCCTAACCCAAGAATCGAAGCGTATAAAGCAGGAGACTTTATCCCGTACTGGCCGCCCTAGGAAGCTTACCGACGAAGATCGTGATCATATATACGATACTATACAGCAAAACCCGTCAATTTTGGTCGAAGATCTACTCGCAGAGGTCGATCATAAGGTTAAACGCATGGCAATTTGGCGTCTTACCCATGAAATGGGCCTTCGAAAGTGGCGGAAGATGCAGCGGCCTGCTTTAACGCCTTTACATGCTGAAAAACGCCTAAATTGGGCCGGAAGATATCAGCAATTTACCTCTACGGATTGGGCCCGTGTCTATTGGTCTGATGAATGTACGGTTGAACGTGGTATCGGCCAGCGTCAAGAATGGACTTTTACACGTCCGAAAGACCAACTTTTTCAGCATTACAAAGAGGGCCATCAAGTACAAATGGTTCCGGCGCGTGGGAAGCAGATTAAGCAGATGTTTTGGGCTGCTTTTTGCGGTTTACCGCGTCGTTCTGGCCTAATTCCACTATTCGGAGATCCGCAGTCTCGCCGCGGTGGTGTTTCTTCTCGTACGATTGAAGAGCTTTATCGGCGTGTCCTACCTACGCTGCTTAATAGTATTGATCAGAATGCTGTTTTTCAACAAGATAACGCGCCGGTACACACTGCATATATCGTTCGGGACGCTCTCAATGAGCTTAACTGTGAAATCATGGAATGGCCACCCTACTCGCCTGATTTAAATCCAATTGAGAACCTATGGGCGCTCCTAAAAGCCGAAATACTAAAGCGTCACCCTGAGCTTATGCACCTACCAAATAACGGAGCTACGCTAGAACTACTACTTAGCGCTGCGCAAGAAGCATGGGAGAGCCTAGATATTGAGATATTTAAGCATCTCTCTGAGACCATGCCCCATAGAGTGGCTGATGTTATTAAATATGAGGGATGGCATACTAGCTATTAAATTGAATTGAAGTTCCGAGGTTTCTGCCTAGCAGTATTAAAAAGTGGGTCCTAGGCCGAAGTATCGGAGGTCAAATACTTATGATACACCACTGTATAATATCCCTAATAAGTTTGTTCATTGACACCAACTGACCCATCTTCATAGTTGGCAACCACACTCACAATGTAATTCCGAGGTCCTGAGGTCCAGGGTTATCAATTCGACTAAAACCAATACACTCCGTCTTCTCCCATCTTTTCCTCGATCCTCAGACGATTCAAACAGTCCACTATCTTTTTCGCAATCTCCTCGCCGTATTCAATTCCCTCCTTCGGAGTAGGCTGCCTCGGGTCAATCTCTTTGCTTATGTCGTGACGTAGCCAGGGCACATTGCCGTATCCTTTGCAAGCACCTCGAAGTTTTTGCACGTCTGAGTCATTGTATCCACCACCGGCTATAATCGCTTCAACCCTTTTCCCGTATTCTTGGGTTCCAAGATTAGCCTGCTCCTTGGAGGGAGGGGCTTGTCCCTGCAGAAGAGGTGGAATGTCGCTTATTCCAGCGTCCACAGAGGTGATGACATGAAGCGCTTTCACATTGTTAGTAATTCTAGAGTTGAAAGGCTGCATCTTGAAGGTAGCCACTAACCCTCGTATGTTGGCCTGATACCTTCTTTCACCCCGATTGCAACATGTGCAGACTTGCCGCAGATTATGACCTGAACAGGATTCATAATTTTATCCTTCGGAACAAATGCAAACGTATTAAAGTGATGAATGTACTTTCTATAAGGAAAGGCACCATTAACAGGGAGCAGGGAGAAGTTGGGCAATCACTACGTAAAAGGACCCGATACCTGATTGGTCAGTTCTCTCCGGCGCCGAGTGGCGATCAGCCAACACGCAAGCGGTTCTAGTAATCTCTCAACCTCTCGGCCTCATATCTGAATGCCGAGGCCGAATAAGTATCCACTTTCAAGTCAGCTTTTATCAAGGGACCGAAATACTGATATAGATCCTGTAATTGTCGCCAGTCATCTAAAGCAGGTGTTACTGGTATTGAATTACTTTGTTCGGAGATCGAATATATCTTGTATTGATGGATTTTGATAGCTAACGAGTGAACACTGGAGAAGAACTCCCATAGGAAGAAAGATTATATAGATCCTGTCAACATAAGTCACATAACCAATCTCCGATCTCTTATTTCAACATTTCCGAGGTCGAAAACGTAGTTCCCGCTTACAGGCTATAATCGAACCATGCAAGAGCTTGCACAAACGCCTGTTCTTTGGCGTACTTGTTCTGGGGCTTGCTCAAGTCGGCACGGATTGCGAACCCGTGTTCGACGCCACTAAACAGATTCAACTGGTAGTGCTGGCCAGTTTTGCTGAGGATATCCTCAGACTTGTGACGAAGTTCACGGGTAAAGATGCCGTCGGTCTCTGTGGTACAATTTTGTGAGCCTGAGTACTTGGAATGAAAATGCGTTGCACAAACAACACCTACCTGCAGCAGAGATGGAGAAAGGCTTCTTGATGGCACCAAGCTCCTCGTCAGATACGAAAGATGGATGGGCGCTATAGCCAACATCGATCTTGCCTTCCTTAAGGAAGCGAGTCACATACTAGACGCAGAGAAAGGCTCGACGATTAGAATGTGTTCATCTAAGTTCGTTGTGTTAGAAGTTTGCTTACCTTGCCACCAAAGCAGTACCCAGCAGCTGCGATCTTCTTCACGCCCAGTTCCTCTCTCATATGCTTCACTACCAATTCCACAATTGAGTCCACCGCATCGGTGCCATGTCTCGAGAGCCAGCCAGGAATATCGATCTTGCCAGCTTCGAAGTCTCCAATGTCCATTTGGTCACCTGAAAAGACATCGGGCAGCAATGTAAGGTAGCCGTTGGCGGCATAGTCATCGGCTAGCAGCTTGCTGTTCGCAAAAATACCAAATACATCGCCAAGCAGCAGGACTGCTTTGCCCGATTGGTCGTTTTTCTTTGGGCGCGCAACATACGTAGTGACTAGATTCAGGAGTGCGTTATTAGCAAAAATACCCCAAGGTAAATGAGTTTTGATTTCTCATGGGCTGAGAGCTCCTTACCGTTGTTTATAGAGATAGTGTCTCCTGTGGGAGTTCCTTCATGCTTGAAGCCAGTAAAGCAACAGGCGGCAGGTGCGTTGGAGGCCATATTTGAAGATGTGAGAATGTCGTGGATTTGCAATGGCAAAGAAATCAGACCAAAGATATCGAATTCTTTTTCTCTTGCCCAAGGAAACCGCCTATTTTTATGTACACAAGTGGCGGTCTCTGCTTATGTCCCGTTCCCCGTTCCCCGCAAATCACCCCGCAATTCCCCACCCCGCAGAATACGTAGTTATTGTGTGTCTAGTATCAGACTCGGCCCGAAACATGGAATATAATACAGTCCGACTTTCATCCGAGTATCTACCAGTGTGTTATATGGAATATAGATGTAATTTCAAATGAAATTGACTTCATGGTCAACGGTTGAGCGATGCCCTGGAAACTAAGCTATCAAGCATGATCCTTTGCAGTCCACTCAGGATCCCCATGAATGAGAGAGGCCATCAAGGATGCCAGTTTGCGCGAGAGTGCCCAGTGCCCTATACGCCCCAACAGATCAACTAGCGTTCCAAGCGTTCTGGATGCCACTACCGTTGATCGTTGATTTTCAGACCAAGCATCTTCAAGCAGGATCTCTTGAGAATATATTCCCAATCTTGGAATTTCTGGGAATTCAAGTTCAGAAACAGGGCGCACAGGAGCGTGACCTTGGCCAAACTTCAAAAAGCAGTACCAAACTAGGGCCGCCCAGTACAATACACGAGGTACGTGTACGGCGACATCAGCCCCAAGAGACACATTTGCTGACTTGCGCATAATCAGTGCGGCATGTAGTGCACATCTCACGCCACTTGCAGATTCCGCTCAATTTCTAGCATACTCACAATGCAGATGAGACTTTTCGAACCCATCTCGTCCAGAGCAAATCTCAAGGTGATCCATGTCTGCGGATAGTTGGATAAACGCTGAATGCCATAGGATTTCAAGACTGAATTGGTCGTGACCAGGGCTTTCGAAAAGCTGAGGATGGTTGACCTGGAAATCTAGTAAAGCCTTTTCAAGGTGGGCGGACATGGTGACCCAGGTCCCTAGTCCCTTAGCCCCAGATATTGACGCTGAGATGCTCTCCAATTTGGCGTATGCGCCAAAGACTCCGCGTTCATCTGCCCCCTGCGAGGAGTAAGGAAAGTAGCTTTGATCCATTGACAAGGGGCGTTCAGCGGCAGTCACACCGGAGTGACTATTTGGTGTGGTCATTATCCATTCCTGGTCGGTGTTGGCCTCCCATGAATTATTGGAACATAGTGAAGGATACTCAAATGAGGCGTGGCGCAAGAGAGGATCTTCTGTGAACAGGGTGGAATATTCAGAGTCCTGGATATAAATGGCAGCGGTGGCTCTATACAAAAAGCATTAGCCGTGTTCAGAACTGTGCTCATATCTAACGCGCTTAGCCTACCTGGATCGTTCTTCGCGTTTGGCCCAGGACTTCCACTTGCTTTCTAGATCCTGACTGCCCACATATAGATCGGTGGCAGCATTTTTGGATTGTTCAAACATACCACACCTTCTTGCCCACTTTTAGTTGAAATTTAGCAACCATGTTCCAAATGGTGAAAGACTTGATTTGAAGCTCACAGCAATTATGGTTCCATGGAAGGACTGCATTGTTAAAAGATTGCTCGGCTTCTAGTCTTGTTAGACGAATAAATATGTTGGATTAGATTGCACTCTACTCACTCCCGAAAGTATTGCATATGTATGCCCAAGAAGAGCCGCTTGGATGACCATGAGAGCTGTATCGGGGCCACGTGATACGTACTTCTCCCACTGCGTGACTGTGTCAGCTATTGGCTTGGGACAAATATTCACTGGAATATATACGCACCGAGGCTAACGATGCTTTGTGCAGCCGATCGAACATCCTTTGTCCCATGTTTTTAGCCTGAGGGGACCCCAAAAACAAACTTCCTAATGTACACATTGCCATATGCAGAAGTGGTTTGTTGCTTGAGAGCCGAAAAGTCGGAACATGGATTATTGGGAAAATGGGATTGAACCGAGTGAGAAACATCTGAAGGCAGAGGTTCTGGCTCAATTAGCAATGTGAAGCTTAAAAAAAGAACAAGGGGCTTACCAGGAAATCCGCAGACGGGAGACTTTGGTCCGGGGCTGGCGGGTGGAGTCGTTATAAGCCCTTCATGAAATTCTCATCAATATGACTTCGCTCGGCTCCATATTCGGGGGTGGAGTAGCCCGTGCTCTGTACACCAACAAAGCTAAACCATTTTTGACGCAAAAGGTCTTCTTTGGGCAAGGTGGCGAGATTTCCATCAGCCCGGCGATAGTGATGAACATCTGTGGCATCTGATCCAATCATCCCATCCGGAAGTTGGAAAGACATCAATGATTCGGATGAATCAAAAGTGTGTAAGTTAGAACTGGTCCCCAAGTCTTCGCTGTTCATCCACATCGAAATCTCTGATTCGAATGTGGCATTACCAAATATGTCGTCAAACAACCGATTCATCGATGTGGGACTGAAAGACGCTTGACTTGGAGAGCTGTCCATCATAGAATGTTCTGTTGCTAACTCGGGGGCGATGGCATTCGTTGGCGAGAAGTTTTCATAAGGAATAGTCGACTGGGCGGGTACAATTGGTTGCGACCTATCCTGAAATTCGGGTTGTGACTTGGGAGACACAGGAATGGCCTGGACGCCATTGCCGAAACTCGGCCTTGCAGACCTTAGATTGGTTTCGGATGATGCTGGAGCCATGGGTATTGGATAAACATCTGAGGGCCGATGAGTCCGGATATGTCGCGTGAGAGTGTCACTATACAACTATCAGTACCCTTTTTCACAAATCAAAGGGCCAACCCCCTGAGTTCAACTCACTTGCGACCGAAGACTTTGCCGCATTCTGGACAGGAGAAAGGTTTCTCCCGAGTATGGGAGCGCAAGTGTCTAGTCAAGTGTTCCTTTTTTGAAAACTGCTTGCGGCATGATTGGCAGAAGTTATCGCGTTTGGCTTTCGTGATGTTTGTCCGAGTGTGAGACATGTTGAGGGGTTGTGAATTCGCGAAAGACCTCCACAATTTGGCCTCCGCATTTTGGGGCGGTTATTCAGCTGGAAAATGTTTACCCCAGCTTTTGATTAGCGAATCGCTCATAAACTTTCTTCTCCCCCGTGTTCCGGTCACTCATATTCCCCTTGGTATTCGGGGTCTCTATCCATGGATCTTGTGGTGGCGCCCAGAAGGCTTCCGAAATCACTAGTGAAAGATATACGAGTAGGACAGCGTAATACCATGTCCAAAATTTAACAAGGCCAGCATAAGCCACAAATTCCATCGGCTGAGGGCAGAGCTGAGGGTTACAGGAGATGGTGCTCCCTAAAGCATAACCAGTAAGCACCCAATCGTTCCAAGGTTGATTACTAGTTACTAGTGGCCGTCTAGTTCATAATCCAATTCCGACATCATACCATAGATTCATTTCGCTAATTATCAATATGGTCACCATCGTCACAATACTTGCAATTGTCGTAATTATGCATTAATCCGCCTGTCACTGTACTATGTGGACAAGGCTTGCCAGGATCCACTTATTTCTAGATCGGTCAGTCCTCGGTGCTCGGTCGTTGACTTCAACGCCGTCATTATTAAGCACTATTTCATCATTATTTTACTAGCACAAAGGCAGGACGTATTTGACAAGGTGCATTCTTTTTCCGCAGCACGTTTCTAGCCGAGCCTGAAACTATCTGCTCGTGCCTTCGCTATGGCGAGTGACAAGAAACTACACGACAACCTGTCGCGCGTCAAAGCTCCGTCGCCCCTTGGAAAGTCGATCTTTGTTGGGCTTCGTTTGACCGATGCGGTTTGGCAATATGCATTCCTCCATCGTGGATGGGCCACTCAGCTCGTCCACTGGCTCCGTGGAACGCCTCTTCCCGTGATGGATGCAGTTCATGGCCGGTTGAACCCCTACTATCAGATGTTTGTGGTCATGTCACTCGGCAGTGGCCTCAAGCAAGCGATCCACATGGGACTGATCTCAGAACAAGAGCTCTCTGCTGGGCAGGGCTTCGGCATAGGCTTCTTCAACACGGTTTTCAACTCCACGAACATTATTTTCTCCATTTGGTCCCTGACCTCCCAATCACCTGCCTCTGATACCTGGCTTGGTGTGCTTTCATCGCCATCGGTCGCCGTTGGAGCGACTGCTTACGCTGTTGGCATCGTGACAGAGTTGGTGTCAGAGTTGCAACGACAGAGATTCAAGAAGAATCCCGCCAACAAAGGGAAGCCATATGGCGGCGGTCTATTCTCCCTTGCGACAAATATCAACTATGGTGCCTATAGTTTGTGGCGCGGCGGATTTGCCCTCGCTAGTGGAGGTTGGGCCTGGGGCCTCTTCACATTCTCTTTCTTCTTCTATGATTTTGTGACTCGTGGAGTTCCAGTTCTTGATCAATATTGTACCGAGAGGGTAACTATCTCCTTAATTCCCCTTGCCGAAGTGGCTTCTTACAGTACACGCTAACCGGTCGATACTTTAGTATGGAGCACCATGGACCGAAATCAAATCCCGCGTCCATTATCGTCTGCTGCCAGGCATCTATTAAAAAAACCAAACGAAGAGGAATTCGTCCGATATGGTGATATTGAGTATGATGACACGCTCAGATCTTGGGTTGCCACTGGTTCCTACCGTTGAAAATGTTTGAACATATAATCTCCGGTGTCCTAGGTGCTGGGGTTATTAAGAAGGAAAACGGTTCATATCTCATACAATAAAAATTTTTCTTTTCGTTTAGATAAGAAGACGAGTAGGGTCATGACTGGAGGAGGATCCGCAATATTGGTGTAGCAAGATATTGTATTTGTATGGAGCGGTAAAGTAACTGCTTTATGCAATTATCGTCATGCGTGCTTGTTCCTGGGCGGAAACGTTAGCTGGCTCGGTCCGCTGTATCGGGAAGTGGGTCGAGACGAAGGCCCAAAGGCTGACAACGGCTCTTATGCAGTCGGTAAGTTCGCTTTCCGTGAGTAATTACTGAATAGGGAAGAGCGCGATCACGGTCTGACGTCCCAGACAGGACGATAGGAGGGTCATGGGCATCAGGTAGCAATAGGTTGTGCATCTGACCCATAGAAACAATACTGAAAAAGGAATCGTTTTTCTCGGGATATGAGCACGCTGATAATATTGAAGGACATACCATGATTCTTCTTCCGTTTCAGGTAGACATTGCGTGGACAGATGCAGTTTGAACGTCTCTTCGTGGATGAACGGATTTATTTTGTGGTAGTAAAAGAAATAGGCATGGATGTAAACTTGTTTTGCCTCAGAAGTGGATGAGACTTCACCAAATCTAGGGATTGTGGGCGTATCATCATCTAGCCCAAAGGTGGGTTCGGCTGTCCATTCGTCATAAGGGAACAAGTTCGTCCCAGAATTATATTGGTAAAAGTTGTCGTTATCGTGGCCGTAGACCATAGGGTCATTGTTGGTGCATAATGCCGAGCCTTCTGCAAAGGTAGCCGAGTCAACTACTTCTTGTGATGAAGGACTTATAGGACTGGTTGCATGAAATGAGGTGTGGCTCCCAGGGTACTTGTTGAATAATGAGGGATGATCTGGCGTAGCAGTCAAATATGGAAAGACGCTATAATCTCCACATGTTATGTCCGCTGTTCCGGGAGCGGCATTGCAGTCGTCTGCTGTGCTTTTCCAGAAGCATTCGTTTGGGGATTGGGTATTGGTCGGTTCTTGCTCCGTTGGACTTTCCTGCGTTTTCTGTTCTTTGTCCGTGTTGTTCAATAACTCTCCAGGCCAGCTTTCACCTCTGATTGAAAGGCCGTATAGTTCAGGCATTCCCTTCACCAGCAAAGCTTGGTCCTGTTCCAGAATTTCGGCATATCTGAAAAAAGAATCCCTCAATGAGATGACCACTTCCACAATTCTAGTGTATGAAGATTTGCCGCGTTATGAGAGCTTGGTGTCCCACATAGGGGAGCACCCCGCCGGCTATGGACGTGGGACGTACTCCGTAGACAAAAACTCCCGCAAAAACTGGTGAGATATCCCACCCCCACCGCTCTGTAGTAAACCAATCAGTCAATACATAATAATTACGCGTTTATCTCAATTCCCAAAATCCTTCTCATTTATCGGTTTGGGTTGATGGTAGAGGCCCATTTGCGGACTAGGAGCATGTCCCATGAAAATATAGATTTTCTTTCATAACCGAGGGATAGATTGTACAAAATGTTTATTTAACAGCCCAGCAGGGAGATACCTTTGCTGATCTTTGGGGTTTGACATAACCCGAAGTACTCTAGGTCAAATACTTTTTATGTTGCACCACTGTAGCGACCAGACCTTTTAATCCTACGGTCCATTTATTAGGGTCTAAGTAACCCTTTGATATATAGGTCCTTTATATGTATCAAGTCTATCGTTTATCATGGCAAAGCCAATCTAGGCATAAACTAGTGTCGAGAATTCAAGATCATACACATGAAGGCTAGTTCTCACAGTATTCTTAAGTGGGGCACTCGGCATCGCCCGGAAGAGTTGAGTATGTAATCTCGCTATTCACTAAAGCCCCGAAGAGACCGAGCAGTCAGCAAAGCGGAAGTCGGAGATTAGCACTCCGACTCCTCTATATCTGACTTCATAGTGCACCGACATATGATCAATATATTTCATTGCGACTCCAACAAATTATGAGCACTTCCTGTACAAAGCATCAATCATGAGTTCTATCACTGTTGGAATTGCCGGTATCACGGGCAAATTTGCCCGTTGTGTCGTTGGCCACTTGTTGAAGAATCCCGCAGTCACTATCAAGGGCTATTGTCGCGACCCAACAAAGCTTCCAGCCTCCCTCCTTGCTTCGAAGAGAATCTCAGTCACCCAAGGCCAATCCGAAGAACGGAATGCTCTGCGTGCTTTTGCTAAAGGCTGCGATGTGGTAATCTGCTGCTATCTAGGTGACCATAACCTTATGATCAACGGTCAAAAGTCGTTGATCGATGCATGTGACGCGGAGACGGTCCCCCGGTACGTGGCTAGTGACTACAGCCTAGATTTCACCAAGCTGGAGCTTGGACAGCTTCCCGCCAAAGACCCTATGAAACACGTTCAAGAATATTTGGGAACCAAGAATGTTCAAGGAGTTCATGTCTTGATCGGTATTTTCATGGAAACTTTCTTCACCACCTTCCTAAATATTTGGAATGCCAAGGATGTTTCCTTTTCCTATTGGGGCTCTGGTGAGGAAATGTGGGAGTCTACCAGTTATGACAATGCGGCCCAATTCGTCGCAGCGGTCGCCCAGGATTCGACTGCGGTTGGCGTGCAGAGATGTTAGTTCTTTTGTCTCCCATTTGCTTTCTATCACGAACTTACCCAGACAGTCCTTGGTGATCGCAAAAGTATTCAACAAATTGCTGCCGCATTTGAACAGCAGTATAACGTGAAGCCCCGGTTGAACAGACTCGGGTCTCTGGAAGAGCTCTATACCCACATGCATCAGGTCAAAGATAGCGAGCCAAGCAAATTCATGGCATGGATTCCTCTGTGAGTGACATCAGACTGAATTCACCCCATATAAAATATAGCCCTAACATATCGGAAATCCTGAAGGTTCTATCGATTTTACTGTAACAATGGACAGACCTATCTTACTCCCGCGCTAGATTCCACCAAATACCCGGAAATCCCTCGCCTGACATTCAACGACTTTTTCCAACATCACTCTCAAGATTCACTCTCAACTGCGGCTTGGGGTGTTGGTTCAATCATGTCAGCATGAAACCAGGTCTGCATTTGGACTCCTTGTGCAGCGCCAAAGTTTCCATGTTTATTTATTGGGTTATATAGAGCTCAGAGATACAACCAAATCATGCATTTCATATATATAAAGGTATTACCAGCACGCGTACTTTAGGGTGGTAGCATGATGTAGACTGCGCAGGCTCTAATAAGATAATGATGATGTCATTTTGCATCGGAAAACTATAAAAGCGCGACATGCTGCCAACAGATCTGCATTCATTCCTATTTTATTTCACACCTTCCGAACCTCTCAACATGCCCAAACGAATTGCAATCATTGCTGGAGCAGGGCCCGGAACTGGCAGTGCTGTTGCCCGCCGCTTTGCCCTATCTTACCCTGTGGTCCTGCTTGCTCGATCGGAACAGTCCTTAGACCCCTTAATTAAGGACATTACGCAGAGTGGCGGTTCCGCTTTTGGGGTTCCCACTGATGTAACTAGTGCTTCGAGCATGGGTCTGACAATGGACAAAATCAAGAACAAGTTCGGTCCTGATCTCACGGTCGCGGCAGCAATCTACAATGTCGCGAGCAAATTTGCAATGAAACCTTTTCTGGAACAAAAGCCGGAAGACTTCATTGGAAGTTTGGAGCCGTCGACCAAGGGTGCATTTAACTTTGCTCAGGCCACACTGCCTTTCATGTTGAACGGTGACCAAGGGCATTACCCCCCTACACTCATTTTCACCGGTATAGAATACGTCAAATTAGTGGAGAGACTATTGTGAACTAATGATAACAGGTGCCACGGCTGCACTCAAAGGTAGCTCTGGGCTTTCCGCGTTCGCCATGAGCAAGTTCGGAACCCGTGCTATGGCCCAATCTCTGGCGCGTGAATTTGGGCCCAAGGGTGTCCATGTCTCTCATGTTGTCATTGACGGAATCATCAACACGGAGAAGACTAAGGGCTACGGTCAGGATATTCCAGATGCGAAAATTGACCCGCACGGAGTAAGTGGAGCTCGTTATTTTTCGTTATTTTTTTTCCCGCTCTAATTCTAAATCGCAGATTGCGGACTCTTACTGGTTTTTGCACACGCAGCCCAGGAGCTCATTTACCCACGAGATTGACATCAGACCTTATTCAGAGAAATGGTGAGAAGTAGGCCGAATAGCATGTCTCCGTGGTCAGTCTTTGTATTATAAAAATTGTTTCCAATTGTGCAGAGTTACAATGCCATTAGATTTACGTGTACTTTGTCAGTGTTTATCCTTTACCTACGTGCCAAATAACAACCGTGACGACACGGAGCAGTTCCATTGTGCCACGAAGCTTGCCAGATTTGCGTTTGAGTATTGCTAATACCAGTCTTGTATTTGTTTTTCCCTTGTCTCGCAGGCAGAATTATGGCACTTGTCTCCGAATGAAAAAAAGACCGCTGACTTTTGTTTTTCTTTCATCTTCGATTGATACCATATATGAGGATAACATTAGCAAAATTTATCTGCCTGACCAACCCAAACGCCAGCTCTGTTGTCTCACAAAAAGCCAACAATGTCTCATTTGAGATCACTTAGTGGTTATATCATTTCTTATTCTTGTGCTCCCGGAAGAAATCCTCAACTTTGGTCCACTGTAGCTCAGGATATCGGCCGTTGTCCATCGGATCAAGTTTTCCATCACCAGAAAACATGTTCACCATGTATTGCATGCCCTGCCAGGCAGGGAAAACGTCGTTTTCACCGCCAAAGAGGCGCATAATGCGGATCATGAACTCCATAGAGCCTACAGTACCCATCCAGGAGGGTTTGTATGGCACACCTTCGACATTGCTTTGTGCCTGAGCAATATCCTTCACGGTGACAGTATCACTAGCAATGCGAAGGAAGTTGGGCGTGGGGTTTGGGTCAGTAGCCACAGCCGCCGTATACGCAGCAGTATCCACCATGGTCGTGAAATCGAGGAGCTGCGTGGTCGAGCCGATGTACGCAACCTTGCGTCCTTTGTGATTGATCATCGGCGAGTCACCAACCATAAGATCCATGAAACCGCCGTTGAGGATACTAGTCCATGCGATACCGGACTTCTTCAACTGGACGTGGAACTCGCGTCGCAGATCCAAGTTGCGATTAGATCCTGGTTTAGTCTTGGTGAAATCGAGAGAAAAGTCGGAAGGGATGAATCTGGGCACTTTGGCGGCCACGGAGGCCTCAAGGAGCTTCCCCTGGGCGATGTGAATCACATCTCTCAACCCTTGAAGTGTGGAGACAACACAAATTGCTCCAGTCAATTCACGAGTGAGAGCTGGTACTGCAGAGAGATCGACAGGGGTAATAGTCACGCCGGCGTTGCGAAGCTTTTCGGTGCGCAAGGAGTCTGTGTTGGGGCGAACAAGAGCCTTGACTGCCACACCTCGCTTGACCAGCGCCAGCGCAACAAGCTGGCCCAGGCCACCGGAGGCGCCAGCCACCGCGACAAATGGTGAAATCATTTTGCAGCGAAGAAAAGAATTCGATCAATAAGGAGAATGTACAAGAGGCAATTGACGGAGATGAACTTTGACCAGATTTTGTTTTCAATTGAAACAAACCACCGTCAATTTATACATCTTGTCACCTTAATACTCGACTTAAATTTTTCATAAGCGCCACTCCCAAGCCGTTGCGGTACATTAGTGATGGTCGTGGCTCGGGGTTGAGATGAAACACCGCAACCCGAGGTCGCCCCCTGGCTTAACGGGCTGCCAAAACTTATTACGAACTTGCTAACTCAGCTCGGACTATTTTCTACAAGCGAACAGCGATTATTAATCTCTTTATGACCAGTCGTAGGCCTCTAGTGATTTCTATGTAAAGATTCTAGCTTGAATAGCCAAGTTAAATAACGTTCTCAACCGTTGCATGCTTATTGAACTTGAACTTCAGATTTGCTTACAGGAAGATCTCACTCTTGACACATCTCTTTTCTTTCAAAATGACCAGTCACTCTGCGACAAACATCCCTCCCCTTACCCCTGATGAATTCAAAATCTTCAACCATATGGCAGATACCATGCAGTCGCTGGTAACTATCCTGTCCAAAATAACAAGAAAATATCACTGATACGACTTATCCAGCATCAATGGTTTCGAGTTCGATGGAACGTCATATATGAGGTAGCGAAATCATCGCAAAGACCGGCGGGCATGTCTATTAAGGGCTACTTCAATCTATGTTTGGAATTTTGCCGAAATCTTGAAACACATCACCGGATTGAAGAGGTAATGATAATTATATAACTTTACATCTTGCTTAATCAATCGACTAACATTTTCTGCAGATTCGCGTCTTCCCCTTTCTCGCAACGCGCATGCCTGCCTTTGCCAACCATGACCATTTGATCGCGCAGCATACAGTGATCCACAGTGGTCTTGAAACACTTGAGTCTTATGCTCAAAACTGTTTACAAGGCAGGACTGACTTACGTTGGAATGAGATCAAGGAGATCCTAGACACATTCGGGGCCACATTATGGGAACATCTGGACGAGGAGGTGCGGCAGTTGGGTGCAGACCAGACACGAAAATACTGGTCAGCAGAGGAGATGACTCGAATGCCAATGTAGAAAAACCAGTATGGATACTTGTACATTGACACGCTTTGAATTTTGGAGACAGCGTTCCACCGTGGCCGTTTGCCAGCATCTTTGTACCTTCCAAGCGAATTATTGAGCGAACCCATGACGAATATGTGTGTTATTTCCCCATATATAGAGCATGAAACCGTTGCGCGCAGTTGTAAGGCAACCTTATTTTCATATAATGGTCAGGTCTTTGGATTATTCTTTCCCAGGTGGCTCTGTACCTTTACCGGGCGTTCATATAAAACTTGGCCAGCTCGACATGTGTTTCGTGCCTTAGCTCCTCGATGCATCTTTTCTAATGAAACTAATGAAATATATCAACATTGCTGTTTGTCACTACAAAACTATATCTATAGCAGATCTGGATAATATGCAATCTTGATTGTTGACGATGAAGTCATGGTTATTTAGTGAATGATGTGTGTTCAAAGCCGAAGCCAAGTTGACGTGTTGTATCACGCCACACGCTCTCTCTTTGACTTTCTGGAATAGATATCTGGATCTACTGACTAGTATTGAGCATTTCACATTTAAAAAAGAGATTGATTGCCTAAAGGTAAGGAATCTCTGAGCTGTTGAGAGATCTCCGTCGGACTAATATCTTGCGTTGCAGCACAATTCATCCGAGCACCCCCTAGCTACCATAAAGAAAAGTATGCTTATATGAGGATATGCTCAAGCCTCGTACTGGATATGGTAGTACTTTACTCGGCCCTCAACTCGCCTAATCCCAATACACCCAGACGTCCAGGATAGTTGTGATTACTCAGGCCATTTGAGCGCCACCAGAGACATGGAATGTTTGACCTGTCAGCCACTGAGACTCAGGGCCCGCCAACAAGGCTACTACTCCGGAGATATCATCCGGGAAGCCTGGTCGGCCTAACGGTGACCATTTGGAGAGGTTTGCGTCAATCTCTTCTTCAGTCATAGCCTCGCCCTTAGGAATGTATTTGGCTGCTGCTTCTGTATACATGTCGGTCTTGACACCTCCGGGGGCAATTGCGTTGACAGTAATATTGCGAGGTCCAAAGTCATAAGCGAGACATTTGACCATGCCTTGAATTGCAGCCTTAGACGCCGCATAGATTGCATGTTCGGGGACACCCTATAAAAAGTTACAATTAGCACCGTAGACGCTTTTTTTCATATAGCGTCTCATGTTCACCTTCTGTGCGGAAATCGAGGACATCAAAATCAACCGACCGTCATTAGCCATGTATTTGTAAGCCTGCTGGGCAACAAAGAATTGTGCTTTAACATTGACCGAAAAGACGTGATCGATCTGTTGCCCAGTTACATCTGGAACAGAACCGAAGTGCTCGATGCCCGAGTTGCTCAAAACGATGTTGACACGTCCAAGCTCCTCGATGACCTTTTCGAAAAGCGCTTTTATGTCTTCCTCCCGAGATACATCAGCTTTCACGGTAATCGCTTTGACACCCAAAGATCGGACTTGATCGGCCACACTTTTAGCTGCCTGAGCAGAGTTGACATAATTTATAGCGACATCGGCACCGTGTTGAGCAAGTCGTAAAGCGGCGGCGGCTCCAATCCCTCGACTTGAGCCGGTGACTGCATTTTCATAGAATGGTCAACATCCATCTCTCATCTAAAATTTCTTGCTCATAGGAAGGCAGAAACGTACCAAGAGCGACTTTGCCAGTCAGATTGTGGGACATGCGCTCCATGACGTGTTGAATGATGCGAAGTATTTGGATCAAACATAATTGCCATTCCATTCTAGGGTTCTTATGGCTTCATATCATGCACCTGGGATAACGTCTTATCTCGATCTCGGTGACTCGGTCCATTCAGGAAAGTCGGATTGATTGTTGGCCGGCCATTAATTCGGCCTCGGGATTGAGATGTGAGGCCGAAGGTTTGTAAGATCAAAATTGCTTGTGTGTTGGCTAATCCCGAGCTTCATTGAGCGCCAATAAAATTTACTCCGATTATGACGATCATTCCTAATCTCTTTATGGGAACACCGAGCGTCCGCTGGCTATTGCTTACCAAATCAAATACTAGAGAGAAAACGGTTTTTTCGAAACTCCAAGAACTTCAACTTTTAATCACTGCTCTTCCAAATGGCCACAGAACTCACGGATTTGAAAAAACCCTTGTCGTGCGAAGGGGGATCAACATTACTACATCGGAGTTGTCACGATTGTAACCGCAGAAAGGTGCGGTGTAACAAGGAATCTCCGTGTGATAATTGCGTCAGGCTTGGGGTTGAGTGCACGTATCCCTCACCTGGCCGCAAACCTCGAAAAACACCAAGGAAACCATCGAAAAAGTCGGAGTTGCTCTCGCGGTTGAGTATTTTGGAGCGAGAAGTTCAGAAATTGGGCGGACAAAGTCAATCCGGAGCTCCGCCTACCGACGTACTAGAAGAGCAAGATCGCCATAAGGACTCGGAAAACAGCTGGAATGTGAATTCATGGCTGGCAGGGAACTTGGCGGCCGATCAATCAACGGAACCGGATGAACATGACTCTGAAACACGTGGAGAACTTCTGTCACCACTGGAGAATTCCATTACACTTGATGATCAATTTGGACGCCTGGTCCTGGATCGAAACAACGGGACTAGTCGGTATGTGAACCACCGGGTTTTAACGGAACTAGCGGATCAGGTATATTACGCCCTCCATAGAGCGCAATCGATAGATTAAAAGAAGCTTGCTAAGCACTCACTGATATTCTTGATTAAAGGTTAAAGAGGTTCGTGACTTATTCGATGAGCTATCTTCGCCGACACCGTCCGTGGAAGATGCCTCCACGCCTGCTTCAGCAGCAGAACCTGAAACAGAAAGCCTTTTTCTATTCGGTTACCATTCGTTGGCCTCTTCACTACGCAGTTACCACCCAACCCCGACTATCAGCCATCTACTTTTGACCGTCTTCGAGGAAAATGTCGCGCCTATACTTAGGATCATTCACAGTTCAGCACTGAGAGATCTGATCCAAACAGCGGTTACGAATCCTGACGAACTCGACAAGGGCTCTGAGGCTTTGGTCTTCTCTGTTTACTTCGCTGCAACATCCAGTATGACAGAGGAACAGTGCGTTACACAGTTAAGGGAAGCTCATGCTACCTTGACCAAACGATATCGCTTTGCTGTTGAGCAAGCACTGGCGCGGGCAGGATTCCTTCACACCCGTAAATTGGTTTTAGTGCAGGCTGCAGTGCTGTTCCTGAGCTGTATATCTCATCCTAAGGATGCTCATTTTGTGTGGACCATGATCGCTGTGGTCACTCGCCTCGGCCTCGGTTTGGGCCTGCATCGTGACGGTAGTCACTTCGCATTAGGCCCATACGAAACAGAAATGCGCCGGCGGACCTGGTGGTACATTTATCTCTTGGATGTGCGAACATCCGAATCTCAAGCAACGAGCCCTCAGATCCGGGAAGGGGACTACAGCACGCGGTTACCGTTGAACATTAATGACGACGACTTATCATCCGATTTGCTTGAGACGCCGAAGGAACGGATTGGGTTTACGGACATGACCTTGACTCTAATCCGATGTGAAATTCTCATCTCGCACCGCAAATTGGCGCAAATAAGCGGCGCGGGGGTCAGTAGTCAACACGTATTACTCAAACACCGCCTTCTCGCAATAGAAAAGTGCCGGCAGGCTCTTGACGAGCGATATGTCCGATATTGTGACCTCAGTATCCCTATCCACTGGGTGGCCGCGACAATTGCCCGGGTCGCACTTGCGCGTCTGTGGCTTGTGTCGCACTTCTCACTGATGACTGCTGAAGAGTTCCAGCCAGACCTATGGCCTGAGCAGTGCGATGTCCTCATCCTCACAGCGATTGAGGTACTGGAATTTGTCTATTTACTCGAAACCCACGAAAACACCGCCAAGTGGTCCTGGTTGTTTCAGGGATACGTTCAGTGGCAATCATTTGCATTTGTTTTGTCGGAACTCTGCGTGCGCCCGGTATCCTCGCTATCTGATCGTGCATGGCTAGCTGTGAACCGGGTTTATGATCGATGGAATGGGCCTATGAGCCGCGGCCTCGAATTAATGATGCGACCATTGGAACGTCTTAGGACTCGTGCAGCAGCAGCCCGAGCCAGGGAAATGGGTGAATCCCAAACGGCTGTCCCTGTTCAGAAAAGCTCGGGTGATACGTACGTTCCGGACGTGGTCATGACGAATCAGATGGAACAGTTCGCTGAGGATTTACTCGCTGTCGACACCGCATCCCTCGATATCTTCAGGGGCGTAGTGAGGAACGTAGGTATATAACTATGAGTGTAATGAGATATTCGATCTGGACGGCCTTGGAAGGTAATCTAAGGGTTCAGGTCCTACCAAGCCCATGTATTATGAAGATTCTCCTTCAGATTTATCTGGCACGTGGTTCCCATCTCGGCAATGTGGCGGGGCACTCTTGATTTTAGCATTGCAAGAGGCAGATCTGCCCTGAGAATGTATAATTTTGCTCCCTCGGGCCTTAAAGCGTGGAGCGCCCTTTTCTTTTTCTATTTACGTTAATCGTGTGAAGCCTTGATACGAGGCAGTGAAGCAGTAAATTACAGAAACATACTGCTTTTTCATTTTCTTACACGATCCCTAAGTTACGGGCGAGAGGAAGAAATAGTGAAAGGATACTTCATGGAACTCTTTATAGACTACATGACGAAGAGAGGGTCATGTTTGCACTGTTTGCTCTCCCTTAAGCCAGACATGCTTAGGTGGGTGACCCGGAATAGGCCTAGCGTCGGCTATACTCGAGAGCGTTTCACGGCGAAACACCACAAAAAATCACATATATCAAATGGCGATAAAACTAAAATCAGGGTTCGTCTGAATCCCAGATATCGAACAATATCCAGGGCCTACAGCCTGATACGAGGGGCGGTGCCGAGATGCGATATTTCATGACTGACACAGAGCTCGGGGCTCGCTGTTGATGCTCCGGCCTTGGGCGTTTCTTCCGAGGCCGTTGCATCGTAGGGATGGCGACAAACGATGTCCCATTTATTGATGTCAGCCATATGTCTTATCATGTCTCGGCCAATTGAATCGGTCGACGTGGATTTAGCTCCACCACTTTGAAGCTCTGACTTAATCATGCATTTGTCGGTATGTGGGATCGGGCATTCGGAAGTACTTGACAAATCTCGATCAGTCCATGCGAAGATTCGTAAACGATCGACGATCGAGGTGGATTGAGGACTCGTCTTTTAAGAGGTAGCGGGGATCGGTCTACACTTTGGATGCCGAGCTGATTCATTGGACCTCAGTAGCTTGCCGACCCGGCCTTTGCGCCCGCCGGTTCCCACGCTGGGAGGTTATAAAACTGTCGTAACGTCCTTGCACTTCACAATCATCCAGTTCCCTCTATATAGTCACATCCTCAAGACTTCGTTTTGTTTATTACTTCCAACTCAACTATTTTTGATACTCTTCATCATGGCCAACTTGATCACGGTTTTCGGCGCCACTGGAAACCAAGGTGGCTCTGTCATCGATGCCATCCTCAGCGATCCTCAACTCTCGAAGGAATTCAAGATTCGCGGCATTACTCGCGATACTTCCAAGAAGTCCGCTCAGGACCTAGCTAAGCGAGGTGTCGATGTTGTTTCGGTAATATTCCTCGTTCGATTCGAAACAGACAGAATACTGACTAGGGTGATTATTTTAGGCCAATCTAGACTCCGTGGAGTCCCTTACTTCTGCACTTAAGGGCTCGCACACTGTCTTCCTGGTTACCAATTATTGGGAAACAATGAACGCCGACGTTGAATACTCCCAGGGCAAGAATGTGACCGACGTTTGCAAGGCTGTGGGTGTTTCTCACCTCATGTTCTCTTCGCTTCACCACGTGAAGGAAGAGAGCAAGGGGCGTCTCACCCATGTTCCCCACTTCGACAGCAAGGCCAACGTCGAGAAGTATATCCGTGCTTCAGGACTTGGCTGCAGCTTCATGCTTCCTGGATATTACATGAGCAACTTTACTCAGATGCTTATCCGTGCTGAGGATGGGTCATACCAGCTCTTCTACCCTGTTAGCAACGAAGCTCAGTTCCCACTCTTTGATGCCGCCCAGAATACCGGTAAGACTTACTTTGCTCGCTAGATTCTGTTTCAAGGGGCCGCAGCTAACATATCGACTATAGGTCTCTTTGTGAAGGCCGCACTGAAGCACAAAGATCAATTGAAGAACAAGCAGATCTTGGCCGCTACCAAGTACTATACCCCTCAGGAAATTGTCGACACTTTTTCTCAGGTCACTGGTAAGAAGGCTGTGTTCATTCAAGTTGACGCGGACCAGTACAAAGCCTCTCTGCCTGCCGCTATTGCCTTGGAATACCTCGAGAATCAACTCTTTGTGCAGGACCCAGGCTACTATCTAGGAGAGCCTCTCGCGCCTAGCCTGAAGCTTCTTGATGCCCAGCCCACTACTTGGGCGGAGTTCGTCAAGAAGAATGCTTCCGCCTGGAAATAACTTTATCATTCTGTATACATATTCGCCATGCCTTCTATCGACCATGGCTCTCATTGCCAAAGATGGCCAGGCTGACCAGTATTGTCATGAATGAGGACTATCTTTGTTTCACGTGTCATCAAACTGGTATTCAATGCACAACTTTGTCTTTATCCCCTCCACTTAGCAGAAAAATCAGTGGCGGTAGTATTTCCTACCACGTGATATCTGCCGGAATATATTTCACTGTGAACTACCCGGTATTCACAACGATTAATTCATCAAGCGTGATGGCCAGACTGTCAGTTAGATCATATTTGAGAAGAAATGAATATCTATGGCGAATGTGATTAAGGTTTTGATGACAGGAGCTGAGTTTGAAATAAGCAACAGTAAGTGCTTGGGGGTGCGAAGGACGCTGAGCCGTCTTTTCTAGAAGCCTGGGTGTTTGCTGAGATCCCTGGCTCAGGGCGTTTCTCAGGCTCTCAAACTGCCGTCTATCGGATGTCAGTGTACTGTATGTAGATAGACAGGGTCCGCTCGCTTCCACAGAAGCCAACTTTCTATTCCTTTCTCTCTCTTGTCTCTCTTTCTCTACCCGTTGGTAAGTTCAGTCGAGCGCCGTCTACATGGTTAAGTTTGTCTGACATGTCACTTATGGTGCGATCCAAGCAAAACAAATGCTACACTCTACATTTTTCTATGAAGTTCCGCGCGGAAGCAATCATCCGCGGAGTTAACAAATCCTTGGACACTGATAATGCAGAAAAGCACGCCTGGAAGGAACTAGGATCCGAAAACCTCAATCAAAAACACATATATTGAGCTTTATGTTCAAAAGCAGAAAGAAATCATTCGTGGCAAGATTTACCCTGATCGGAAGCAAAAATGACTCTGCAATTGTTCGGCTGAGAATTGGGGTTCTACAATCTATTTCAGCAAAAAAAAATCCGGGGAAAGCAAATGTAATATATCCAAATGTAAACGAACAAAATCAAAGAAAGCAGATTATAGATAAAAGGAAAATCAGAGATCAAAAGAAGGTGAAACGCAAGAGACGGGGGAAAGAGCACAATAAACTAGAGGGCAATGAAAAATGCGAACAGGCAACGGAAGAGATAACTCAAGTGAACAGTACATGTAGAGATAGACAAAGAATGTTTGGGGATCAGATCACTCTGTCTTTTTTGAAGCCTTCGTGCGAAGCTTCATCATAGCAAAAACCGTTGCATAAGAACTGATGATGAATATGACAGTGATACCTATGTTGCGCCATCCATTGGAGTAGTCCTTCAAATTGAGGGTGTAGAGGTAGTCGCTTCCACTGCGGTATTGGCACACCTGGCATTGGGCCGTTGCAGAGGGGTTAATTAGGTTGATTCGAGAGCCGGCTCCTTCCATGTAATCAGTTAGGTATTGAGCACAGGTCTGCCCACTCGGGGGATCAAAAATGGCGAATTCATCGCTGGCACATTTCACTTCCGCACCGAAGATGTTGAATGTCAACAGCCCCCCAGTAACATAAGTAAAAGGGTTGAGGTAGTACAGCCAATACCTCCAGAAGGGAGTGATCTCGGAGTACGGCACTAGCATACCGCAGAAGGCAACTATGGTTCCTAGAATCACAGGATTTGCAAGTGCGGCAAACGTGGAATTTGGGGCAAAGGCGGCAATCATTTGGCCTAGACTGGTGTAGATAAACTCGTACTGTAGTACAAGGAGGAAGCTAGCACCAGCATGGTTCGAGTCCTTTGGAAAGCCGACCGTGTAATACCAGCACACGAAGTATAACACTGCACAGAGACACAGGTAAGGGAATTCAGACACGACCAGTCCTGTCACAAAGGCTTTCCAGGAATACATCCTGGATTTTTTCTCCCTTGTGTCGTAGATGTCACGTCGTTCAATGAATAGCGGTTGAAGCTGGTTGACCACACCTGGGGCAACGAAAATGAAATTGAAAATCGTGAAGAGGCGCATTTGTAAATCTCCAAGATTGTCCCCAATCATCCAGAATGAGAAACCGTTGAATAAAGCAGAGATGATATGGAGAATCAACTTATTATTCACGTATTCAGTATTGCGGTAGAGAGCAACATTCATTCGATGGGTGACAAGTTTGGTCTGCTCCCATAGAGACGTTGCAAATTCATTTTCGTCATTCTGCATTACTGGCGGCTTAGCATTGACCTCTTCGAGGATATGTTCAAGCTCCTTCGTAGTGCGATCATGCTCCGGGGATTCGAGCCAGGTCTGATGCCATTCTTGACCAGGACAGACGGTCCCGGAGACCACATCAATCATATATTCCGCAGGATTCACCCCAGGGGGGCAGACGGCACCATACCGCCCAAAATAACTTTTGATTGCCTGGCCATTTTCCCCAATATCACCAAAGTATACAGTTTTCCCTCCCTTGGCGAGTAAAAGCAGGGTGTCAAATTGAGAGAATAGCTGTGCAGAAGGTTGATGGATAGTGACCAAAATAGCTTGTCCGATATCAGCCAATTTCCTGAGGAACCGGACAGTGTTGAAAGCAGATTGACCATCTAGACCAGAGGTTGGCTCATCTAGGAAGACCAAGATACTTGGCTTAGCGACCAACTCCACTCCGATCGTCACACGTTTGCGTTGTTCAACGCTAAGGCCAGCGCCAACTGTACCGATCAGGGTGTCAGCTAGATCATGGAGCTCGAGGAGGTCAATAATAGTATCAACATAACCAAGTTTCTCCTTCTTTGGTATATGCTGTGGCTGTCGAAGGAGGGCAGAAAATTCAAATGCTTCTCGTACAGTGGCATATGGTTCATGAACATCGAGCTGCTCACAATATCCAGCAGATCGTTGAAATGATACCGGAAGTGGCCGCCCATCCACTAAGATAGAGCCACGAATGGTACCGTCTGTTTTGCGCTGCGCAAGGACATCGAGGAGTGTCGTTTTTCCAGCACCGGAGGATCCCATTAATGCACCAAGCATTCCTGGCTTCACCCATCCTTGGACGTTGTCCAAAAGGACCCGATCTCCAGTGGGGGTTTTCACAGTATAAGTGAGATTCTTCCATGTGAAAACAGAAGCGTTCCGTGCTATTTCAGCATTGCCGTTGAACTTTTCACCTGATTGGGAGGTAGAAGAATTTCCATTCGGTCCTTCCGCGCCGTCGAATTTTTGATCTGGGTTTGACTGTGCCTCTTCGTCCAAGCGGGTCACAAAATGCTCCCTCTTCTCATAAGGAATCAATAGCGATGAACCAGACTCGGAAGAGTCTTGCCACAACGTAGTCAGAATGATCGTAGCAGCGACAAATAAAATCCACCACGCCCAGAGGATTCCAAAATCCCGCCAGACATGAGAAGTTGAGTAACTCAACGACTTGAGATAGCTTTCACCTGTCAGAAAAATTTCCCCCTGTGTAGCTCCCCCAATTCCGGCGCAGGATTGATGATTGTGGTTCGAATAGCCAGGCCCGGATGGAATCAGGTTGGAACTAGCGCAGTTAATGTTGGCATCCTTGAATTCATTGGCGAGAATAGCCTCAAACGCGTAAGCCATAGGATTTATCCAGAAAATCCATCCTAGCCAAGGGTGCATGCTTGGCTTCTGAATTAGATAACCGGTGTAAACTACCAGTGCGGTGGTCAAAAATCCAGAGATCTTAGAGGCACTGTCAAAGGACCGAAATGCGGCACCGATCGCTCGAAACATAGCAGTCAAACACATAGTTGATGCGAAAATGATGACCCAATGGGTGAAGAATGCGACCGCCGAGAGCTTCAGGCCGACCATAAAGTATAGAACAAGCGTGAAATGAGTGATTTGGAAGATGATGGTTGGGATGTCGCAAACAATCTGTGCGATGCAGAATGCAGCCGGGTGGAAGAAAGCAAAATGTTTATGCTTAATCAAGACAGGACGACCGAAAAACGAATCTGTCACTTCGGACATTGGCATTAGGATCCCATTGTATAGCACAGCAAAGAAACACGCCCCGGATTTGATGAACAGACCGGGCGAGTCTGGCGATGCATCGTAAAACAAAGAGCCCGCGACCAACGCTTGGACCAAAGTAGATATTTGCTTTATGAGGAATGTTGCCTTATCTCCTTGGATGATTTGATACTGACGAATGATGCATGCCTTGACTTGGAGAGGCAAACTGGTGGTCATTGGGCTAGCCTTTGGCAGGGACGGGTGTCGGTCCTCCGTAACAGCCTGCTTGAAGGATTCCGTACATTCTTTAGCCCGAGGAGTGTTGGGATAGTCGTACTCCTTGATCATGTGGGAGTAGACAGTAGAAGAATCATAAAGTGAGCGAATGGTCTTTGCATTCCGGGGGAATGTCTGCTCGTACCCTGACCGAATCTCTCGCTCTGCAGGCATCGTGACTCCTGTCAAGAAATCTGCCACGTTCGAACCATCTCGACAGACGAAGCCAAGGCCCTCCATGAAAGAACGAGCCTGTTTCATCGGGCCGTAGTAGATCTGCTCGCTCTCGTCTAAGACAAGGACCTTGTCAAAGAGGTCGTAGATACCATTCCCTGCTTGGTATAAGGTGACGACAGTGGTCAAGCCAAACTCATTTGTCATAGACCGCAAGGCTTTGGCCCAATCTAATGCCGTACTAGCATCCAAGCCACGGGTACTGTTATCCCAGCAAAAAGTCGATCCACCAGTCCCCAGGCACTCAATGATAGAAACTCGTTTCCGTTCTCCTCCTGAGACCCCGCGGATGTACTCGTTTCCAACCTTCGTGTTGGCCGTGTGGGAGATACTCATAGACTCGAGTAGGAAGGATTTCAACGATTGGCGATAGGATTCGATGTTCTCGGCGCCCTGTGGTGGATGGGCTGGGGCCTTGAGTCGTGTCGCAAAGTCCATAGTCTCGCCGACAGTCAAGGTTGGGAAAAATATCTCTTCTTCAGTGTTCATGACAATCTGACCTCGGTACTGTGCTGCCTCTTGGTGGCTCATCGAGCCAAAATGTATGTCGCCCTCGATAGAGTATCCCTGTCGGCGGTTTGCGAGAACCTTCAAGAGAGTGGTGCATCCGGATCCAGGTCGGCCCAGCACGAGGAGCATCTCTCCTGGCTTGACGCAGCCATGACTGTTGTTCAGGATTGTTTTCATGGGTGGTTTCTGGCGTGCTTTGCGGATGTGCCCGAAGATATTGAACTGTGACAGGGCATTGTCTTTGACCGCGGCGTCTACGCTCGGGGCCTGAACAGTGAGGCCGTCCCACTGTATTCCAAGCTCACGTCTCTTCAGGCCAGAGTTCAACTGCTGCTGTTTAATTGCCTTGACCTGAGTAGCCAGACTCCACTCGAATTTAGAGTCCTTATCTTCCGCCGTCCTTTCCGACAAATTAAGGGTTGAGGCGCTGTTGGTCAAGCTATGATCGGGGTCGGAAGCCGACGCTAACGCTTCTGGCGACGAAGGGGAGTTCATAGCGGCGGTTATCTTTGGCTATGAAAGTGAAAGTTGCTATGTTCGACCTGGGAAGAACTGGGGTCTCCCAAATTTATACTTGAAATCTGCTTGAAATTTGCCCCCTTGCCTCTAGGCCCGACGAAGAAATTTTTCAAGATACCTAGTGTGATCCACCAGAGTGCAGCGGGTATTGATAGGACATTGTCTATTTGCGTGGATGTGGCTTCCACTCTCCCATGTTGAATATGGACTGAACCTAGACACATTGATCTGATAGCCCAGACATAGTAAGGTTGGTCCATGCCTTAGAGCCCATGGAGACAAATACATTTCACTGGGCATGATAAATTGATGTGATCGATATCATTCCTATTCAATGTTTAGGGTAGGCATCATGTCCGACAATTCTACATAGTTACACCCTGCAGCAGTTGGACAAGGGGTCCACTATACTGTTTTCGGGCACCTCGCACGCATCTCGGATGCCGATATGCGCTTATTTATCAGCAAGTGGGTTTCAGTGGAACCCACCGAGCAATGCCGACATGCGCTTAATTATCAGCAAGTGGGTTTCAGTGGAGACACAGAGCAGTATGCCGAGTATCGCTTAATCATCACTAACCAGCATCTAGGCCTCTTAGGGGCAGTTCAAAAGTCACCTACAGACCGTACCCATTCCTACATATTCCAATAATCTCACTTGTATTCTAATCACCGAGCCCCGAGATGTGTTGCTTTTATCAGCCATTGCTTAGATGTAAATATGTCCCCGATCTCACCCTCCGCCTGCTCGGTCAGAAGTCAAGCCGCAAAGTTTGCAGATACTTTTTTCCGGATACCTAGGGCTGGGGACTGTTACCTAACTGGTTTCGTGCTCCAGAGATCCATTCTACCCATTGATTTGGAAAATAGCCTGGAGGCCGAATATTTCCGGCCTATAAAAGCATAGGTACTCTGCCAATTCCAACACAACACTATTGTGAAATTTTCACATTTAGCCAAGGCGAATTGCAGACTGGCACATACCTTATAAACACCATATCCTATCTGTATAATGGCGCCCTCTACCAACTGTTCACCCACAGACGATATGGCAACTGCCCGTATTAGGCAGAGAGTCAGCAAGGCCTGCAATCGATGTAGACTGAAGAAATCGAAGGTGACATACTGAAAGCCCTGTCCTTGAGTGAAAATGTCCGTTAATAGAGCTTGCAGTGTAATGGCAAAGAGCCATGCGACCGATGCAGGGCCGACAACAGTATATGTTTTTTTGGCCATCAGCGAAAAGCTTCTAACAAGGTCTACCCCAAAGAGCAAGTACGATATTGAAATCATCAGGCGAGACTTACTGACAATATTTGCCCCCAGGTATGTGGAGATGCTAGAAGAACAGCAAAGATGGTTGGTGAATGAATTGCAAGTCTTATATCGAATGGCCTGCGACGGCCATTCTTGGCGGCATGGATTTCTAGAAGGCAACAAAACGAATCACCTATCCACACATAACGAACTCGCACCATTCGGATTCCTGGATCCGAAAAAACTTGGCTTTGTGGAGGAGACAGAAGAAACCACACAAGATTACGTGTGGCAACCCAACGCAGGAGAGGAAATGCAAAGTCTAGATTTATCATACGGTTCCTCTGGAAGCGTTTGCTTTCAATCAGGACTTTCCAGCCCCGGTCAGAACCCTTTCGTATCGAGTCTTTTCTCCAACGAATCTCGACCCGGTATGACTAATTCTGAGCACAACATGTTCCTCTCCTGGCCTATGCAAGATGCATTCAATCTAGACATCCTGTGCCCTCCAAAGGAGTGGCTTGTCAACGAATCTTACCCATGCGTTGCATCAAGCCCACTCAATGGTTAGAAAATGTACGCACATCGCGATCACCTGCAGTCCATTCCCTTACATCCTTCTACGATCGACAGTCCTCTAAGCATACAATGAAATCCAGCTGGGATGAAGAGTATGATAATCTATCGTAAAGTCCCTTGGGGCATTTTGAATGGTCACATAAACCGAGTGAACCCTACAACAGCAGCCGCGCCTGAGACCGCAGACGTCTGGCTGTTAGTAATACATAACAACCAAATATAAAGCATAGCAGATACAGATCAAACAAACGCGACCGTCAATCTCATCATATATATAATAAATTCATCTGTCAATTTGCATGAAGTTAGTATCGGCTCGATTGCTTGTGCTCCTTTTTCCAATCACCGTTGGCTTTTAGGGGCAGACAAGCTAGCTCACGTATAGGTTGTGGAAGTAAGTGTTTCCACTGTATTCTGACAGTGAAAGCCAAATGCTTGAGTCCGTAAGTCTGCTCCCCTCTCACATAATTTCAAGTATCTGTGCTCATCCAATTAACTGCGTTATAAAACCCCGGGACATCTACTTTCAGTCGCCGTATCTGGGCTTTGGTCACGTGATTTGCGGTGTGAGTGGCAAAATGCTGCCGAAAAGATCAGCTACTCCGCAGCTCGGGTTTCGCTGATAAATTGCAACAGTCAAGGAACTTGATAATCATCGCTCTTTCTTAAAACACCGAAGCCCGACGCATGTGGGGCTCAAAAAGCGGGCGATCCTCGACCCACCGAATTCAAGGTAATTTATGTACATAAACGGGCCACTAGGCTTGAATAGCAAAATAGAACTCCCGTTGCCCCGTCGTATGTGGCGGGGCCGCATCATTTCGCCGGAATTCCTAGCTTTCATTTTCTGCTAACTGGCATGGAGGGTATTCAGCTCTACACATGACCGAGCCATCCTAATATATCACCACGTCTTCCGACATGTAAAATAAGTATCTTGTCGGCAACTGTGATTTTAGGCAGGTAAATCGACTTTTAAAATGACATAGCTTAGCTATGATAGCATCATGTTTTCAATTTTTTCATGATGTTAGGGGACTCCATCGAAAGCGGGTATTTGCGCGTCACCAGTGCAAATCGATTACGCATTTGACGGCTGATAAGTGAGTTATTTACAAATTTGTAATCCATTCACCCCGTTTACTTGCCCTCCCGGCTTTCATAAAGCGGGATCTTTATCCGAGTAATTCCCTGATAATCATTGCGAATAGGTCAGAAATCTTACCGGCTCATATAAGGCTTTCGCGACCCCTCTGAAGTTGGCACAATATATTCGTCAACATTGGGCATTTCATCAACAGTGAAAAGAGCTTGAACAATGATTTTTCCTTACAAGCATGTCTTGCTCGTTGGAGCAACCTCAGGAATCGGCAGAGGAATGGCAGACCGTCTGATCGAAGCTGGAATCAAAGTAACAGCAGTCGGACGACGAAAGGATCGTCTGGATGAATTTGTCCAGAAGCATACAGAGAGCATGGCTCAGAGATTGGTTTTCGATGTGGGTGACATTGACAAGGCTTCTCAATTTGCCGCCAAGTGAGGACATTCGACACTCTTTGTGAGTTAATTGCTAAAAGAAAATTGGAACAGCACGATGAATCAGTATCCAGAAATTGACTGTATCTTCCTCAATGCCGGTACTCAGCGATTCTATGATCTCACCGATCATGAAGATTTTGACGTGAAGAAATTCCAAGAGGAGATGAACATCAATTTCATGAGCTTTGTTGCTTTGACCCAGGCGTTTCTCCCATTCATGATGTCCAAAAAGTCAAGTTTTATATTGTGCGAATTCTATCTAAGAAATGGGTGTCTTCACCGGATCACGCTAATGTTCGTGCAGTACCACTTCACTTTTGTCTATAATCCCTCTTAGCACCATCCCCGCATATTCCGCATCAAAGGCTGCTCTGAGCGCATTCATTCTTTGTCTGAGAGAGCAATTGAGGAGAAGCACCATTAAAGTGATCGAATTGTCTCCCCCTCTTGTGCAAAGTAAGTTACTATGTTTAAGTCCAATACCGAATAATATTTTAACAGTCTATTCCCTCACAGCGGAGCTCAATGGACCAGTGGGTATGCCGTTAGAGCAATACGTAGAGGAGACCTGGAAAGGATTGGAGAGTGGAAGTGACCAGATCGTTGGGGGTACTCTTGGGGACCCTGGAGTTTTTCAGGACCTTGTTGGCAATCGTCGCAAGATATTTGAGGAGTATGCGAAAAGTTGGCACTAATCAATATCGACGTGTATATAGAATTGGTGAACTTGGAAGTGTTTAGCAGGGTCGCGGAGCGTAAGATGCTGCAGATTTGGCAAGTTTCTCTTCCAAGTCATCATATTTCAGTACAGTATCTGGATGTCAGTACAGTGTTCAAGATCAGCCATCAGCGGCCAAGGGCGGAACATAACTAAAGGAACAACAACGGCAACGATCCTCTGCGACAGCAGATCAGCCTTGCAAGCAATCCAGAACCCAGGTAACAAATCAGGACAACGCATTATACACGCGATCCTCCAAGCAGCCACAGAGGTTGGAAATTCGATGATAGCTATAAAATCAATCTACGTATGTTGGAGTATTGATGCCCTTTAAAATCTCTATAGACTTAGACAAAGTTCTTCATCTTCAACCACTTTGCCGTTCGTTAAAATCTTAGGAGCTGAGGGCCTTCCCACAGTTTGCCAGTATCTCCACTAGCCTTACTCAGAGCCCGGCCTTCGGTCATTCATTTAAGGTTATAGCTTATTCAGATGTAGTTGAAATTCAAGCCTGGTCATTGGTTGGTCTGTTTTGAAGTGAGGCTTAGCCGGGCTAAAAGCGAGATTCCGAAGGCCGAAGGCCGGCATAGTGGCGAAATGATAACCAAAAACGTCATCGAAGCCAAATCTCCAGCGTTGATTGACTCAAAGAAAGGATAGACCCTAAGAAAAAAAAAACCACTCTATCCCACTTGCACTATATAATGGAGACATGTCCGCTCAATTTATATTTACTACAACGACTATCAAATGGCCCAGTCGATTCAACAACCAAGTTCTCTCATGCCACATACCAAATTACAGACTCTGGATGAAGCTTGCTTCATGCCAGATCCCGCCAGTGGTTCAACACACATAAGCTGTATCCTCACGGCAGAGCAACGCCAGCGACTGCACCTGTTCAAAAACCTATGCCAAAGCAACAGCTACGATCTTTCCCAGCCCGACAATTACACGGACGATGCCGCTTTACTGTAAGTACGATGGCTTAAAATCTGACTTCGGTTTCCGTTATTAACACATGTTAGGCGATATCTGCGATCGCGAAATTTTGATGTTGCTGCTGCCTTCGAAAAATTTGATTACGCAACAACATGGCGCAGAGACCACAAGATCAAAGAGTTTTATGACAATCTAGATATAGATCACTATGAAGAATCTAGGAAAATGGTTTGCTCTCATCCGTTCCAATCCTTTCTCTCTGCACTTTTATAAAATCCACTAACGTGTTACCAAAGTATCCCCAGTGGACTGGACGACGTGACCGTGACGGACGTCCACTCTATGTGTTTGCTGTCAAAGAATTCACAAAGAAGAGATTGGACGAGTATCTTGAGAAGATTTTGTCCTGCCCAACAGCCAGCACCTATTCACACCCCGACGTACCAACCCATATTATGCACTTTCACGCACTCTACGATAATTTGATTCGATTTGTGACGCCTCTTGTCTCCGAGCTGCCTAGAACCACTAGAGATATTCCGGTCTCTGCCTCGACCCATATTATTGATATCTCCGGAGTCAGTATGAAGCAATTTTTCTCTATCCGAAAGTACTTGCAAGAGACGAGTGAATTAGCTACGGCACACTATCCGGAAACCCTTGGTCGCGTGTTTGTTTGTCTTCCCTCAAAAGCTCTGATCAGAAGCTTGAAAAAGCTAACTCAATATCCAGATTGTCGGCGCACCCTATTTCTTTCGGTCTATCTGGGACGTCATGAGCCATTGGTTCGATCCCGTTACCCGGTCGAAGTTATTTTTGTTGACTGCATCGGAGGCCAAAACGACTCTGTTATCTTTTATTGACGCGTCTAATCTCCCCGAAGAGTACGGTGGGATGCTTCAGTGGAAGTGGCAAGATATGCCTAATTTGGATGAACCAACGCGAGACTTGGTGGACGAGTTATACCAACCCGGTGAACAGGGCAAGCAAATTGCAAAAGGCCCTGTCAGTTTTCAGGGCTCATGTATTCAACTTTTGGGCACCGAAAATGGGGAACCGAGGCGAAATCAATTTTGCCGTGCAGGTAGTAGATAGAGAAGCGCTTCTTGAAATCCCCGATATGACATGACATATGATGCTTAGCGCCCGAATATCCGAGAGCTTGAAACCCAGCGGTTAGATCGCTGCCTCAAGCATAATGAAATGGGCTGGGTTTGGCTAATTGGTATCCATGAATTGTTTCAGCTTGGCGGGAATAGATTTTTGTCTGAGAGGGGGGTTGTAACACGCCTGAGTCAATGAGCGCCGGCCAGGAATTTGCAGAGATCCATGATATACTGTCACCACTATTTCCTGTATCCAGCCAATTGGAGATATCAATGACTCTGTATTTCCATTACCCCTATTTCTCGCTATTTATGGGTCCAGTCTAGTTACATAAGCTATGCCGACGGATCATCTAAGTTATAGACCCGGTTTCATGAAGTATTCGTACGATATTTGTGACATATACTTAGTAATTTCCAATTGTAAATCGACATAATCCCTGTCAAAGTTCTAAGAAGGCAAGTGACTGCTTCGCATATAGTCCGATAGAGAGACGGCGGAGGAAGTCGGGAATTTTACAGCGATAAATGTGTTTGTGGATCTTCTTTCTGAATCTGCTTCATTTCTCGGTCGCCTTGTTCAATTCTTGCGTAGAAAGCAAGCTGTAGCTGGATAACTTATCTTATCTTGATGACGTAATGAAGTCGCGGGGATTAACGTTAACACTCTCGTGAGCACACTGCTTGCCCGCCTCATCTGCATCATTCAAACACTTGAGAAGATAAAAGATTTGTATCCATGAAACTATGTCCATCTCAATATCTCCTACGGGTTTCTCTCGCAGCCGTAGCACAAACTTCAGACCTACATCCGCGGAGAGAACTAACATAACAGCCTGCATCCGCCGTTGTCAACAGAAGAAGAAGCGATGTGACCAGAATTTACCTGTAAGCGTCCTGAATCTGGAATCTGGCAGACTCACCGGGCTTCTAGCCTGCAGCGTGGAAGTTCATTGACCTATCATCATAGAATTGTCGCTTGTGTGAGCTTGCTGGAGTACAGTGCCTTGGATACGATGTTGTGGCTAAAAGAAAAGTTCCCAGAAGGTCGGAAAATGGCCCATATCATTTTACGCATTCACTAACGTGGTTGTACACTAGCTACTTACAAACATTTGAGAATCGCGTCGCATATCTGGAATCAAAGCTGCAGGAACATGGCATCCATGGCCAAGATCTTGAGGGGACCCAATGGTCTGCTATTACAGCGCCAATAGCTACATCACCTTCAACCAATGCGGTTCCGATATCGGAGGCATCTCCCCTGGGATTGTCTGCGGATCAACCCTCTTCGCCAGAACCTGGATGCCGAACTATAGCTGCAAAGGCTGTGGTCGATACATTTTTGTCCTCGTCCGAATGCGAACCTGGACAGGAGCACTCGTTTTCTCGAATCCTCCTAACAGAAATTTTGAACTCTCAAATGACACCTCGGGTTTCCAAACGTCGAACATCAGGCCATGATGCCACAAACGAACACACTTCCGATATAATTAGTGACCTGGAAACAGGCCCAATGTCACTTCCAACCAAACAGGCCGCTCAAACTCTCGCTAAGACATACCTTCAATCCGCAAATATCGGTATGCCGCTGCTACACGAACCTGCGTTTGAAAAGAAGCTGGAGCTTCTCTATGAAATGCCTCGAACAGTCAATCTAGTTGAGCTCCATGCCTGCTGACACAGATACGCACGGGCCATAATTGGTTATCCACCTATGCCAAGACCTTCTGCTTCCGCGACAATGATCAGTGCGTGTGCGGCGCGCAAGAAACAGTCACCCACGTGCTGGTGGACTGCCCAAATCCGAGGAAAATTCGACGGAAGTTAAGGAGTGAAGCTGTGGACGCGTTCAACAACAGCGTATCGAGTCTGCTGGGAAGCTCAACTGAAGGTGAGAGAGGTAAACCAGACACCGTGTCGCGGGCTAGGACGGTCAAGGCGTGCTAGACTTCGCCGAGGCGTCACAACGGTTTCAAAGTCGCGCGCCATGAGGGCAGCCTAACAACGTGAGCGGCAACCAGCCCACGATAGGCCTTGACGAGGCTGTGTGAGGAGATCATACAAGAGCAAGCATGTCAACCTGAGAATATATAGACGACCATGCTCTATGCAATCACAATTGCAGGAAGATTATGTGACAGAGTGCCAACCGAACGATCGCCTTGTTCGCTCGATTTGCGTAGAACCCTTTAGTCCCCTGTGGCGACTTTTATACTGGCATTTAAATAGTATTATTACTTGCAGTGTTACTGAAATTCATGATTTACGTTGGAATGATTTCGGCGAAAACTTGGCTTTCCACATAAACCGATCTCCTATCCACCGATCCACTCTGTACTTAATATCAACCAGAACCTTTGAATAACTATCAGATAACATCACACCGTCATTGGGAAATTGTCAAAAGCCCTCTATCCATCCTGTGGTGGCACAGGAAGCCAGCCACAGTCTATCTCATCGCAGATAGTATTCACCCTATAGCTAAGCTTCCGAATCATTGACAATGTTGGCTTATGTATTAGATATCACGTATTGCCGATATACGAACGATCGTTTTCTTCGTTTGAATCTCAATACCAAATAAATAAGAACCTACATCCATGACAGGCTTACAGCTTAGACTTTTATACCGCAGGCTGATAATATTTGACCTCCGCTATCCCGTTCATCAAATACATATATCAAAACACTCGCATTGTCGATGCGATAGTCTCATACTAGGCTTCTTAGATCACCTGGCATGCTAGATTTGATGCTCTAAGCCTAACTACTGAATAGACATCCTATACTGATTTCAAGCATACCTTAGATGTTGGATTGTACAGATAGAATGTTTGGCTCATAGCCACTCGATCGGTGGTATCTTTATGTTTCTTGTGTGTATTTACGCTACACGGTACATAAGGTAATGTACTAAGGCAGGTATTTGACCGCACAGCCACAACGTCGGAAATTCAAATAATGAATGTATGTTCGAAACACGTATGTTTCAGTCATGAACCATTTCTCCGTATGTTTGGTTAGTCCGCTTAGATCACTATGCATTCCATTTAGTCAAAACCTGTGTAATAGTACTGTACATGGAAAGTTTTCAATCTTGCTCCAGTTCATTTTGTAATGACTAGAAGCTCGTGGGGAAGATTGGTTGTTCAATCATATGGGTGTGAGTAATAAATGGATATTTTGTCTTGGTATGCCTAACAGATTTGATGAATTGAAAGGGCTCAGTCTGGTAGACGTTCAGAGAGATAGGGAAATTCCGATCACTTGCGCAGGCTCATTAATATTGAACGCACCAAAAAGTAGGAATGGGGCACGTAACTGATGAATTGGGAGAGAATGATGAATTGGGAGAGAATGATGAATTGGGAGAGAATGATGAATTGGGAGAGAGTGATGAATTGGGAGAGAATGATGAATTGGGAGAGAATGATGAATTGGGAGAGAGTGATGAATTGGGAGAGAATGATGAATTGGGAGAGAATGATGAATTGGGAGAGAATGATGAATTGGGAGAGAGTGATGAATTGGGAGAGAGTGATGAATTGGGAGAGAGTGATGAATTGAAGGAGCAATTGAAGGAGCATGATGAACTAAGAGAGGTGAATCAGTAGTGAAGGGATCCTCAGGCTTTCGGGTCCGATCTTCTGTTGTTGGGCACAGATGTTTGAAATGTCAGCGAGCAGTACAAACAAACAAACAAACAATTCATTAACGCCCGGCGGCTAAGCCGAAAGGGCAACTATCGCTGATCTACTATACATGTCATAATATATACAGTACTGTGTCTCATCAGAGCCCATACATGATTGCATTCAGAGTATGTCGTCTCAGATGCTCGTATCGCAGCGGATTCTCGTGGGTTAGTAGTTTGTTAGTAGGCTGACTTGAAGGCGCTTCTCCAAGTGTTCAACATCCTATCTTCGGCAGTTGAAGCGCGTCTACCGTTTGTAGCACGAGGTGATGGGTGAGTAGGGTCGAAAGAGGGGGTGTGGGAGTTGTGTTGGTCGATATGTTTAAGTGGCCTCGAGTCGGCCTGTCGCAATGGCGAAACGTATAGAGGCCCGTACTGCCTCTAGGTTTGGCGTCCACTTCTGATCATCAGAAGGCTGTCTCCCTCCTAGAAAGAAGGAAATATTTCCGCGGTGAATCTGGGTGCATTGTAACATTTCCGTCCGGTGGGCAGTCCACTTCCGACATCGGAAGAGGAAGTGCTCCACGGTCTCTCTCGCTTGTCCGCAATCGCATTGGTCCGTTTCTGCTACATTGATTTGATTGAGATACCCATTGAGTCTAGCCATGCCAGTCCGGAGTTGGGCTAGCACAGTCGCTTCTTTCCACGATAAGCGATCATACAGCAGTCGTGTGTGTTTTCCTGGAAGTGCTGCATCTATTCGTTTGGCGTGTTTCCCAACGTTCATTGGCAGGCTATGTCCAGGGACTGCCTGAGACCGTGCGAGATTAAGTGTGGTTGATTTCATTCTCGGGGCGCGTTTTTGTAAGGGGGCATCTTGTTGCGTTGCGGCTCGCGCCTGTGCTTTAGCCAGACCTAGCAGCTTATTGTCTTCACTGGTGGAAATCCAGCGGAATTTGACACGATTCCCGTTTCTTTGCAACTTCTTAATCGACTTGTATATCCGACACACGAACTCCTGGCCGGATTGTTGTCGGGGATTCCTCAGCATGAGAACCGCCGCTTTGTTGCTTGTGAGCAGTGTGATCGTGTGGTCTTTCAGTCCCGCCAGCGTGCCCAATACGTGTGCCATGGCTGCCAGTTCTGCAGAGAATGGATTCTGCTCCGCTCTTGCAGCCAAGGTGATGGACAGCGCTTTATGCTTGAGCTTTCGAATTCGAGGTGGCCGCTTCTCGATGGCCACTCCAAACCCCACCAGTTCGTTCCGTGCCGAGCTGCTAACCGCGGCCTGCACGTACCCGCCTGCTTCGGCCGGGGACTCGTGCTGTCCATCAATGTCAGTCTGAACGCGTTCCGCCCACGGGGCTAGCGTGAAGGGGTTAATCGTTTCCAAAGTCTCCATGTCGATCTGCTTAAGCGCATCGGCTACGTGATATAACGGTGAGCGGTGGTATCTTCTGAACTTTCTGATCTGATCGGTGCACCGGCGGAGAGGATTGGTATCCGGCAAAGTGTGGATGTCTGTCCACATCTTCACGGCTCGTTTCCAAAATCGACGCTGCGCAGTAGCTATGTAAGCCTCCGCCTCTGCGACACTAGTCGCGACCGTGAGAAATGTCCCCACAATGGCTTGCGCTCCTACTCTTTGGACTCGGTTGATCGGCCCCATGGCTTTATCCTTGCACGAGTGCATCCACACGTTGGAGGCATAGTCCACAACTGGTGCCACTGTCGACGTGAATAGCTGCCGCGCAGTTGCCGTGGATAGACCACGGAGTCGCCGAAGCTCCATCGCTGCTTCAAGACCCTTAGACGCTGCCCTCGCAATATGTTTTTTATACTTGAGTCTTGTGTCCATCACGACACCCAGGATCTTGACGTGGTCTTTTGGTACCACTGTCTGCCCCTTGATGGTGAATGGTGAATGGTCCGATTTGCGCATCTTGGGAGCAAAGTGTATGATGGCCGTCTTGTCGGCCTCGAATGTCGCTCCGCTTCTCTTTCCCCAATTGAGCGCCTCGTTGACAATGTTTTCAATTCCCTCCCGGTTGCTCTGCGCAGTCGGTCCAGTCACCCATGCGGTAAAATCATCCACAAAGGCGACTGCTCCTCCCTGGCTGTCGATCTGCCTTTGCACAAGGTCTGCGTTGAAGAAGAGAAATAGAATCGGAGACAAGGGCGAGCCCTGCGGCAGTCCAGCTTGTGGCAAGCTTTGAGTCTCAGATAGTTGCCCGTTAATCAGGATGTTCGCCGTTCGTTCCGAGCAGAAGGCCTCTACCCAACGAAGCAAGATCTCCGGTATGCCTCGGGCTTTCATCCTCTGGATCAGTCGTTCTTTGCATACTCCGTTGTAGGCTCCTTTAACATCGAAGCTGATCAGGCTCAGCACCCGCCGGCCGCGCCATGCCGCATAGATTTGCTCCTGCAGGAACACCAGTGCTTGCTCTGCGGACCGCTGCTTTCGCGCTCCAAAATGGCTCGTCGGGAGCAGTCCGTGAGTCTCCACCGCGTGCGAGATCCTCTCTGCGACCACCGACTCGAGTATCTTTCCGAGTGTCGCAAGGAGTGAGATAGGCCTCCATGCCTTTGCCATGGTGTAGTCATCTTTGTTCGGTTTCTTGAGCGGTATAATCTTCGCGTGTCTCCACTGTCTTGGCAGTGAGCCCTCTTGCAGCGAGGCTTGAAAAAGATCGAGGACCCTGTGCTTGGCTGTGGGCCAGGTCATCTTCCAAACGATCGCCGGTAGGCCGTCTTCTCCCGGAGCCTTCCACGATTTCGCTGCAAATAACTGTCGTTCTATCTCTTCCATAGTGATGGCTGGCATGTCCACGGCCGCTCTTTGTGGTCTCATTCCCTCCTCATCGATGTCCCCTGGTAAAGGTGGGAAGAATTTGGATAGCAATTCCTCCGCTTGCTCCTTGTGATCGTTGGTAGTAGTTCCATCCGCTCTTAAGAGCTGCGGGATCTTCCCGAACGCTGCATCGTCTCCCGACTTGAGGTACTTGGCGGCCTTCCAGATGTTGTCATTGTCTGCGAGAAACTCATTCCAGTGCTTCTTCTTTTGTTTGCGGATGGCATCGTGGTATTGTTTGGCCGCATCTTGAGCCGTTTTTTCAAGCCGAGGCACTTTCCGACCCGCCCGTCGCTCGGAGCGAGCACGGTTTCTCCAGTACGTGTATATATGACGGAGCTGAGTGAGGTCATCTGTCCACCATCGCTTCGCATGTGGTGAAGGTTTCGCCCTCGGCGTTAAAGCGTGCACCGCTTCGGACACTGCTGACATGAGTCGGTCGGTTTTCTGCTGCACTGTACCCTCTGACGGAAGGATGGCTAGAGCACTCGTGATTCTAGCATTAATCTCCTTCCACGGTGCATTCTTCAGCAAAAGCCGTTCTTGATGCCTTGGGCCCGACCACTGCGTGTCGAATACGGACTCAATTGCGCAGTGGTCCGAGCCGTGGTCTGTGTCGAGTAAAGCACATTTCGTCATGGATTCCGTCAAATTTTCCGAAGCTAGGACGAGGTCAATGGTGGACTCGCAGTCTCCACTTTGTCCGCCGCCGTGCCATGTCTTGGTGCCGCGTTTGAGCAAGCTACTGAGTGCAAATTCATTCATGAGGTCGATGATCGGATCCGCTTCTCCTTGTCTTCCCAGCGACACCTCCTCTCCACCCCAAAGTTGATCGTGTCGGTTGAAGTCCCCCACAATCAGAACCTCCGCCACAGCGCCCGCCTCTCGTCGTACCTTTGTGATCGCGTCGCGTAAGCGATTGCACGCATCTTCCAGGGCTGAGACATTGCCTCCTTCTACGTAGACTGATGCCATGAAAATCAGTCGCTCGGGGAGCCTGATCAGCGCTGCTGTGAGGTCCGGGGACTCCACTGGGACTTGCTCCGCTTCGACTTCTTTGTTGACCCATAACATGCTCCGGATTCCCCATCTCCCTTCCCTCCACATGCAGGGCACCATCTTTGTCCACTTGTGATGCCCCATCGGGGTGGTCAACAGCTGGCCTTGAATCCTCCTCGCTTGGGGTTCCTGAATCGCTAGCGCCACTGCGTTCCGAGTGTCTTCATCGTTCATTAAACTCTCGTGCACTGCACCCTGTTTCCTCACATTCAGCTGAATTATTCGAAGAGAATTATTCATGACGTGATGGATAGAGCTTCCGGCAGTTCTTGCTGTAGGATTCGTGAGGGCCTCCGCATGGTACGCACTTTGGAACCGTGCGATCGCAGTCACTGTGACGATGGCCTTCCGTGGCGCATTTCGCGCACTTCTGGGCATTCTTGCACTGGAATCCCTTATGGCCAATCTCCTGGCAGTTATAACATTGCACCGGTCGTGGCCGATACTCAAAGACGCTAGTGGTCCCGGATTCTCCTCCGACATGGAAGTATCCATCGGCCAGGAGCCTCCGCGCGTCGCTCCCTTTGGTTAGGTACACGACCATCGATCCATAAGGTTTTGCGGCTTCCTTGCTGCTCAGCCATGTCAATTTAGCTACAGTAGCCGCGTTCTCCTCACCCACGGCTCCCGCCGCTCCTGTTAGGATTTCATGGTTCTCATCCAGTACTGCAGTCCTCTTAACGCTGTCGACCTTGATCGGGTAGAGCTCATCCCGGAGCACTCGGGCTCCCGCATCGATCTTTGCTTCCACCACTTTCTTCACTAGCTGGTGTTCGGCTTCATCGCGACACGCGATTCTGATCCGATTGGTATTTCTTGGGCTCACAGTGACCGCGCGGCAGCGCCAGTGAGTGCGATCATCCATCGTCTGGATCTCTCTCTCGATTGTGGCTCTGATTGAGCCTGCGGATACCCTCTCACCCTCACTTTCGGTCATATTTGAAGTGTCTATCGTGCAGTATAGCGTGTCAGTGAAAGTAGTTGGTGTTGTGTTCAGCGTTGAAAGAGTCCGTATGTTACTCGGGGAACTGGTCGGAGGAGTACGGGCGACATCTGCATAGGACGTGGAACTCGTGGGGGCGGGGACGCTGATTTCCTCACGTAGGGATTGGATCTCGCGGAGAATTGCATCATGGTTGTTCGGAGAGTACGACTCGGGGTGGGGTTGCGGTGTCGCCGGTCTATCGGCCAGGGTCTGTAGCTCGTGTCGAACTTCTGCAAGGGCGGCGCCAAACTCTTCTTTGAGGGCGATAAATTCTTCTTTGACTTTTTGAAGCTCTTCCTTGTGTGATTGGTCTCGCTTTCTGATCTCCTTCCTAAGTTTGACAAGTTCTTTTAACAGTTCCGACGCGTTCGGGTCCTCGCTCTCTGTTGATGATTCCGAGGCGACCGCTTCACGTTGGGCTACTGCCTTGCTCTGGGCCTTCTTTTTCTGCTGGGCACGTGCGTTGGTTTGTTCGATATCGAGTTCTTGCTCTTGGACATAATTGTTGGGTGGTCTGGTGGCGCGTCTCGGCCTCAACAACCGAGGTGGTGATTTTTCGTGTTCGTCGCGGTCGGGCGGTTCAGGGGTTCGCGTCTCGGCCCGTCCCGTCATTTTCGCTCGATTAATGTCGCGTCGCGCAACAGCAGATCGGTGTTTTCAGAACTCGGGATTTATAGTGCGTCTCGAAACTCGCAGCGGGATACCCCTTGCTGTTACCCGGCACTGTTACAGTCGATAGGCAGTCTTACCAATTACTGGTACAGTGAGGGTCGATACAGTGATCGGCTGGTGATACAGTCGATGGCTGGTGATACAGTCGATCCGCGAGCAGTACAGTAGAATTCGAAAACAGTTTACCCCTCAGGGACACACGCTTTGTTTCTCGGCTCGTACCCGAAACGGGTATGCTCCCTATATAGATAAGTGGTAAGATATAACCCAATCATAGGCCAGAGTTGTTTACGGCTAGGCCATATTAAAGTAAGCCCCGTCTCGGGTACGAGCCAAGAAACAGAGTGTGTGTCCCTGAGGGGTAAACTGTTTTCGAATTCTACTGTACTGCTCGCGGCCTACGAAGTCGGATTTCTCAGCCTGTACGAGGCGTGGGCTACGAACCTGGAGTCTTTGTTACTCCAGAGCCAATGAGAGACGCAATGACGACCAGAGGAAACGAGTCCGCAATGTTGCGGCCTGCCGCCACCGCAATTCTAGCGACCTCGAGGCCCCTTTGGCACACAGGAACGATTTAAAAACCATCCGACGATAACGGTTACAACCTCTCATGCCGTCACCCCAAGGGGAGTTCACAGAGCCTCTCAGAGGCGCGGATCGAAGTCGAGCAGGACACCTGTGGGGTAGAATTGGATTTGTGGGATTAGGGCTAAGGTGTATCGCCATCGGCTGCTGGCTCCCTACCCCGAATCGGAGGATACTTTGGTTAGTGGATGGAAAGATTATACGCTGCAGGCCTGGGTGTATAAAGAGACCATCTGCAAGACATGGTCGGCCTAGAGAACGAGAGGATACTAGGTATCAGGAAGCAAGAAATCACGCCAACTTGTGGACTGAGGTGTACTATGGCAACGATGGCTAGGAAGAAGGTTGGCGCGTCACCATCGGCTGCCGACTAGAGATCCTTACAACACTGTCAGTATAGCCCGAGAGGACGGATGCGCATGTCGGTTCACAAGAAGCAGGAAGGTTGTTATGCCGTGACCCCAAGGGGACTTAACAGAGCTGCAACTTGGCCTAAAGGGTGGGCTTAAGGAGCAAACGGGTATATGAGTGTGGGGGAAGGTTTTTGGTCCTGCTGGAACCCCAAAGGCTAAGATGTTGAAGGCAAGAGGATCTACGGACATCTAGGAATAAGAGTACTAGTGAGCTGGATAAGGAGCTGGGAAAGCATGGGGGGAAATTGCCCATCTCTCCGTTGTATTGGCTTAAAAGAACAGACTAGATCTTAGTATACCAATGCAATATTATATCTGCGAGGGCAGCGTCTAAGGGTCTTGAAGCAGCGATGGAGCTTCGGCGACTCCGTGGTCTATCCACGGCAACTGCGCGGCAGCTATTCACGTCGACAGTGGCACCAGTTGTGGACTATGCCTCCAACGTGTGGATGCACTCGTGCAAGGATAAAGCCATGGGGCCGATCAACCGAGTCCAAAGAGTAGGAGCGCAAGCCATTGTGGGGACATTTCTCACGGTCGCGACTAGTGTCGCAGAGGCGGAGGCTTACATAGCTACTGCGCAGCGTCGATTTTGGAAACGAGCCGTGAAGATGTGGACAGACATCCACACTTTGCCGGATACCAATCCTCTCCGCCGGTGCACCGATCAGATCAGAAAGTTCAGAAGATACCACCGCTCACCGTTATATCACGTAGCCGATGCGCTTAAGCAGATCGACATGGAGACTTTGGAAACGATTAACCCCTTCACGCTAGCCCCGTGGGCGGAACGCGTTCAGACTGACATTGATGGACAGCACGAGTCCCCGGCCGAAGCAGGCGGGTACGTGCAGGCCGCGGTTAGCAGCTCGGCACGGAACGAACTGGTGGGGTTTGGAGTGGCCATCGAGAAGCGGCCACCTCGAATTCGAAAGCTCAAGCATAAAGCGCTGTCCATCACCTTGGCTGCAAGAGCGGAGCAGAATCCATTCTCTGCAGAACTGGCAGCCATGGCACACGTATTGGGCACGCTGGCGGGACTGAAAGACCACACGATCACACTGCTCACAAGCAACAAAGCGGCGGTTCTCATGCTGAGGAATCCCCGACAACAATCCGGCCAGGAGTTCGTGTGTCGGATATACAAGTCGATTAAGAAGTTGCAAAGAAACGGGAATCGTGTCAAATTCCGCTGGATTTCCACCAGTGAAGACAATAAGCTGCTAGGTCTGGCTAAAGCACAGGCGCGAGCCGCAACGCAACAAGATGCCCCCTTACAAAAACGCGCCCCGAGAATGAAATCAACCACACTTAATCTCGCACGGTCTCAGGCAGTCCCTGGACATAGCCTGCCAATGAACGTTGGGAAACACGCCAAACGAATAGATGCAGCACTTCCAGGAAAACACACACGACTGCTGTATGATCGCTTATCGTGGAAAGAAGCGACTGTGCTAGCCCAACTCCGGACTGGCATGGCTAGACTCAATGGGTATCTCAATCAAATCAATGTAGCAGAAACGGACCAATGCGATTGCGGACAAGCGAGAGAGACCGTGGAGCACTTCCTCTTCCGATGTCGGAAGTGGACTGCCCACCGGACGGAAATGTTACAATGCACCCAGATTCACCGCGGAAATATTTCCTTCTTTCTAGGAGGGAGACAGCCTTCTGATGATCAGAAGTGGACGCCAAACCTAGAGGCAGTACGGGCCTCTATACGTTTCGCCATTGCGACAGGCCGACTCGAGGCCACTTAAACATATCGACCAACACAACTCCCACACCCCCTCTTTCGACCCTACTCACCCATCACCTCGTGCTACAAACGGTAGACGCGCTTCAACTGCCGAAGATAGGATGTTGAACACTTGGAGAAGCGCCTTCAAGTCAGCCTACTAACAAACTACTAACCCACGAGAATCCGCTGCGATACGAGCATCTGAGACGACATACTCTGAATGCAATCATGTATGGGCTCTGATGAGACACAGTACTGTATATATTATGACATGTATAGTAGATCAGCGATAGTTGCCCTTTCGGCTTAGCCGCCGGGCGTTAATGAATTGTTTGTTTTGTACAGTACCCGCGGAAGCCGCTCCGTTGAGGAGTTGAGTTGACACCCGCGCATATCCCCCGATGGGCTATGAAGTATTCGCGCTTTTCGCAACAGCCACCACCATCAATATGAAGCAACCGGTACGCAACACGTCCGAGTGACTTTCAGCTACAGTCTTAAGGTACAGCAGCCGTGCGGCAGCCGTGCAGCAGCTCCAATAGTAGTAGAATTCATTTACCCTGACACCTTGCGGTTTTATTAGAAACCATTACCCACTAAACTAGGGGTGAGTTCGTCTTTTGGTCTAGTTGGTGAACCAAGTTCGCGAACGATATGCAGGCTACAATAATTGTGTAAATACATGTTTGTTTGATTAACTGATACAGTATTGTTCCAAGCTTGCTAAACAATGAAAATCGAGCCTCACTTGATAAGGATAGTGGTTGTTTCCACCTTAACATGTGAAAAGGCTGGGGTACAGTACCCCACTACCACGAGTCATTGTGTCGCTCCATAGAGACGCGATGGTGGTTATTGTTGTGCCAGCCTTGGCAGTCGATTCCAATACCGCTAAAGGTACAACAAGATACGCCGACTCCCCTCATACCACTCTGTCCGTCCTACGGAGATGACAGCAGCCACGGTAAGCCGCATTGAACAACATTCCATATCCCAATCTCAACTTTCCCCCAGGTCCCTTTTACAATATCTTTCCCGACGCCCAGCTGGGTCTGGGCTTCGTGCCGGATTCTATCTATTAAATGCAGAGCATGTTCTTCCTCTGGATAACCGCCACCCCGATATAAAGTGTAACTGGCAATGTTTTTCGGCTGCCATTTCCTCCTCCGATCGCGATTTTCCTCAAGTACTTTGCAACTTGTTTTCACGAGACCCATCAACTGTACCTTGACTGATCTGTGCGGTACTGCCACGGGAGGGTACGTATGTTCACCCCCTTCATACCCTCATTCCGAACTCTGCTAATCACTCGCAGCTACCCTCAATACACATTCAGTTGTCGCTCATTCCATCACGGGTGGAGCCTTCGCTTGCCTCCTCATGAGCTTCTTTCGACATCTTTATGGTCTAGACCAACAAATCACCATGGCCTTGATCACGCCCTATCTCTAGAGCTATGGTTTTGATAGCGTCTCTCTGTGTCGAATGTAGTCTATTCCTTCGGTCACTAGATAGATCTATAACAATGACGATTAATATTTAGGTACTAAGAAAGCAGGTAAACTTATTCTAACCAGAGATCCGAGGGTACCCAATGGTGAACTATGGCTAGACTGCGCCATAACCCGCAAATGGGTCGAGACCCGAGACCCAAAACACGAACCCACCCCAAACCCATTGCGGGTTACCCATGCGCCCCCATCGAAACCCACGTCCGACATAATTTTCCTAATTAGGCTATGGCAAGTCGCATAAAACTGCTGGTTCACTATAATCAAACTTTTTTTTACGCCACTATCAACCTCCTTATTACTTATACGATTTATTATTCTTCAAGGTAAAAGAGTATATCATTCGTTTTATTATCTGAAGCCAAACATCCAGGGACAGATCATATTTCTTGGGAGCCCATATCTTGATCTCAGATCACTTAATTTCCTTGATTCTCGCATATAAATACCATCGATATGAGTTGCTAGTCTTATGACCAGCCCATTGCACAAAGCTTCCACAGATCCATTGTAGAAGCTTCAGGTATGAAAATAGTCCGTGAGGAAATATTGCTTGCTAATCGGGTAAGAATAGATTCCCCTGCATCTATCGTCTTAGTCTGGCCAGATCAGATAATTCCCGTTTTGTCCCAGAAAGGGGCATCATGGCCAATCCCGGAGATTTGTGTGATATATCAGATGAACTGGGCTCAGCGTCCAACCCTATCTTCTTTATCGAAGACGAAGAAGACTGTGGCAAGCAGTACGCATCAGGGCAGGATTATTCTGATGGGGACACTGAGCCTTTAAGTACACCCGAAGTCTGGGCAAATCTGGGTGACGGAGGCTTTCCTGTTCCACAAAACAAATCCGCAGTCATGGATTCGTCTTCCGTTTTGACACCAATCACATTGCTGGATGGCCAAAGCTTGGGTTGTATTCGTTCTTTCGAGCCTGAACCAACTACCTGCGCCCATCTGGAAGATGAAAAATCTGAAGTCGCTGAGAGGGCTAAGGGCGAAGAAAGTACGTTTATTCGAAGTGGCAAACAATAGCCTCTGAAAAACTATCTTTGCTAATGAGAATTACCGCAGGAGCCTCACACGACATATGTGAACGCTCTATTTTGATTGCAGAGACCCAAATGGGTTCCCATGGTTAACCCAACTCCTCGTGGCCCGGTGAAGGCCGTGAATTGGTACGTACCATCTATCGATACTAGCCAGCCCGAAAATGGCAATCCATTACATCCGTCCTGTCAAAAAGTATCCGGTAAGCGCAAAAGGAATTTTGAAGGAAGGGACAATTCAGGGAATAGACGATGAAAGCGCCTGGTGAAGAAGAGGGAAGATGACGGGATGAGCAGTGTACTCATCTTGTAGCGCTAATTGCCCAAGTGCTCCCCTGTCCGTCATACCAAGATGCTATCGAGATGCTTCCACATGTGTTTCTAAGCCAGCTCTCTTGTTCGCAATGTACAGGTCTTGACGGAAATTTGTTATGATTCGAGGCTGTGCAGAACAGGAACAACCAGCATCATCGGAAAGATTCCTGCACGATCTATACGAAGGAACAAGTCGATTTCCGATCAACTTAGACCTCATGTTGTATATAAAGTCTGCCTCGTGCTCATAGAATTTTAATCGTTTTATCAATAGTTGACATCAACCCTTAGTTGGCGGCAGAGGTTGTCGTCAATTCTATCCATTTTGTGCTCCTAGTCATAGGCGTTCACATGTCTGCTAGGTTCAAGAATCGTTTTACTGGAATTGTGCAGTAAATAGCCGTCTCTCAATTTCACACAGTAAGTTCAATATTGATTACTTATTTCCAGATCGCCGAATCATACTGGTTCACCCAGCCCAGGACGTCGTTCACGCATGAACTGGGCCTTAGGCCGTACTCGGAAACGTGGTAAACGGGATTAAGCTCTTATCGCCGGCAATGTCTGCGTATCGTGTTAGATGAATCTGCTGTGTGTTGCGATGCGCGTGGACAATCCGGAAGCGCTTTCTGTTGTGCTCGAGTAGTCATCTTACCCGAGAAAGTCGATCATCCAGACATGCCAAGATCCCTAATATTATTCTGAATATTCTTCTTTTGTAACACCTCGCCTGCAATTGCCTGTTGAGAAGTTGCTTCTTGGAAGTACAAAATGTCATAAGGGCTATTTTCTTTTGGTCCTGGGTGGCCCGGGACAAATCTACAGTCATCTTGGAACAACATTCCGTGGTATTACAATATCATTAAATTCACTCGCGGAAACGATATGGAAAGAATATCAACCGAATGAAAACAAAAGATTTAACCCCATCCGTGACCAAGTCAAGCGCCAAAACTAACCGCGATTTCATTTATTCTCCTTTTTGCAATCCCGGAAGAAATCCTCGACCTTGGTCCAAGTCAGCTCTGGGTAGCGGGAATTGTCGATAGGATCGAGTTTGCCAGCGCCAGACATCATGTTTACCATATATTGCATACCCTGCCAGGTGGGGAACACATCGTTTTCACCGCCGAACAGACGCATAACCCGGATCATGAACTCCATGAATCGAACAGGGCCCATCCAGCTGGGCTTGTACTGTACACCTTGCACGCTGGTTTGCGCGTTGGCGATATCCTGCACGCTGACAATGTCGCTTGCAATACGGAGGAAGTTAGGGGCAGGATTAGGGTCGGCGGCCACAGCAGCAGTATACGCAGCCGTGTCCACCATAGTTGTGAAGTCAAGCAGTTGGGTCGGTTTTCCGATATACGGGATCTTGCGGCTCTTGTGGTTGATCATCGGTGTGTCACCAGCCATCAGATCCATGAAGCCACCATTGAGGATACTTGTCCATGCGATACCGGACTTTCTTAATTGGGCGTGGAATTCGCGACGCAGGTCCAAGTTTCGGTTGGATCCCGGCTTGGTTTTGGTGAAATCCAGGGAGAAATCGGATGGAATAAATCGCTGCACCTTGGCAGCCACGGAAGCCTCCAGCAGTTTGCCCTGGACATCGTGAATGACCCCCCGCAGGCCCTGGAGGGTGGAAACAACACATGTCGCACCAGTAAGCTCGCTGGTGAGGGCGGGGACATCATTGAGGTTGACAGGAGTGATGATAACGCCGGCCTCGCGAAGTTTTTCGGTGCGGGATGCATTGGTGTTAGGGCGAACGAGGGCCTTCACAGCCACGCCTCGTTTGACCAGCTCCATCGCGACAAGCTGGCCCATCCCGCCGGCCGCACCTGCGACCGCAACAAATGGTGAAGCCATTGCAGCTGTGTTTGATGGCAGAAATGTAGAGGATTATAGATAGTGTGTGTTCCGGTTATTTGGGTAAAGGACAAGTAGCAAACCAGATGTGAAAAATAAAGATAAGGATCGAGAACCCTTGGGAATTAAATATAGCCCACTATGGAAGATTTGCAGAACACAGGTCAGGCGGGTCCGCCTCAACGTTCGCATTCGCATCCGTCTGGCCAGCAATTATTATCTAAGCACCCGTTCCCGTATAGAATATATTGCATCTAAGGATATTACATTCCTGAATTAGTCTTGTTTTCATGAGAGAGGGCGTAGAAGTCAGATAAGGCTTTAACGGAAGAAAGGGGTAGTCTTGATACAGAACAGTATGGTCCCAAAGACTATTAAAAAAACGCTTAAAAAGATAGTATATTTATTTTTATTTATTTATTTATTTTTTTTTGGAAAAAAAAGTTGGCGTATATGCCTTAGGCTAAATATGACCCGCATCATACAATCGTTGAGGCGGATCCAGCGGGCTTCGGGGCGCAGTCCTCAGAGGAAGCCGAGGGCCCGAACGCCGAGATTAAAGTGCCGAGCGCCGCCTGAACCATATTTGGGTGACCAGGGCAATATTCCCGGCTCTTTTACTGATCGTTCGTGGTGCGGGTTAAATTTCCGAGGTCAGGATCTTCTCAAAGGCTATCCAATTGAATCGTGTGCTGACTGAAGATTATGAGTATTTGTTGAGAGATGCTATAGAGTGTTATTACGCTATACTTCCGAACAGGCCCGTATTACCATACAAAACCGGCGGAGGAATGGACAGATGGGGAATAAGCCTATCCATGGGTACACGGCGTTAAAATCTTCCTTCTTAGTTTGTCACTTATCTAGTTGTAGCTTGCCCCACATTTTGAGCCAACTACTGCTCAAGGGTTAAGAGATATACATACCAGCATAGACTTGTCTTTCAGCCATAGGAGTACTTGATTTCGTCCGCCCACTCAAGATCTAGAAAAGTACAGCCCAAAAGATCTCGATATCTAAGGCATACGCACATTGGCAACTGTTGAGGTCTGATAAGACGATCATTCTTCCCCACAGTGATTCTAGCGAAGACGAAACTAATGGCTACTTGCTCGGCCCTTCGGTCTTCTCTTAGTCCGATTCTACCCCGAAGGCCTATGGTAAGGAACATATGCACGCATAGCGGTGGCCCTGACTCCATCACTGTATTTGTTCTCTTTTGTTCGTCAATAATTACCTCTTGTAGTAGTTCCTGAAAGTGAACTTGTTCCGATTTTTTGCCGATTGCCGAATATTTTTCCCAGAGTTCTTTTCCTTAAGAGAATTCTTAAATCATACCGAAGTGCCCAGATGTGCCATGATTCCTAATCAATCATTGGGTCGTTATACATTGCAGTTTTTCGTCGATCTTGGGGCTTTTCCTTTTTTTTGACCTTTCCCCCTTCTATTCATGTTTTGCGTTCTTCCTGACCTGGCTACCAGTCCTAAATAAACGGCCCAACATCTTGACGGTCTGATCTGATTCACAAAGCGTGGCACTTCCGATTATATGTTGAATACAGCCTGTGAAGACCGTATGGAAGCAGTAATCGAAAAGAATGAGAGGCCAGCGCCTGTTTCATTCTTCCATCCATCTCTCAATGCAACTCGTCTGCGAGTGACTCGGCAATGGGTACAAACAGGTAAGTGATTACTGTACCTGTATTGAGGATAATTTCATTGTTAATCTGATTCAAACATCTAGTATTGACGCTCTGCGTCTTTGTCCTGGTGGTTTTATCTCTTTTCTGGGCTGTACAGTTCAACGTTGAAAAGAACATGTCCGCCTTGCCGGTGTGGGTTGTCGATTTTGACGGCCAAGTGGAACCATATCGCGCACCCGATCCATTCGTCGGTCCTCTTGTTACCAATATCACTGAAGATCTCATTAGATCTAGTCGCGCTCATTTGGGCTATGAGATCAAGTCACCTGGAGACTTTGAGAATGATCCCATGGCGGTGCGCCAAGCTGTTTACGACGAGCGTGCGTATGCAGCCATCATTATCAACTCCAATGCTACGGCACTCTTGTATGCAGCACTTTCGAAGGGGAATACCACGTATGACCCTAAAGGTGCGGTCTCGGTCGTTACTCTGTCTGCTCGTGATCAGACATCCTATTCAAGTTACATTACGCCTAGGATTTACCAGTTCGAAAGTGCGGTCCTTTCGAAATTCGGTTCGGCCTGGATCAAAATTGTCGCCAACGAAAATTTCACTCAACTTGCCACAGTTCCTCAGGCTGTGAATCCAGGTATTGGATTCACAAGCTTGGATCTGAGGCCGTTTGGGCCCGTAGTGGCTACCCCTGCAATTACGATAGGACTGATTTATCTGATTATCATTGCGTTCTTCACTTTCCCTTTCCTCATGCCTATCCACTCCCAGTTTGTCGCAGGCAGCCAGGTCACCTTGAAAATTCCCCACTGGATCATATGGCGTATTGTGTCCAATATTGTGGCATATTTTTTCCTATCACTTTTCTACTCGTTTGTGTCTTTAGCATACCAGATCCCCCTATCAAACCCTTCAGCTCCTGGAACTGTCCTTGCCAGCAACGCTAACAAATATGGAGCTGGCTCATTCGTTGTATATTGGATGCTTAATTGGGTTGGCATGTCTGCTCTTGGATTTCCATGTGAAAATATGGCAATGGTGCTTGGATTCCCATGGAGCTCATTTTTTCTTATTTTCTGGGTTATTACCAATGTGGGGACCGGGTTTTATGCTTTGGATCTTGCCCCAAGTTTCTTCCGGTGGGGATATGCATGGCCTCTCCATAGAAGTAAGCAACACATCTACCCATCCCTTCAACTTATCAGAACTCTTATCACCCTATGAGAAGAAAAAGAAACTAACTAGTCAATGAAACAGTCGTCGAAGCCTCTCGTACAATTCTCTTCGACACTCACTCACGCATCGGCCTTGACTTCGCTATTCTGTTCGCTTGGATTGCTGTGTCGCTGGCTTTCTTCCCTGTTGCCACCTTTATCATGCGTTGGAGGATAATGCGTTTCGGAAAGTAGATTGTAGCTAACAGACCTTGGTCCGTATCAGCTACGAAATACAGCGATTGAATTGGCCAATCAGAGCAACGGGATCAAAAAGGAGAAGGGGGCAACGAAATTGATATTGATGATGATTCAGAAGAAGAGAATGAATGAATGAATGAATGGCAGGGTCTCGAGGTGGTTGAAATACCCCTGAGACTACATGAAAATATAAACGACTCGAGTGTTGCAATTCCGAGTGGCGTGATAAGAACAAGAATTGCGTGCAGGTCTCATACAAGATAGTTGCGGAGCTGACGTACACGGTTGGTCATGTCGAGTCACAAAAGTACAGATCTCCATACTTTCCTATTTGGGGCTGACAGTAGCCCAATCACACGTGATGTTATGCCAATATTGTATTGCTAGATGCATTTTCCGATATCTCCCATTGCCTTAATCCCCTTCCCCCGGCGTACTTCTTTGAGATAAGAGACATATTGAATTGAATATATATTGATAAATGTAATGAAAATGACTTATGAAGTTAGAAATCACCTGAAGAGCAAACCCTCTATAGAGTACTGCTACAACTTAACAGAACTAGTTGCTGGTGCTGATGATATACCTCTGAGGCTGAAAGTACGCTGGGGTCAGCTGAGATAAATCTCGTCATATAATACCGTATCACGTATCGACAAAATATAGCGAAAAACACTGAAATTAAAAACAATACACTGAACTTGGAAGATATTCATCTGCAGATCTATCTATCCGCTCTCCCCGGATGCCCGGAATCGATTGACAGCTTGATAACCCGAGCCGCGAGGTGCTGACAAATGGATAACTCCTCAAAGAACGAGCAACTCGCTTATTAACTATAAACTATTCTCCATCACCTTGGTTCTCCCAATGTTCCCTCATTCTGCGTTTAGCACCAGCTCATTCAAGACTGTATCTCGACTCTCTCGATTTTCATCCACCTTGCGCGTACCTTACAGCACAATGTCAGGTTCCGACATCACCCTATACACATGCAATAAATAATTCACATGAAGTTAACAGATATCCAACATTCGCAGATTAACTTCCTCGAATAGTATGGATCCAATCATTTTTCAAACAAGTGTCACTTGGTTCGTCAAAAAAGACAAATCCACACTCGGGATACCCTGGGAATCCTCTCCAAAGAACTTCAACACCCGATCAGCAATCCATACAGGATTTTCATCCAGCACCCAATGGCCAGCCTTTGGCACTACATCAACTTGGAGGTCACTGGACACCGGCCCAAAGATTTGCTGCAACACAGCCTCCGGCGCAAAACTAGCCTCGCCTCCAAGAGCCAACGCCGGCATTGCCAACGGGCTGGCACCAAGTGATGCGTTGAAGAATGAAGCGTCTTGGCTCACTGTCAATACCGAGAATATGTTAAGCATGCTTCGCAGGAATCCTGGTTTCGATATAGACGTTGCGTAGCGATTCAAATGGGCCAGACTAATGGCTTCGTTTCCGGAGTATGAAGCATGCCAGAAGTACCAAGCCAGCATCTCCTTCTCGCGGCCTTGGATAAAGTATTGTGCTGCGTCTGGGACACTGAAGAAGCCTAGCTGCCAATTCTTGTACAAGTCCCAGCCGATGCCACCGCCTGAGCTAGGAGTCCAGAATTCCTCATATCCGAAGCCAGGTAAGGCATACTCGGAGAAGCCGATCCTCTTCGTGTAAGAAGGATATTTAGCGGCAAACGCCGCTGCAATTCCAGAGCCCTTATCGTGTGAGAAGATGTAGGTTTGGTTGATGTGCAGGAAGTCTAGTATGGCTTTGAAGTCATCGGCGTGTGCAGAGGCGGTATAGTTGCCGTCTGCTGGAATTGAAGAGTCGCCGGCGCCACGGTTGTCGGCGCAAATCACGGAGTAATTTTTGGCGGCCAGAATGGGGGCGACGGTAGAGTAGGAAAGCTGGAAGAGAGCGAAGAGTTAGCATAGACGAGCATTGCCTGGGAAGATTTCTTCAGGTCATAGTGATGGCAACACCGGCATTAGGACACGATAACGTCGTAGCTTACACTATGTTGAGGGTTTCCATGGATTAGGAGGACAGGAGGTCCAGTGCCGTAATAGCGCAGGTGAATGCTAACGTCGTCATTTACTTGAACGCGTTGATGAGGCCACGAGTCCCAGGAAGGAATGTCTGCGACGCAGATGCAGACAAGCTGGAGGATTGAGAGAAGAACACCGCGCATTTTCTTTTCCTTTATCACTGACAAGACCGAGGACAGTGTTCAGAATGGAGATTTTAGCGACACATACCAGAAGCAAAGCGGGTTTTTAACATTATGTCCTGATCGTTTTATATTCATCTTCATGTCAATTTGCTCCGTTGAAGTTTTTGACGTTGCCACGATATTACGTCAATTCGCTTTCCGGCATTTTATGAGGACCGGCTTAATAATGCGAAAACTTCGGGATGTTATGAGAAGCGAGGGTTCCGGATTTTCAAGCATAATTAGACCTCAAAGCTCGTCCATAGACGGGTCTAACCCGCTGGATACGACAGCGTTGATCATTCTTTTGACTTTTTTTTGTACTGACATATTATTATTGATATCTAGTCCCCACAAAATCAAGCAACCATGGGAGCTAAGTGGAGGAAACCTCCCGTCTGGCACGATCTTACTAAGGGTCGGCGGTCGGTCCTCTTTTAAAGGCCGGAGCCCCGACGGCCGCCCCAGTTCTCTTGACGGGCAGTTAGGGTCCTAGCCAATCAAGTGAATGGTTGCTTGTTTCACTTCCATTGTCCTATGATCTAGCTATCCACGATCCAGGAATCGGCCATGGATCCATGGATTGCGTTGAGTTTGATTGGTGATTTTCAATTGGTACGTGCTCGATATCGGCCGTGCGGAATCGATGTCTATCCGAGTACAAACTCTCTACGCCCTTGTTACTGCGTATCGTTCGGTTGCCCGAAGCTGTATTTGCCACTCGCACTCTTAAAACTCAACAGCGAGACCTGTGGCAGTGGGGTATTAATACCTTATCATAATATTTGTGCAAGTGCGGATTATCTTTGCCTCGCAATTAACCAATCTAATAGACTCTCGATGAGAACAGGATGGCTACACTGCCTATCCCTTCGGACCGTGTCACCATGTTGCCGCAGGGTGGCAGTAGAAAGGGGTCACAACGAGTGCAAGCCGCGTGTGATCGATGTAAATTGAAGAAGGCAAAGGTACGATGGCTCCCAACAGTTCTATGGTGAGTTATAGCTCAGTATATAACAGTGCGATGGAGAGAAGCCCTGTGGTCGCTGTCTGACACGAACAGCGGTATGCATCTATGGCAGTCGAAAACACTTGCAAAAAGAGTCTCTTCCAAAAGGGTAAGACTTCATACACTAGAATTGTGGAAGTGGTCATCTCATTGAGGGATTCTTTTTTCAGATATGCCGAAATTCTGGAACAGGACCAAGCTTTGCTGGTGAAGGGAATGCGTGAACTATACGGCCTTTCAGTCAGAGGTGAAAGCTGGCCTGGAGAGTTATTGAACAACACGGACAAAGAACAGAAAACGCAGGAAAGTCCAACGGAGCAAGAACCGACCAATACCCAATCCCCAAACGAATGCTTCTGGAAAAGCACAGCAGACGACTCTAATGACTGCAATGCCGCTCCTGGAACAGCGGACATAACATGTGGAGATTATAGCGTCTTTCCATATTTGACTGCTACGCCGGATCATCCCTCATTATTCAACAACTACCCTGGGAGCCACACCTCATTTCATACAACCAGTCCTACAAGTACTTCATCACAAGAAGTAGTTGACTCGGCTACCTTTGCAGAAGGCTCGGCATTATGCACCAACAATGACCCTATGGTCTACGGCCACGATAACGACACCTTTTACCAATATGATTCTGGGACGAACTTGTTCCCCCATGACGAATGGACAGCCGAACCCACGTTTGGGCTAGATGAAGATACGCCTACAATCCCTAGATTTGGTGAGGTCTCATCCACTTCTGAGGCAAAGCAAGTTTACATCCATGCCTATTTCTTTTACTACCACAAAATAAATCCATTCATCCACGAAGAGACGTTCAAACTGCATCTGTCCACGCAATGTCTACCTGAAACGGAAGAAAAATCATGGTATGTCCTTCAAAATTCGGTTCTTGCTATGGGAGCCTGGTGTGTATATGATGGTTGTTCGAACACGGACATATTGTACTATGAGAGAGCCAAGCGGTTGTTCCTGGATATATCCTCTCTTGGAAGCGACAACATCATGGTTGTGCAAGCACTCCTCCTTCTCAGTGACTACGCTCAGAAACGAGGCAAGATTGAAACTGCATATCACTACCTTGAGCAGACTGTGAGGGTTGCTCTTAGTATAGGCCTTCATAAGGAGAAGGATGATGAACTTTCCGTCATTGAAACAGTCTCAATAGACCAGGAAATACGCAGAAGACTCTGGTGGAGTATATATAACCATGACAGCTACATAGCCATGAGAAACGGCCGGCAACGTTTTCTTCGTCACTATAGCGAGACTGATGTTAAGCTTCCACTGAATGTTGATAACCAGGTGAGACCTCCTCACCCGAATACACAACATGGTCTGATAAATCACCGTTCCATAGATCCTTCCTCCCGACGCCAGATTCCTTGTATCGGAAACCGACTGGCCAACGCTATATTCCGGTCTAATTGCCCATGCTAGGTTCAACCTTTTGGCAAATTCCGTATATGAACGCATTGCATCACAGCCGGCTTTATCAGCAATGGAGACCCTCAACCTACAGACTGAAATTGATGATCATTACGCGAACATCCCACTATATCTCAAAAGAGACGATACAGTGTTTCAACCAGAATGGCTTTTACAAGCTCGCAGCAGACTTCTGTGGGGTTACAAATATCTCCAAGCTCTTATATGTCGACCATTCTTAGTCAAAATGGCAGGACACAAAGAGCAGAATGAAATTCCACAGCCAGAGTCGGAATCTCGGTTGCTTGCCGCATGCCGAGCTCGGTGTATCCTTAATTCGACGGAAATCATCGAATCGATGAACGACTACACGAGTACGAATACGGTCAGCAGACTGGATGCTTGGAATATGGTGTATGGTGTACTTCTTTCGATCTTACGAGACAGTAGTACTTTCAATCAGAACTGCGGGGCTAACAACCAGTCAGGTATCTTCTTTTTCAAGCGTCCATCACACCAATCACATTGATCCGAACGAAGCCTCAAAGCGCCGACGCACTATTCTGGTGGCAGGATCTCGAAAAAGCGCAGCGTGTCTTGTCAACTATTTCAAAGATTGATAAGGCAATGGGCACCGATAGCTTAGAGGCTATTAAGGTACTCAGCCTTTCAATTCGAAGGGAGAGGGGTATACTATAGGACATGTCTTTTCCGACACAGATCACTCAATGATTACATGAAATATAAATTGTGATTCCTCTTCGTAGTTCTCCTTTTAATACCTATCGAAGAGGGAAATGCCCAATGGCAGTCTGACCAAGGCAGACCGATCTGGATAGGAGAGAATAACCACACTCACACCTAGATATCGTACTAAGAGACCGAAGAAGTAATGGAAGTCATCGGGAACAGAGAGTCAAAAAAATGTGTATTCATCAGTGTGTGTCCATGATTGTTGTATCTCTGGCGGTCAAGTCATGATCGAGAAGTTACCTTGCATTGGCGCAAGAGCTAGGCGAACCTGTATGAGGAAAGAGGGGCAAAGAGACGTAAAAAGTTTTGCGTTTCCTTGCAATTCAATATTTTAATCTACAAAGTGCTTTTGACATCGCATCGGTTAACCAATGAATTTCGCACCCCTTCCATGCCCATTGACCCGTCGATCTGGTCTATCCAGTCGGTTTTGGGTGGTTGGGATGTCTCCGGTACAATCCTCGATTCAATCATCAAATTCAGTTCCCCTGACAACCCCGATGCAGTTGCAGAAGATGAAGAAGTATTGTGACGGTGTTCATCGAAAAGGCGGTATTTTTCCATCTGTATGGATTCTATTATACCACGAATTTCTTCTTCTGCGGCGCACTGCTGGATGGATTCAGGGGAATAATGAGATAATTAAGCAGCAAGAGGCTAGACCGTATTCCCTGAATAGTTAGACTGGACTTCTCCAACTTTGCTGCGGCGCTGAGTACTGCTGCAGGCCAGACAGCGTTTGCTTCATCGGCCACGAATCTGGTGAAGAATCTTTGGTTTGACGGTATTGACATTGACTGGGAGGCATGTTACACATCTTCATATCCTACGTTGAACTGTTATACTAAATAGCATCACATCATCCTGCCGATAGTATTCAGGCCAATTACTTGGTTGCCACTCTTGAACAGCTACGCACGGTATGTATGACCGACTTCAGGCATACCTTCAAAGAAAGGGGCTAACTTTAACGGATGGATAGTCATTGGACACATACAGTGCTGCAGATGCCAACGGCTGCCACTTCTTGATCACCGTTTCCTGCCACACAGGTATGTTAAATCACCACCTGTGACGATAATCTATCGCACTACTAATTCATCACCAGGTCCGACAAATTACCAAAAACTCCACGTGGCCCAGATGGACAATCACATGGGATATAATTACTCCGGTAGTTGGGACACAATTGCCGGCCACGACGCCAACATCTATGCCTCAAGAGCCGATTCATTCAGCATACCTCTTAACAGAGTGGCTACCAACAAGATCGTCATGCGAATGTCTCTTTACGGCCGCTCTTTCATGAACACCGCCGGACCGGGCACGTCTTTCAACGGCGTTAGCAGCGGTAGCTGGGAGAACGGTGTTTGGGACTACAAGGCACAGCCCTCGATGAGGCACACGGGCAGCGCGAAACAAAGGCAGAAAATACTTTCTGGGAGATCATGGGAATGCAGGGCCTTGTTCGTGAGCTGGGAGGGAGTTATAACACACGACCAGATGAAAAGGTGGACAAAGCAGACTATCTTGATGGTGTACAGATGTTCATGTGAGTGATAGTAGATCTCTCTGGAGAGATGATGAGCCACAAAAATATATTATTCCATTGCGCGATTGGACCTTGCCCGGAGAATAATTATACTTAAATTAGCCCAGCACAGGTATGCAAGACCACGCATCTGTCGGAGTAGTCGTTGGAGTCGATGTTCGACCTGCAATCGGTGTTTCAGGAGCCGTCTGACTGGCTGAAGTTGAGACCGAGGATTGACCGATTGTAAATCTCAATTTAGACGCCGGTGTTGACTTTTGATTCAACTGACTGATCGGAGTTGAGGCCGAGAACTGACTATTTGCGGGTGTCGCTGCGGGGGTCTGAGAAGAAATCATCTTGTAGATAGTACATTTACTGCCCACGTTGAGTCCGCTGTCCAGCATACAGCTAGACGTGTCACCTCCTTGGTTCAGGAAAGTAACAATGCTGTCTTTGTTCACAGTCACCCAGGCAACCTGATGTCCATCTTCCGTACCACCTATGTCAACCTTGACCGCATTATCATCGGCTTCGGTCTTGATCAAGTCTTCAATATCAATTCTTAGATAGCTGTTGTCGCATACAGGACAGCATGAAAGGGAAATGTTAAGAAGATAAAACAAACGTTACATAAGGGAAAAGCAATCGAAATCAGGAGGATAATATGTAACTCGAAATGATCATTTATTGTTTATTGTCAAGAATTTTGAATCTGAATCCTTTCAAGACAAGTATATAACTAACTTATTTCCAAGCGGAGACATTCTTCTTGACAAACTCCTCCCAAGTGGTAGGCTTAGAATCAAGAAGCTTCAGGCTGGGCTCAAGAGGCTCTCCCAGGTAATAACCGGGCTCCTCCACGAACAGCTGGTTCTCGAGATATTCATCTGCGATAGCAGGGGGAAGGGAAGCCTTGTACTGCTCAGCAGAAACCTGAACGAAGGAGGCCTTTTTGCCGGTAACACGAGAGAAGGTATCCACGATCTCCTGAGGGGTGTAGTACGCAGTAGCGGCCAGAACCTGCTTGTTCTTCAGCTCACCAGCGTGCTTGAGGGCGACCTTGACAAAAAGGCCTATGGAGGGTCTGTTAGTCATTTGCCAAGAAGAGATAGACGAGCAGAGACGACAAGCGGAAAATGACATACCGGTATCCTGGGCGGCATCGAAGAGGGGGAACTTGGCGTTGTTACCAACGGGGTAGTAGAGTGTGTAGGAACCATCGTCCGAGCGGGTCAGCATCTGTGTGTAGTTGCTCATGTAGTATCCAGGAAGAACGAAGCTGCATCCAACTCCGGAGGCACGGATGTACTTCTCCACATTGGCCTTGCTGTCAAAATGGGGAACCTTGGTGAGGCGGCCCTTGGTCTCCTCCTTGACGTGGTGGAGGGAGGAGAAGATCAAGTGGGAGACGCCAACAGCCTTGGAGACGTCGGTCACATTCTTGCCCTGGGAGTACTCAATGTCGGCATTCATGGTCTCCCAGTAGTTGGTGACGAGGAAGACGGTGTGGGAGCCCTTCAGAGCCTCAGTGAGGGACTCAAGAGAGCTAAGGTCGGCCTGGATGAGCGGAGAGGGACAACGGTCAGCATATTGCTTTGAATCTAAAGGACATCACCGGAGCCGTTGCTCGCGACATGCCCAGATAAAAAGGCCACGGGAAATCCTTACGCTGACCACCTCGACGCCACGCATGGCGAGGTCCTGGGCAGACTTCTTAGTAGTGTCACGGGTGATACCTCGGATCTTGAATTCCTTAGAGAGCTGGGGATCCGCGAGGATGGCCTCGATGACGGACCCACCCTGGTTGCCGGTGGCACCGAAGACAGTGATGAGCTTGGACATGATGCTGGGGGGAGGAATTGAGGGATTGTAAGATTGAGCGATTTGAGTAATTGAAGGATCCGAAAGGAAGCAGAGGCGAGCGAATGATGTTAGAGCTGTGACACTTTGGATTGATGAAGCGGAGGGGAATGGGTTTAAGCGGCGTTTATAAGGGCCCGATTCCTCATTGAAAATGGACTCGGGCTTCCATTATGCTATGACTGCTATGACTGCATATTTACTTTGGCCCATGAGTAATCTCGGCGTCAAACGGGAGGCCGATTGCCGCCTCGGCGTGAGACGGCCACCGAGCTTACTTGGGCTCCCCGCATGCGGCTTGGCCAACCTGATAGGTCACATTCCGAGCGATGACCGAATGTCGATCGACGCCAGATCAGCAGCTCCCTCAGATCAACACGTGATCCCAGGCCGGGAGCTCACATCACGTGGGTGGGCCCGTGTGGTTGAGGGGCTTGTTTCAAGGAAGGACCGCAAGGGTACAGAGTACGTGGACAGTCGGGTTTGGAGTTCGGTCTCGGGAGGTGGAAGTGACACGAAGCCGGTAGAACCCAACCCCCCCCCCCCGGGGTCTGTTGAGCTACATCCGAGTCCCGAGCGATTGGTAAGAGTGTTAAGGTTATCAAGGATTCAAGGATAGACCATCATGTATACACGCGAAGATGGGACAACTGTGTCACCTCGCTTAAGCCCGCTCGTTTCCTTGAGTGGTTTCGCTAGATCGTACATAGAGAGGGACAGTGGGAAACTCATTAGGGGAAAACAACAGTTGAATTGCAGGGCAACGTTGTTGCGGAATACAGTATTCGCTATATATAAAAGATCAATGACTATGATGATGATGATAGAGAGTCAGTCCTAGTTTAGAGGATTCTCCCTCGATACTATTATTGTTATCTGGGCTGGGGACCCAACCTTTCCAGATTACCCGGAATTACATACAGTGACGCCTTATACCTACGTTTTAACAACAGCAGCCCCACACCACATATTACATAATATTCTGCCGCTCGCAAAACCTCCAAAACTCCATGATATTGATGAATGGTCTTCTAGTGCGCGTTTTGGGAAGGCGCTAGATAGCACGAGGAATGCGACAGCGTATTCCTGATCATCGGGCTCCCACATATCCGCAATAACTCCCAGTGTCACCGAGCCACCGGCTGTACTCAAACCCCCAAGGAGTCGAACCACAATATATGTCGCAAAATTGGGAGCAAGAGCACATGGTAACTGCCAGATGTTAACGAGGAGGAGACTCAGTTGCTGGGTTGGCCATCGTCCAAGTTCTTCACTCCAAGGGGCCCAAAGCTCACATCCGAAGGCGTAGGCGCAAAGAAATGTCAGCTGAGGAATTCTCGCAACTTGTTCACTGACATTGTGCTCCTTCGAGATCGCCGCGACGCCGTTCGCAGAGAGACTTGCGTTCAGGTTGATTAATATTTGGATGCAAAACATTACGCAGAGGATTTGCCATTTTCTCCACACGGGATAGCTATATCCCAATTCGTCGTAGGCAGCAGACTGCGTTAGCTCGATCTTGTTGGGATCCTGCAAGGAGATTTTGTCTTCTCTGTTGTCGCCTAGATCCACTGTTTCTAAATCTGGGTGTGGTCTATCGCTTGAACCATCGATGAATTGATTAGTTGATGCCATAGTAGTGGTATAAATTTGTACAATTTATGTGGAAGAAAATAATTATTCGATCTAAAACTGTAATTATATCGATTCGTCTAACAACCCTAAGCCAAGACGATCTAATCCAAATAAAGCGACAATAATGCAGGTACCAGGAGGCAGGAAGAGCGAATAAGCGACGTGCGTGGCAAAACAGTCCATACGTAGTTAAGCCACCTCTTTTTGCACTGGTGACGCGCTGCTGCGCACGCTGTGGCCCTGAAACGATGAAATGGAAGGGCAGGGACGAGAAAATCCGGAAAATGGGAGGTTTTGTTGTGACTTTGTGATATTTGACAATGCAAAGGAGCGTTGACCAATGAGAAGACATGTAGTATGACTAATAGCCGCACCACCTTAGAAAACAGAATAACCAGGAATGTGCTAATCAGCCATTGTATTGTATTTCGATTGTGTAAGTATATCAGTGTATGATGTTTTACGTCGTCTTCGAGAACGCCTCTCAGGAGGTGGTGTGCGAGCCTCTGGCGAGGGCTCGTTTTCGTCGGCGGTTTCTGGCCATGTAATTTGTGTGGTTTCTTCGTCCTCATTATCAAGAGCGTCCACTTCCGGGGAATGCAGTCCCGGATAGGTGATTGGGAGTGGCTCAGTCCGCGAACTCGTCGCCGATCTAGTTGGGGTCTGAGGGCCAGCCCTTTGGGACCAACGGTCAACACGCTTCCGTTTACCAGTCGAGGAAGGCGTAGCGGGTAAAGGAAGATTTGGCTTTGGGAGAAAATGTATATCATCTGTGATCACAGCTAATTGGCGATGTTCTTTTGTGAGGCCAAAAATGCGACCTGTTAAGAAAACATAGGAATTTGCGATCAGAGGTGGGAAGTTCACCCACCGCTGACCATTTTTGAAGTACGTGGTGACTGGGAAGGTGTGATAGGCTCGAGCGGAGCAGTTGTAAACCGTAGTCTGGAGACGGTAGTGAAGAAGAGTTGGCCCGCCGTTTAGTTGACCACCGCGTTCAAGAACAACACCAAGCAACGCCACTGTGGGCTGAGCAGTTTCGGGACAGTGCATAAAATATTTTTCGGTGACTTCTTCATTGCCTGGATGACTACATAATGTTAGCCTAGTTCTGTAAGAGATGAGGTAAACTTACCGGTTCAAAGTGTGAGCGTGGATGATAATATGAAGTTCCTCGTCCTCGGATGAGATAGTCAGGAACGATCCCGAGGAATATATAAAGGTGTTTGGCTTGTAATGGTCGGACTGGTTACCTTCATCAAAATACCTAACCAGGGTAGGAATTTCCTCCTGTTCAACATCCTCTGATTGAATGTCCTTTAGCGGTATGTTCTACGGAGTTGCATCGAAAGCCCTTTACCGGGACGTGTAGGGTCCGGTTCGACATGCTCGACGAAGTCTCGAACATGAACAATAGCCGGACAAGTTGAATTTGAAGGCATAATGTTATCTGGAGTACATCAGATCTAGATGGAAAAGGTAACCGAAATATTTTGTAGGAGCTGTAGAATGATTGACGGGTGAAATGAGAAGCGGGTAAGAGGGACTCTTGTGGTAAGCTCACGGCGAACTATGGAACAAGATCCCTGTCATAGATACGAACCGACATATGACATGTCCGAATAGATCTCACCACTAGTCCGATCAAGAAATCTAGTGGATGATTTTAGGTTTTTCTGCTAACCACTATTTATGTATACAGGACGTGGAGATGAATGATTCGTAGAGGTGTTAGATAACAAGGTGCGGGTTGGTGCCTATCATTAGCAGTTTAGTGCACCCTCCACTCCTGGCTGGCATTGACATGCACTTGGACCAATATATGCTTGGAGTAATCATCCCGCTCACGTAGGAATGCCAAGGCCTTTCTCATCCCATCACAACAGTCGGAAATCTTAGTGGTGTAGCAGAATCTGTATCCCAGTCATCGAGTGTTTTTTAAAGGTGAGGGGTCTTCCCGTATTTATATTTTGGACTAGGCGAGAAGGGGGGAGAGATTGTGGAAGGATTGAGTCTGGTTAGATGTAGAGAGAACAATCTTTCGGCGAGAATCATGATGCCGTTGGGTAGCTATATTATGTAGGAACTCTAACACGAATGCTCCCATTCGTCTAACGTCATTCTTTGCAGCTCCTGAAGTCTCTGCATTTCCGCGAGTATCCGAGAATCAGGTTTAAACTGGAGGTCCTTCATCTCGATTTCCTGCAGAAGATCAAGCCCTTCACGCGTTCGCAATCGGGATAATTGTACGTACGTCGAGCAGAACTTTTGGTGACGGTCTCGACCACGTATCGTCGGGTCATCCTTCAGATCTAGAATCGCAGAGTCAAGCGTAGAGCCCTGCACTCTATAATCGGTGAGGCAGAATGCCGGGCACATGGGGACTTGTTTCCTGCGGACAGAGTAGCACTTTACAGTGATCGACCTCTCTAAGGGGAAGACAGGAACGATAGCAGGCGCAAGACCTTCGAACGCAGCGGCGCTTGACTTGTTCTGTTTGAACAAAACACACGCGGGAGGCTTGGTGAAAAGGATATACAAATCATCAATCTCATAGAACTCAGCTGAGATAGTTTAATATTGAATTTGTCGTCTACGCGCGAAGGAGGACGACTCACCAGCTGGGTCGACCACAATACCGACGGCGGTTCCAGTCGCCCCATTGACCAGTCCTAACCGGGTACAAATATTTGTCAATATAACAGAAGGCATATTTGGGGTGTAAAGAAACATTCCCGGGAACGGGATCCTGGTACCCTGATCTGGTTGGTGGAGCAAGTCGTCGACACGTAAGCGAAGGTTGACTGGACCAGTGGACTTGGTTCGTGTGTGATAGGCAGGGAAGGCATAGATCTTTTGACAGTGAGTCCTAGCAAAATGTTCCATTCGAATACGGTTGACCTGGTGTCGAAGAGAATTCAGCTTTACTACCGTTGTGGTGGCGCCCAGGTGAGGGGCTCCCAAGGAAGTGATGACGCTAGAGTTAAGCAGGTGCAGGTCCTCTTCCTTCAATGCTGATGTCCTAGCGCGATGGAGGAGGCTCCGAAATGACGGATCCCCGGACTGCCGCATTTGCTCGTCTAGTATGATCACATTCTTGAACTGATGCCATATGAGTCGACCATTTCGTTTTCGGCATTGGCTTTTCTGGGTTCCTTCCACAATGCTGGGCCTCGCACAGGTGGGAACTGGAAAAAGTCGCCCATGAGGATGACTATAGGTAAAGCACTGAAGAGGTCGGGTGATCTTCTATCAAGGGATCTCGCCGTTTTGCAGTGGCTGTTGATCACACTAAGCATACTGAAATCCATCATGCTGATTTCGTCGATGATCATAATGGTCTTCCGGGACCAGAGTTTTTGCACGCGAGCAGCCATCGCATGGCCTTGAGAGCGAGTAACAGAAATGCCCAGAGAGGTATGAAACGTGTTGCCGCCGATATTGTCGGCTGCAGCCCCAGTTGGAACCATGAGAATCACCTCTTCTTTGCGGCGGATGAGATCCATCCCGGCTATTATGCCTTTGATGATTTGACTCTTACCAACGCCTCCTTCGCTTCCAATATAGAGAAGCGTCTGAGATCGTTGCGAAGCATCGTAAGGATGATTCTCCCAGCTCAGTGCTTCTCCCAACACTTTCTCGACGACCAGTCGCTGTTTGGTATTCAAGGGAATACTTGCACAAAAAAGTGAAGTTAGAGAGATAGGCGTGTAAATGCCGTCAACATCGGACCGATGGTCAGGCAGGGTAGCGATTGCTTCCGGACCACTAAGGATGGGATCCAACACGCTATCAACGATGTTCAAATTGAAGTCATCCAGCTCATAAGCCGGTCCCATGACAACATCTTGCTCATGGCCATGTTCAACAACCTTGGCAAGTTCCTTGAGATGAGTCTCCCATTGCTGCAACATGGATAGCGGGAAGAAGCTAAGGCCAGATGACCTATACGCAAGATTATCAAAGAGGTTGAGCGGCAGAAGCTTTTGCAGTGGTGATCCTCGATTCTGATTGATCGCGCTTACCAATGAAGGGATGCGTCGCGCAGCGACGAGCGTTTCGCGGTCCCAACACTTAGCGATGGAGTGATAGGCCGCTATTAGAGTCTCGATGCTAACACATCATCCAGATTCATAAAGGAGTCGTCAGAATCAGAATCAACATTGTCGATTTCGAGCTCATCAATATCGCGGTCGAATAAGCTATCAACTGGGATGGGTGCTTGTCGAAGCTTTGCGTCAGCGTAACTGTCTTCTCTGGACTTGCGTAGGAGTTCAACATTCGCTGCAAACGTTCGGAGATGCGACACGAGTGCTGGCTCTACAGTTTTCCATATTCGGGAGCAAGCATCGCGTTTCGTCGGCACAGCATTGGCGTGCTTTTGAAAAAGCGCTGGCAGCTGGCCCCAGGGAACGAATAACCCAAGTAAGATCTCCGCCAAGTCATTCATGTTTGCGGCCGTCTTGCAATGGCCCCCGGGAACGGCGTCCTCTGAGGCTTGGAATTCAGTTATCTGTCCGTTAAAGGTGACGGTGGCGACCTGAGATGAGGTGCGAGCCAGACGTTGCACATGGGTATTGCTTTGAGGGTGTGACGGGTCAAAGTCAACATCGTCTGCGATCGCATCTTGTACATTTGTAATCTTAGGGCTTCCAATCGTCCTATGATCAAGGCTGAGACGTCCGCCACGCCTAATGTGGTAATATTCGTCACAGTCCTGTTTTGGCGGCGTTTTTGGCGGAACGTGGAGCCCGCTCGAGTCTCGCGTTGAAATCTCAGATGCGCCACTATCTTAATAAGTTCCCTGGGTGCGATGAAGTTACAGAATACCTACGTGCCGGCAGAGCCCTTGTTACGATCTTTTCTTTCATGATGCTATTCGCAACTGCCAGCATCCCTCGGGGGAATCGAGGCCTTGCCGCGGGCAATCGGCGGTGAGGCGAGAGCGATTCCACAGACACCGAGGCCTTCCCTTTGTTTGTCACACCATCTGCATGTCCCTCGCTGGTATCACACCAGCTGAACCCCCTCTCGCATTCAGCTGAATTCTTCTCATGCATGCCCCACTTTTGATGTCAAGGCAGGCTACTCGGGACTCGAAGGATCTCCGAGTAGACCATGTAGAGCTCATGTTAAATATAGTGTCTTATTTTGGTTCTTGAGGGTTCCTCAAGAAACAGTCTTGCCACAATTAGACTTGTTACCTTCTTCCTTACCTGACTGACAGGCCGTCTACCCTGCAAGTAGATTTTATCTTTACAGCCCTGCGAAGGAGCTATTAAGGTGTTTATATTTTTAATCGGCGTAGATGAGTGTAACGATAACTATCTCGTCCCCTCGAGAGCCAAACGCCCTAGTGGATACGAATGATATATATAGACAGCCTGCAGAAAGTGTTCCAATCCTTGGCTGGTCGTCCTTGGACAATGCACGATTCTCATGTCAATCAAAACACACTACGAGGCGACGGAAACCCTACTGAATGGTACGATCAAGACGTGGGTATCTTTGCTGCTGTGGAGTTGGGGTGCATGCGGTAGAGCTTGTAGTGCTTCTTTCTATAGGGCTCCTGCCAGCAGTGCGGGCCCATTTCGCAGGGTCCAAGACAGCGCATCAAAGCATACACATCTTTTTAAGCGGGAGGATCTACAGACCGCTAAACCGTTGAAAATTCAATAGTGTAATGTCAAAGCGCGAATAATTAGCAGTAGTCTGGTCCGGATGTGACTAGGCTCGCGAGATTCCACTGATATAATAGGACACACGGCTACTAGCGAAATTGTGCACCGTAAATATTGACATAAGTCTCCGTGTTGTGTAACTGGATTAAACTTTCTGGCTGTACATGCTAACCTAGGTCTTCATGAGCAAGGCAAGCATCAGATGATGAGTAGACTTGCCAATAATTCATTAAGAAAACCAACGAAATATAAAAGGAAGCACGTCCCAATGCAATTTTCCAATCGTGTACCCTACTTCATAATTTTTCCATTTCTACGAATCCAAGTGTTTTCCACCAACGCCAAGGCAAGAACAAGACACGATATCAAAGATGCGACCAATTTTTATCATCACATTGCTTATTTCAGCATCAATGGGTTTATCAGTAGGAGAAGACAAGTCAAATACCCTAACTCAGAGAACGCCTGATGGATATAATCATCTTGCAGCTGCTATTGCTCAGATTGGTGGTCAGATTCCTACGGCTGAGGGATATGCTACTGCTTTGGAAGTGGATGTCCTGAATGCCGAGAGAGCTGCCAAAACGGGTGACACAGCAGAAGTGTCTGGGGCTTTGAGAAAATTTGCCAAGGATTTTGTCGCTGGAGCCCATGCTGTTCAGTCTAATCCTGATCTTTATAACCTGGCTAGCGAGAATGCTCCTGCTGAGTTAAGACAATTGGCTAGGAAGATTGAGACTGGGGTAAGTCATAGTCTTTTATGTTGTGAGCAGTGGTTGTGATGATATTGTATTAACTGTGATATGATAAATAGGAAGAAGGTTCGCTTAAAGCGGTCGACAATTTAATGGAACAAATTGCCCGGCTGGTTGAGCAAGCGTGAGTGATGATCTTTTCTATCTTAAAAGCGGTTATTATGATGATATTATACTGATAAGGATATGATGAATAGCTTAGCTGATGTATAGGTTTAACTTCCATCAACTTGTATGGCAGGTGGTACAATTATATTTATCACTGCAAGCGTGTCTAGGAGCAGCGTATTGTTTTGTTTATCCTTGCCTTGATATAGGTTTTCCCCTGTCTAAACAGGTTTCCCTATATTTCATCGCGAATGCGAAGGCTTTCACATTATAACAGATGGATTATCAGAATCTTAAGGAAATGTAAAATCTGCCTTGTATCACACTATGATAATAGTAAAAGGGGATGCGCAGGAATAACCTGCGGAGCTTTGGTCGGCGTTAGTAGGCGGTGTAGGAAGGTCGGTCACAACTGATTGTCGAAACAAATGGTCCACTAGTAGGGCTCCGAAAGGAATATGATAATTTGTGAATAATCATGAATATCTGCGAATATGAATTAAATGAATTGAATAATATGAATATGAATAACCCCTCTATTCATATTCGCATTAATCATGAATAAATGAATAATTCATATTTATCCCAAATACGCAGATCCCATACATTACCATTCATTTCATTACATCCCAATACATCAATAGGGTTCATCATTTTGTTCTTACGCAGCGTAATAATACGAGGCTTTGAAGTTTGAATTACCCGAAATTTATGCTTGATACCGTTCTCTCAGTAGCATCAACCATCGCATAGTCTCTGCGTTTAGGCAGTGTCTTCGGAGACCCAACATATCTCTGGCATTACTGAATTCGCGTTCAATACCGACCTCTGCTGAGGGGATCGATAGGTAATCGCGAGCGGCTTTTGCCATTAGAGGGAAATTAAATTCGTTGGCCCTCCACCATTTCAGGACCCATTCTTCGTCCGCATCGCCGATCATATGGTGGGACCAGCTGACCGGTGGTGAGTCCAAATATTTATCGATATCAGATGAAAATTTTCCTTGGGCAGGCTGAACTTTGCGCAGAGTTTTCCACATGGTTTCCGACATCCCCGGCGGACGTGAGTTCTCAGATTCATGCAAGGTAAAGGCCTCCGGGGGATATTCTTTCTTTAGAAACTCGCGCACTTGAGAAATGATGAGCCCTGCATCCTGGTCACTCATCTGCGATACAATCAAGGACGACTTGATACGCGGATCCAACACGGAAGCAACGTAGTAAAGAAGGTTGTCGTCCATTTTCCTGGCAAACTTGTTCATCTTCCGAATCCCTCTTTCCACTGCATTTCGAATTTCAGTGTTCACATCTTCAAAATCTCCCGCGGCATTCCGAACGTCGTTCAACAAGTCGTCCAAGCTCCAATAAATTGGTAGACTTTCCACAATTGTCGGGCGAGTCTTTGATACGGAGTTTGTGTGGTCCCAAAACGGCTTGAGAATCTTGGCTACTTGCTGAAGCGTCGACCATTCGTCATCGGTGAGCTGAAGGGCCTGGACTTCTGGATGTATCCGGACAAATTGCCCCAGCTCAGTCTGTAGCCGGAGGGCGTCTTGGATCATGACATAGGTTGAGTTCCATCGGGTGTCAACATCATAGCTGACTTGCTTGCCTGGTGACACTTCTTTCCAATCTTGGCGGCGTTGTGGGCTGCGGGCGATCCATAGTGTCAAAAGCCGGATTTTCATGATTGCTCCTTTCGTGCTGTGAAGGGAGCTAAATGCTGAGCTAGTATTGACGGCCAAGTCGTCCAGCATCGCCTTCGCCTCTCGTGCCGAGCCGGCCCTCAAAGAAGCTAACACGTCCTTGCAAATCAGATTGAGGACGTGGGCAAGGCAAGGGATAAAGCTCTGTCGTCCACGGAACCGCATTAGCGGCCTGATGCGAAAGCGGTCATCATCGTTGTCGTACTTTTTGCAGAGCTCGTCATGCAGACTATCGCAGAGAGTCCCATTGTTGCCCGCATTGTCTCCTGTGATAGTCAGGAGTTTAGGCGCAATGTCCAGTTCCTCGAGCATCTTTAGCACAATTTCCGCAAGATTTTCTCCAGAATGTGGTCCATTGATATCCGTGAACTCGAGAAGTTCTTCTCGCTTTTCAAACTCGGGGGAGATCCAATGACCCATGATACCCATTATCGCGATCTGATTCTCCGAAGTCCAAACGTCAAGAGATAATGCGAGTGTTCGACTGCTTATAGCAAGCTTTTCTTTCACGCAAGCCCTATCTGAGTGGAATTCGTCCTTGATTCGATTGAAGAGAGTGTCAGCGGTCCTGATAGGCAACTTAACCCCCGTTGCTTCAATAAGTGCCCTGAACGCCGGATGCTCCACTACCGTGAAAGGCTGCCTTGTTTGAATGACCCATTGGACTAGCGTCTTTTCAACATCAGCCTTCTTCCCCGGCGACTCCAAGAATGGGTCGAGGTTCCCTTCGGCCGTGGGCAACAATATAGGGTGATTCCCGGATTTGATACGATGCTTGGTCTGGAGATGCACCAACAAATTCGAAGTGGAACCATAGCGCGCCGAATCCCTGGAGGACCAGCTACAGTGCTTGCAAACCAGCAATCGGTCATTCTTCAAGGGGCCGCCCTGTCGACACCAAGTGTTGTCCAGCTCTGTGGTCCAAAAGTGCTCAGTGGTCCAACTAGAATAGGACTTGGTTTTTCGTCTCTTATACGGATGCAAGCTACTCGTATTGCTCGTGCTCTCTGAAAACGCGGGATCAAGCGGGGAGGGGGAAGAACTAGGCAGACAGTAGGACCGCTTAGATTGGGGTGTTTGCTCAGGGCCCCTAGACGGAGAGTGTTCCGGAGAGTAGGGGCGTCCTATTTCACAAATGGATTCCTCGGATTGCTCAGAAGGTGATGAAACCAGGCCATTGTGTAGAGCATTATAGTCCCGG